CGTCATGGCTTGGTGATGTCGGACACTGGACTGTGGACATGTGGAAGCAACCGATTTTGACACGATTGTCATTTAATTGAATCGTCTTAAAAGCTAGTTCAAAAACACATTGGCGGTAATACGAGTACATAGACGCTAATTGGTTCAGAACCCATAGGTGGTAATCATCATTTTGTTATAAAAAAACGGAGGAATGTGAGAAAATTGGTTCCTGGCTGCAGATAATCGCGAGTACAATAAGGGCATAACGCAAAGCACACCTCACGGAACAGAGAAACAAATGACAGTGACAGAATGACAGACGAACGCTTGTTCTCTCCTTCTCTCTTCTTCTCTCTTTCTCTCTCTCTCTCTCTCTCTCTCTCTCTCTCTCTCTCTCTCTCTCTCTCTCTCTCTCTCTCTCTCTCTCTCTCTCTCTCTCTCTCTCTCTCTCTCTCTCTCTCTCTCTCTCTCTCTCTCTCTCTCTCTCTCTCTCTCTCTCTCTCTCTCTCTCTCTCTCTCTCTCTCTCCGTCTCTCTATCTCACCCTCTCTCTCTCTCTCCCTCTCTCTCGCTCGGCACCTCCCCGGTCTGACAGTGTTCCTAGCAGAAGAGCAGTGCCTCTCCCCCGGGGCATCTCCATAATTACGCATTTCCAGAGTTCCATGACCCATGGCCTCAAGAAGCGAGCGGCGCGGACCAGCGCGGACGCTGAGAGGTCATTGTGCGTTTCAGCGCGTCAAGGTGATGGCGTGCCCACGCATTTACATAACCTTAGGAAGTAAAGATACACCTGGTGTGGTTTTATCGCTGTACTATCTGCACACCACAGGGTAGCTTTTGGATATACAGCTTGAAAGAAAGGGCAGTTGAAAAAGTATGATCGACTTCCGTATCTATCCTACCCCATTTCATCAACAGGTCTCAGGGAGGGGAAAAGGTGACTATGCTTGTGTTCACAGCTGTTGGCTCCGGTGCACATATCTTGCTATCAACAGGTGATGGCCGATCAGAATCAGATGCAACATCGGTGCCAGATAACGAGCGGCAGCCCGCGGTTGCGGGAGGGTCGTACACTGCTCAGCTCTGACCCTGAGCGCGCGCTGTCAGTACTTCGGCTGGAATGGAGCGGACAGACCATGGACAGTGCATGATCTACATGCAAAGCAGCAATGCCGGCTCTTCGGTGCGACCGATTTCTTATCAACTCAACTCGTATCTTCTGCACACCTACTTCTGCACAAGTATGAACTGAGAGACAAACCGAACGACCGAGGTGCTGCTTTCGCGGTCATCGAGGGAATGTGAGATGAAGGTACCCCGTCTAACGATTAATTATGCGAACCGTGAAATGGCGATATCCTGTTATTGGAACAGTGTAACAAAAATATTCCAGATAGGCAGACGCGCAGTGGATAGACAGTCGGAAATAGGGCCAGCTGGCGCAATGCATCGGTACTTTTGCAGCAACAAGACATCGAGTGAGTTTCGTGTTATCAACATCAGGAAGGGTGATGAGGAATACACATTTAGAAGGTACATGGTTATGTCCGAGCGATAATTACGGCGTGGCTGTTCAGATACGCGACACACAAAGTACGGCGCACTGATTGGAGTGATGGTGTCAATGTTACGCAGCGACATGTTATTTTGACATGCTTGCGGTAATAGCGGTGACGGTAATTAGGTATGCAATTGCAGGTGGCGGCATGTGTAGTTTAAACGTTGTGGGTAGTATGAACACCGGTATAGATTGTTGTGCATTGTTCGATACTCGATAGGGAACGTATAATGATGCTACATTGCACTCACTATGGTGGTGGTAGATTAGAATATTGTGATATGACAATTGGTACGATATGTGAACGCCATATAGAAATACCATGTGCCGATCACCGGCCGCGCCAGCCCCGAGACGGGCTAGAGACGGGCGTGGCCCTGTGCGGTGAATGTGCGAAGGTATAAATAGGCGCGTTTGAGACCTTCGGGGGCTCTCTCTCGCTCGGGCTCTTGCTCTCTGGTTCGCGCGCGGGCAGTGGTGGTCCCGACGCCGCCCGTGGTGGTCGCCTTGTGCGTCTGGTCTGGTCTACAAACATGTAAGTTCTTGGGCCTTATCTCCTGCCCAGTCGGACGTCTCTAACCGGACTCTTGCCAAGCCCTATCCACGCCACTGGTTCCGACCGGCGGAGTGAAAGGGTTAGAGCCTGACTTCGGTTGAGTCTCTGCTGCGGTCGGAGATATGTCTCAGGCACAGACACGCACATATAGTCACACTGGCGTAGGTAACAACACTTCAGGATGGCCGCGGTACTGTGGGCAGTTTTAGGTTCGATTGATTGGTCTATATGTCTTTTTGAGACACCGTGTTTCGGGACTCGACTCAGTCCATTTCGGCACGTTTGGCTGCTATGAGTCAGTTCCACCCCTTTGGCAATATTATTTCGGTGTCATGATTTCGGCTTGGTCATTGTTTCGGCTTTCCATTGAATGTTTCGAACTTTGGTAATATTTACTTTAGCAGTGCACGGTTACCGTGACATGGCTCGTTTTCTGGCACTTTTGTTTGATTTATTCGCTTTTAATTATTTCGGCCTTTTCATTTTCAATACATATTTAATATGTATATCTTACTCCGTGCTTTCTCGAGGCTGGAAATGTCGGTGAGAACGCTGGCAATATGAAGATTCGGACACGAAAAGGTTTGTGGGTCGCATAGGTTTGGGTCGATCAGTAAATACAACTATAGACGGTTAAACGATTGTTGAGGGTAAGACGATACCCCTAGACAACGATGATAGGATTGTGCAGATGACACAGATTAGAATACCCCTAGACACACGAGGAATATTAGCAGAAGTTACGACAACAGCCAGTAGGCGGGCCTGAATCCTTCCACAACCCATCCTTTATCCACTCTACATCCTCATCCTTCTCCCAGTCATCCTTATCCTTATCCCCATCCCAAACACCACTTATAAATTCACAGGAATCTACTCAAAGTCTGACGATATCAAGCCCGGTGACGGTGTATTGCCGATCGGTCTGAGTAAAAATATTCGTTCCGTTACCGTGGCCGAGTGGATCCCCCACAATACCGTCACGAATAAGTAAGCTTTGAGCAGCTACTCCTTCAATGTCAGACCCCAGCGAGCTGCAGTAATGAGCCCATTTCCGTGTCCTATGAGCAAATGCGGTAATCCGAGGCGGTCGATGGTACGATCTCTAAAGATAAGACATTCATGTTTACATGTCGACACTGGCACGGGCTATGGATTAGCCTCCCTGCTGTCAGAATGGTAACACACTGCGAGACATAGGGCCATGCCATTTGTTGTCTTCTAAATTGTGGGCTTCACAACCAAATATTTAGAAGTTCCCCATTTAGGAACAATGTGAACAGCATCAGACATCGATTCTCTTCACAAGAATACCGCTTTACTCTCTTTACGTGTCGAACACGCTGCCGCATGAGCGTAATTATCAATACAGAATTACGTTCCTCACCTATGTAACCCCTTCACCTGAATCCGTCGCAGATCCGTCACGATGCGTTTCGCCCAGGTGTTTTCAGACTATCTGATGAGCAAACTTCTGCGGCACCCCATCGCACCGCGACCCGCAGCTCCCGCGCGGGCGTTCGAGACCGGCAGTCCGTGCGTCACTCGCAGCGGGGAGCGACACTCGCGGCGGAATGGAACGGCTCAATGAACGGGCGGCGACACGGCGGGACTCCATACCTCGCCACCGCCGCCCGGCGCGCGGCAAAAGTCACAATCTAATTACGTACAGAGATAGCCGGCAACCGGCGCCGACCCGCCGCGGAACTATGTGCGAGTCAGCGCCGACCGGCCGCCGGCAGCTGAAACAGTCGCTCCGACCAGCCAGCCCCACCTGAGAAGGAGCGCACGCAGACGGTTCTGAGACGGAGCAACAGCTCCATAAAGAGAAACGCGCACAAGTCCGGCTTTAGGAACGACATTGGCCCCCTAGTGCGCCTATGACGTCTGTTTGGAACAGCGCAAGGAGTGTCTGAAATAACGCGGGGCGGGAACGAAACTCACGACCTTACTTATCCGCCAGAGTATCGAGAGCAATTGATAGACATTGATATTTTCGCCTATAAGCTGAGCAATGTAGCCGCATCCGCTCCACGATATATAACTCCACCAGCTGCCACTACCAGCAATGTCCTCCCTTTTACACCACGATGAGATATGCAGCAGCTAAATAGCCAATGGAGTCGGCCAGTCCACACAGTTATCGGTGTAACGAGTTTCTCCCTCGACGTCAAAGCGATGTAAAGTGACAAACGACCGGGTGGGTCTTGCACACAGCTACCCCTGCCCCAAACAGTCGGCTGACGCCGCAGCTTCCCGCATCTCTAGCGTCCACCGCACGAAGATTTATGACCCTGGGAGCCGAGAGCGAATCGGCGGCACGGGGAGACGCAAGCCGAGGGATTAGTTCAGTCCGGAGGACGAGATGCTGTAATATTACAATCACAACTCCCGGGACAGTCCGAGTCGGCCCGCACACGTTGTTTGGCGCTCTAGGCTGTAGTAGTTTCTCTCTAACGAAATGGAACAGATTAAACGCAAATAATGTTTCGCAGCTTCTCAACGGCGAAGAGTTCTGATAAATCCATCACTGCGTAAAAATGATCGGTAAACACAACTACTACGCCACTCCCACTTCAGCGAGCATTTGCAGTCTTCTCCAAATACGGAAAACTGACTGTAGTTACGTGAAAAAAAATCAACGTATGCATGTTTATCGGTTTGAAATTCGTTATCCCACTGGAACTAAGTGAATGTTTCATGTTGAATAAACGTGAAGCGGCAACAGAAATCGAATGCAGTGAACATTTCCTCAATGACGTTGCCTCCAATCAATGATGACCTCTAGTTCGCTTTCACCCTAACTTGCTCTTTAAACAGGCTGGCCTCAAAATCTAAGCCCCTCTCCTTCACTCCAACACACTCAAACAGGCATACCGCCCCCCTCTCCCTCACTCTAACTCACTTGAAGAGGCTGGCCACGTCGTAGTGCAGGTCCTCGGGCAGCGTGGTCTTCTCGTCACTCCATTTTTTCATGGTGGCCTGTTTGAGCTGGGTGGCCTTCTTGGGCACGGCAAAGGCCGACTTCCAGTCCACCTCCACGTCATAGTCGAACGGCTCGATCTCTTTGCGCCGACGGCGGCGGCCCGGCTCGGCGGGCACGGCCGGCCGCGCTGCAGGGGCACAGGACAGGGACGGTCAGACAAGGGGAGTTACTGAATAGAGGCGACCGGACTAAGGAAGACTAGATATGAGAGCATTCCCGGCAATAGAAGTGGGCTAATGTTAATGAGTGCGCAAGCGCATGTGCGTATGTCCCTAAAAATTCAACCGACCAAAATTTAAAATCTAACCGATGAAGTTCGTTAACTCGTATCAAATGACGCGCCATAGGAATGTTAACATCTAAAATAGTACACAAAGAACATTGCATCCCAGCCACCCATCCGTGCCCTCTCCCAGCATAGCCCTCATTCAACTCTCACCGGCGCCGGCGGGCAGACGCGGCTTCCAGTGTCGCGGTCCGGCCCAGGCCAGCAGGCGCGGCTGGTCAAAGTAGCTGTACTCCTGCGGCACCGCGGACACCATGCTGACGAGGGTGGGCCGCTCGGCGGGCCGGCAGCCGGCGCCGCCGACCGTCACCAGCGTGTCGCCGCCGCCGCCGCCGTCGGCGCCGTCATCACAGTCGTCATCCATCCCTGACGGGGAGCGGGGAGGGTTACATGATCCACCAGCCATCCCAGACGGAGGAAAGGGAGAGACCAGTGAATGGAATAGAGTCAGGACAAAATTAGCGGCCGGGGATGGCCGTAGTCAGGGTGCTGTAGTAGATACTGGACACTGGACAGCGAAGTGAGAGAAAACGCATTGAAAGGAGCGGAGGCGAAGCGTAATATTTGTCTGAGTCGAGAAAAGCGGTGGCAAGAAGTGGTCCAAATCGTGTTTGCTGTTTTCAGGCATGCCAGGCAAAGGAATACGCACGCAAACAGCTCATTTTCAAGAGAAACATTAGTGAGTCGAGCACAATGTCAGTGACCTCGCAAGGTACGAAAGCCTTATGTGACAGCAGCCAGCTGTAGTACTTAAATAAAACTGATACGATACGCTGCACATCATTATCATGCACTTTTCTCTGTATCGCGCTGCCAAACCAGAGTTTCCCACGCAAAGTGGTCACCGACTCTGCACTTCTGCAGTGCTGATTGCGGTTCGTGTCTGGCACCGTTCCGGCGGCAATGACCAGCCCGACGCTACTAAAAACAACACGTCACGGACGGCGGCAGGTCGGCACGGCCGCCCGGGCCTGATCAGACAGTTTGTCACAGGGAACAATCAATGTCGTCTGGTGCGTTCGTGACTGGGCATGACCATCCCCAATCTGTCTTACAGTGACCCACACTGACGATTATTGTGACCCCTCCCCACCCGCAGGTAATATGGGTCACACGCACCCACTACAGACTGGCAGGGGCGCGACCAAACGATGATTGTTAACGCCCGGTGGTGTATAGTACGGCACCTTCTTACGATATTGCCTATTCGGTCTCCGTATGAGACATTGTGATGCTCGGCCACAAGCATCGTGAGCCGACGCTTGCCGCCAGCCAACCTCCTTGGTTCTTAGCTGTTAGCAGGGTCGCCTGATCACGCCGATTGCACTGGAACGTCCGTCAGTAAAAAAACATTTAAACGGCCCGTCCGTCCATCTGTAAGCTCGTCTATCCGCCCGTCCGTCCGTTTGTCCATCAGTATATCCGCCCGTCCGTCTCCTCCGTCCCGTCCAGTCTCGTCCCGTCCCGTCCGTCGTTCTGTATATCGGGCCGTTCGTCCGTCCCTCGGTCTGCCCCTCCATCGAGCGCCGGCCGCCAGCATCGTCGTCAGACCGTAACGGGGCCGCATACGGGTCGCGCCGGCCACCGGCCGACAAATGCGTCACGCCGCCGGCCGTGACGGCGTTACTCAGTATCGACAGCCGACGCCGCCCGTTATGGGTCAGCCGGGTCGCGGCAGTGGGCGGTCAGGAATGAGGTGTATTGTGCACGGCACGGAACTGTTGACACAAGTGTTGACACAAGTGTTGACACAGAGCTGTGAAGACAGGATCGTGGGCGACCACGGACGGACTTGGAATGGCCAACTCAGAGTGGGGAAAAAACTGAAATGAACCCAGTTCTGTTATTGTGCCCTGTATCAGAAAATGGCTCTTTTCTTAGGTACTCGCTCAACCGTGCCTAGTGACCCAACGACCGATTACTTGTTGATGACGGCACCGCCATGGCGCCGCAAAATATACCAATCAATTTGTTACATAGCTGAATCAGTCATAAAATACAGCTTTAAATGCCGTAGGCACATGCAACATCATAATGTCGATTAATATGTCCTGAGTGTCAATTAGCTATGTCTCGTCCCAAAACACAAAACCAGCATAGTTCGGCTTTCTCTGACAAGGACCTATCCCCATGGAGTCAGCGCCGTCGGTTACTCACCTCCAAACATGGGATCCTCCTCGGCTATGGGGCTGTGCGGCGGGGCGTTCATATCGAACCTGAAACCCAAGCGAAATAACACGGTCAAATGGTGAAGAGTACAGCTTCAGCTGTGGGCTGACGAACAGTGCATGAACATGCCGAAAACGAATGTCAAGTATACCGCGAAAACAAAGTTTCACAGTGAGACAGAAAGCATCAACCCAAACTGGTCGTATCTCGTCCCTGGCCATTCCGCCAGCAGCTATTAGCGAAGCTCGAGACTGCCAGCGGTGAATGACAGCACTGCGCGGACGGTCCGAGAGACAGCTCAGGTGTAGTGCCGGTACCAACGGCGGGAATATTGCCATAGCGACATGTGGGCGGCAGCTGCGGCCTACCGCTACTGAGTGGAGACTGGCCTTACTTCTGGCGCTAACGACAGAGCAGGAGAAATTACCAGAACAAAAATACAGGAAGCGGAAGAGAAGGAAGGGAAGCTATGAGCAGTTATGACAAACATTTCACACAACATTGCGACTAAAAAAAAAAAAACGAAGCATACAAACATCTACGTGGAGAGTTATAGCAGGAATTCCACGTCAGCGACGACTTAGTCGTAACTTCACCCCTCCTTGTTCTTATAACGAGTCATCCATGTACCCCCTTCCCTACCCACAGCGTCCATCGTCCCTCTGTCCCGCACCTGTGTCGAGGGTCGGCTGGCGGCGGCGCCGGCGGCGGCGGCATCTCCATCCGCTCGTTATCCTGTTCCTGATCCACGCTCCAGGAGGTGAAGGAGAACCTCTCCAGGGGCGGGCACAGCACCCGCTCCTCCACCGCTGTCCGGCACGGCCAAACCGTCAGAGGTCATATACAACGCTAAAGGGAGGTCGGAGACGCCATGGCGACAGGCTGTGGGTGGACAGTGATAAATATAAGCAATTAACTGTTAGTGGAACCGGATAGAGATTAGGAACATAATAGATAGCTCTTACATATTCAATTATGATAGGATAAGACCTCAGATTATTTACAGGAACCCGCAAGAGATCATCGTTTTGCAAAAAGCAGCGATTCCGTGTGCGAATAAGCCATGGAAGCCTACTCAAAACTGATGAACTATAGCGACGAATCTCTCGCATAGTTATCCACAAGTAAACAGCAATAGCTTCATTTAGCTACACGACATTGTCATAAAGCCCGTCTGCCCGCCCCGGCCGGCACCCACCGGGCACGGTGACGGCGGGCGGCTGCTGCTCGGGCGGCTCTGGCACGGCGGTGGCGGCGGCCGGACGACCCTCGCCGTCCACCATCAGCTCCTGGCCGTCGTCCCGGGTCCAGAGCAGGCTGAGGAAGGCGGCGCAGCCGGGTCGGCCGTCCTCGGCGGCGGCCCAGGGTGTCCGGCCGGCGCCGGAGACGGCCGCCGCGCCGCCCGACCGGCCCGTGATCGCCGCCAGGTTACTGCGCACCGTGGCCATACGACGCGTCTGATGGAGGGGAGGGGAGGGATGTCAGAGGGAGCAGGGTGAAGGACTGGGACTGAATGCACAGACGCCGGGAACGGGCGGTCTGCTAGACACCGGGCACACATGGCACATTTCGGTGACTTTAACATTAGCGAAATCTATCGAGTGAAAACAGTACTTATTCGAATCGAGGCATTACAAGCTCACCACATAAGTCATCCCCAATAGAATGTCTCACACCGTAATAGCAGCCCAAACATGCCGCACCCCTCACCTTTCTGCGTCGTTTCTCGGCGCCCGGCGCGGCCCCGTCGTCCCCGGCCGGCGTGTCGCCGTCCTCCTTAGGTTTTCCGTCGGCTCGGCCCAGCCCGCCGGCCATGCGCAGCGTCTCCCCGTGGAGCGCCTCCACGCGGTAGCCGTAGATCTTGGCCGAGGCATCCAGGGTGTAGCTGGCCACCTGGCACGGCGATGACGCGGGTCAGAGGCGGGTCGAAGGGGAGTATGGGGAAGGATATGGGAACTGAGTGACTAGCGATCGTACGCTTTCCTCATTAAAGTGTAAGGATGCGAATCAGTGAACACTGGGTTGTCAGAATAAAACGATACTGAAACGTTCAGGGAATATTCAAACAAAACTGCCACCCACGTTTTAAAGGTTGAAAATGACGGTGAAGGTACGGAGATCGTACTATAAGCTGGCGTTTTGTTGATAAGTCCAAATATACCGTTACGTTTTGACATATCCCCGTTCTTCCATGCCAGGACACCAGTCACTTAACCCTCGCCGGCCGAGGGAGGGGGACGGGTGCCGCCCCCCCCCCCCATAGGGTTTTTTCGCGATAGCTCCGAACACGCTGGCGATAGAGAGCTGAAACTTGGCATACCTGACCTTTGATTCCAGCCGGATCTTTTGACACCAACCGCATTTTCGGGTCAAGTCAGGTCACTGACCTATGAGGCTATGACGTCATAAGTGAACCTCTGCACGGTCTTCAGATGTCGCAAATTCGGAGCGCCCTCACTGCCAGAGGAATTTTCACAGGGAAATGAAACTTGCAGGATCTAGTATCCATTACGAGTCTCACACCTTGTATATCTCGGATTTTTCCTTAAGGTCATATGAGGTCAGGTCATTTTCGTGACCTCGCCATTATAAGTCAATGGGGAAAAATAAAAACTGCTATTCTGGCGCCGGGAACGATCTCCAACTATCTCAAGCACACAGAATCGTGATTTCATGCACTCCTTGCAAGGTTAGATGCGTCACGTTTGCAACGCTGACCTTGCGTGACGTCATTTATGACGTCATCAAGGTCCAAGGTCATATTAGTTTCTCGTCAATAACTCCCGATCAAATTGAGCTAGCGAGTCGGGAAAGCCACCAATGGACTCAGGAAGACCTGCCGAATCGAATGATATGCGACATCACCTCTTCCGACCAACTTCGTGACCTGGGGGTGCTGACTTGACTGTGACCTGAGGTTAACACCCTAAGTTGACCTGACCCGAACAAAAAGTATATCATTCGACGCGCCTGAGCGAGGCAAACACGATGCTGCCAGAATCGCGGCTCTGCGGCCATTTTTTTGCGAAGTTATTCACCATAAACTGAACCGTACCTTGGGGCACCTGACCTGACCTCAGAGGTCACCGGTTGACCTAGGACCTTAAAATCGGATACCAATCTCTGCGTCTCGTAACGGCGCACACGCTCGTTTTTTCCGCAACGCGCTAGCTCTACCAGGGGCGAAACGGCGAGGAAGGTCGTACCCGCCCCCCCCCCCCCACCCCTCGGCCGGCGCGTATGTAAAAAACCAATAGGTCTGGCGAGGGTTAAGTCACGGCCCCGCCCTGCCCACTATCCACAGTCTCCCTCCTTACCTGAAAGTTATCCAGGTCCGACTTCTTCTGTCGCATCATCTGTGCCATGCAGTCGATGAGCTGCAGGCTGAAGGCGTTCTTGGTGTTGATTTTGTTTTCGGCGCTGAGTTTGACGCAGCTGGCGTAGTGGGCCGCCAGCTGGCCGTGGCTGAGGCCGGCGATGCCGGGCAGCGAGCGGCGCCGGTCGGCGGCCGCCTGCTGCTGCTGCTCCTGGCGCCGCTCCGCCTCCTCATCGTGCTGCACAGGGGAGGCCGGGTAATGGTCAGAGACGATTGACGGGACAGACAACGGGAGAGGTCAAAGATGGCAAAAAGCACGACTCAGTTTAGAAGTAATTTCCTAGCATAAACTTTACTGGGTAGGATACAAGCTTCAGGTAAATAATCAGCTTTGCTCAACTGAGCTAAAAATATCATCAAAAAGAGCTAATTCCTGGCTCAGTTTCTCCTCCCTCCTCGCGCCGTCGTACCTGCGGAATGTCGAAGGGCTCCACCTCCGGCGCGGCGCCGCGGCTGCTGCGCCGGCCCTGCGGCGACCGTTTGCCCGCCGAGCCGGCCGCCGCCGCCGACAGGCTGCGCCGCATCGCCGGCGACGTGAAGAGCGCGCTCCGGCGGCGCGGCTCAGACGCCACGTCCGAGCCCATCGCTGCCGACTCTCAGGACTGGTCCGTGAGCCTGCGGTGAGGGGGCGGTGGAGGGTAGATGCATCAGACCTGTAGAATGAAAAGTGATGGTCATACAATTCTGAGATTGTTTCCGCTGGAGATGAGAGTGAAACTAGGAACAGAACTAAGGATGGAGCTTAGGAGCTTTGGGTTGGATTTCCACATCAATTTGTGAAAAAAATGTCATCAGAGGTAGAGGCAAGTGTATAATAGATGCAGATTACAAACCTATCTCCGGTCATTCTGAAAAGTATGCCACCATCACATACCTATCTATTATGAATGAGGTTGGGCTGGATGTTTATTAGTGATCCACAAAATAGCTCGGTGTGTTGCAGCTTGCACGAATACACATGGGTAAAAATTATAGATTTTGGATGAAGCAGTGTAGGCCTAACTGCATTGCAATGCTGAGCTATGGCAGTGGTGCTGCACTTCCTAAGATAGTTTGATATTAGAATCTGGGGGAACCACCAGACAGAAGGCAGATATGAGCATTGAGCAGCTGTTCACTCAGTAAATGGATGAGCTGCATCAGCAATTTCAAACTCAGTGAAAGTGTGAGACCCTAAAGTCTGTGGTGCAAATTTAAAGGTTGTTTCTGGTGAAGGTTGAGCAGATTACCAATCAGAATTATGCAGGGTAATGCAGTGCACTTGTTCTCTGCAACCACGCCACACAAGTTAGATCGAAAAGTAATTTTCACTTAATAAGTTAATAGCCAAATATTACGAAGGTCCTAACTTAGTGGAACAGTAGGTATGTTATAAGCTGTAATCGCCATGCCATATGTGGAAGGCTTTTGATGTCAATACATACATACATACATTAATACATATAAAATGATGATAGGTAGACAATATAGGTAAACAATATAAACCTTGAAAGTACAAAGCACCTAGGTCATCTTCCTGTCTCCTACAATCACAAAAATTATAACCAATGCCCTTACATCACACATTTTAGAATGACCACTGTTTGGTTGCCTTTTTCATCAGCAGGCTGGCAGGCAGCAGCTCGAGACTCGCTATTCGCTAGCAAGTTTCTCATTGATTGAATTTGTGTGATCTGTGTAGTTCATCAATGAAAAACCACAAAATTCTAAAAATGAAATTCCATATTGATACATAGGAAAACCAGCAACATGCTGATTAAGCACACCAAACAGCAAACGCCAAACAGTGACATGGTTTAATCACGATACCTTAGTAAACACAAAAACAGCATCATGAATTGGTCACAGAAAATAAAAATGCAATAGACAATCATAAAATGTAATGTATCAGAGACTGAGACATGATGAAATATGAATACAAAGGCCACCAAGTCCCAAGATGTCATAACAACCACATTCTGATTCACACTCACCAACTCAAAGTTGAACTCCAATTCAGTATCAATTCAAAGCCGCTTAGAAAGTAAAAGAGAAATCATTATTTGCTAATAATCTCAATATGCAACCTTGGGCTCAAATACCAAATAGGCATCACCAATACACCAAAATTAAATATCGTTTTCAATCATTATAATACACGGTGACGGTCGCACACAGAGGCGTTGCGATTCGTGCGAAATATCGCGCCAGAATGACAACACGATTGTGATTCAAAATGGTTGCAAAATCAAGAACTTTAAAAATGTATCAAGTAGAAAGCGACCACTAATTAGAAAGTATACAAATCGCATGCTGTGAACAGCAGTCATATTTCAGTTTTCGACCAAAACTATGTCCTGTGTGCCACAACATTATCATTATTGTCACATAACGACGTCTTTGAACTGCAACTTGCTAAAGAATCACATGCAAAATAAGCCAAACTGTCTCCAAGCTGAATTACAGCCGGCTTCAGCCGGACTCGGTAATCGGGCTTTCACTGCCTTCCCAGTTCCCGCCTTCCGGGTAATGAGTCCGACATTGCGACGCTCTGGCATGCGATGCAAGCATTTCTTCCTTTGGTAAAGACGAGGAACTACAGGCAAATGGTATCAGACATCAGTACATGGATGGCCGGATCTGTCTTCGTGATCGATAATTCCGGACTACTTAGGTAGGTACCTAATATTTGCAACAGTTACCGTTACTACACGGGATTTCATTACAGGAGGGCCTGAGGTTCCATTCACCTTATACCTACGTCCTACGCTGAATAGCTAGTATGATCGCGAGCGCGCTTCTTGTATTCCTTAGTTTGTATACTAGGGAAACTGAAAGCTACGTCAGAACTCCCCATAATGAAACAACATGCACATTCGACCGTATTTATTTGGGTGTAGGACAAACATGATTATGGGTTGTGTTGTCAAAGCGGTCACCGATTATGTCTCGTAGATGATACCATGTGGGCTGCGAAGAGAATTAAACGGTCACATTGGAAGATGTGCCCACAGTATCTGATTGAGGGTGCTCTCCCATCTGCAGTAGGATAATGAAGTACGTCATAATAAATCCGAAAACCTGAAACACATGAGAATATGTTATAATATTAATATGCAGTAGCCAGACATCGATTCATTTAGGGGATTCACAATAATAGGTAGTGACTACTGTGAGACAGCTATAACTGCAACGAATCAACTAGAGCATGTACCATGATGTATTATATACATCATGGTATATAATATACCATGATGTATTATATAGGTGATGTATTATAAAGCGTGCTAGTGCAAAATAAGCTGTTATGTGTATCATAGAATCAATTATTTTGAATCACGGCGTGTTCTTCGAATAACATTTCGGAAAGCGCCTTTCTCGGAATTCTTACCGCAAGAATGTTGCTTTTCTCAATTATGAAAAACCCCATTGCCGTGACATTGAATGGAAGCTTGACGATCTGTAAGAAAGCCTTCTTCCGACGCCTGTCTGCTTTAGACACGACGCTCCAATCCATCGTCGTGAGCGTTTCCGCCAGCGCTGCATTCTGAAAACAATTATGCATTGTTGGAATAAGAAAAGTTTTGACCTTAAACGGCGTTTAAACGTTTTTCTCAGACCCCTGCATGTGTCGCCATTCAAACAATATTGTTAAATGGTAACCGGTGGGGTAGTTTTTGGCAATGGTAAGTGTTTGCCATTGTTTGTGGCTTGACCCAAGACCTTGTAAATTTGTCTAGGTACATAAAGGATCAAGAAATGCTAGGTACACATATTTTATCTTATGCGCATCGCATTCGTCAAGCATGCACGCTCAGGGGACATATAAGCACTAAGTATAAATACCTGCAGTACATACATACCGGTATGTCTGTCAGGTAAGATTAGGTCAAGTGGCACGTCTGACCTTTTCCGTAATGTGTGAGCCGTAGACCGAATAGGCGATCACACGCCAGAGAAACAGCATGATATAAACCGTGTAAGACGCCACCTTCGTGTGGGCTCCGAGGTCATCGAACGCCGAAACATTCGAAAGCTGTAAAAAGAGTGATTCGGTTAGCCGGTCATTAAATCAAAATTGAGAATGTTTCTTCGCACACCACTACGAACGGTCACACAAACGTACAAATCACGAACGGTGTCACTGAAAACCGCTAACTCTGGAGGATGGTGACACGGTACGGTTGATGACGTCACCTACCACGACGCTGGCGTAGGCACTGGTGACGATGTTGATCAGCGACGCGGCGTAGCAGCCGAACAGCGGCAGTCCACACAGGCCGTTCAGCCGGGCTAACAGCCTGCGAGACAATAAACGGGTGGGGCAGGACTTGTGAATAACCAGACTAATGTATAACGTCTACATTCCATGTTTACGGGTTATTCTAAACATTAAGCTGCAATTTCATTGCACAAAATTTGGCATACATTAGAAGGCAATGGTAGCCCACAGTGCAGTGTCAACACACGGCGGTGGCGGCACTGACCGGCGAATGTCGCTGTAGTACACTGAGAAAACAGTGTCCCGATTTTCGGGCTCAGAGACCAGTTTTCGGGCTAATGTACCATATTCAAAACAGACAGCACATTTCGAGAATACTTTCTGAGCTAGCGCCACATGGGCTCATACGATCCCTTAAATCGGTATCATTGATCGCAGAAACAGAGCTCAGTCAGTACCCATTATCGGTGTCAAGCTCTAAAACTAGTCTCACTATGATACCAGTTTTCAGCCTGATCCCCAATTTCGAGCTCACCTGATTCCAGTTTGAGGGCTCAAATTGTGTGGTGAAGCCAATATTAGGGCTCACGTCATCGCTTTTCGGGGCTTTGGTAAAAGCTGGATTGCGTCAGCTGGCTGGCCAGCTGGCGACGCACGAAAGGTATTTAATTTTAGATATACCTAAGCGCGGTAGTAGGATGGACATAAATATTTCAAATGGCTTTAAATGAAAAATTGATTGGTAAATATTCATTCTTTTATATCTAGCATTGATATGTAAGAAGCTCTGCTAGCGCCACCATACGGCGCCAGCTGGCAAAAAAATCCAGTTAATACCAGAGCCCGCTTTTCGTCCGATGCAGCCCCTCCTCCCCCCTCCCCCGTGTCCAGCAGCTGCGAATAAGACGAAGCCGCGGACAAACTTTTTTTTTTTTTTGCTCGGCCAGCCTAGCGCCAGTCTCGAGCGGTGGGACAGTTAACCGGCAATTTTGGCCGGGATGCAAAAGTTACGTTAAACCGGTTTATGTTAACCCGGGAGCAAATAACAACGTGGGAGCCTATCTTAGGTGTGGCAAAGCTAACGGATTACTTACTTGTTGCCGAGGTGCCCAAAGAAGGTACTGGAACCGAAAACACAACATTGGTTCATGTATTTATTAACATTCATACACACAGTCATACTTCTGCAAGGTGTCAGTGTTCGGTTGTGGGGTGTAATAGCCAGGGAAAAAGTTATATGAACTGAAAAACCCGGCGCCTATTACTTCGCAACATGGTTGTGTATTCAACATGAACTGCAAGGAGTGCAGACGACATTGCCTGTGCTAACTTAACGTCTCACGGGCAGCGCCGCGCTCTGACACCTTGGTCCCAGAAGCGGCGGCGTTTCTGACCGCAAATCGCCGGAGAGCCGGTCGACGCCGTTGAGGGGACTGAGCAGGCCGCTGCCAGCTCCACCTTCACGTCCGCGCGGCGCAGCTCGGTGTGCGGCGGCGGCTCATCGCGCGGGCCGCACCCGTCCGTCCGCTGCACGAGCCGCTTTTCGATCCGACAGCGCAACACCGGCACGCCATTGTGCTGGCTGAGCGGCGGCAGCGGCACGTAGGCAACAAAACAGTAGAAATCGATGGGCCTGGATCGGCGTTGCCAGCAACGCCGGCAGCGGCGCGGCGGGAGGCGCCAGTGCCGCCGTCGGGGACGTGTGCCCTTCGCTGCGCTCATTCGAGTTGGCCGGCCGGCCGCGCGGCGTAGTCCTTTTGACACGGTGCGAGAAGAGCCGGATGAAGGTGGACTTTTTATTGGCGTTGCTGGTGCTCACGCCGCCGGCGTCCAGTTTGGGCGGCAAGTCCGAGTACCAGGAGTCGGAAAAGTCCCGCGCGAACGCCGCCAGCCGGTCGTCGTCACTGCTGGCGGCGGCCCGCCGACGGCGCTGCCTCAGAATCGGACGAGTCGGTGGTACTGAGCACCTCGCGGGACGGGTAGCTGGGAGTGGGCCGGCCGCGGCCCCTGCCAGGCCGCGCCACCTTCACCGGCGCAGCCGCCTTCAAACTGCCCTTGCTGGGCGGCGGGTTGGTCGGCGGAGGCGGCAGCGGTGCCTCGACGTCAGTCAGAGTCGCTGTCACTGGGCGGCCGCCGCGGAGACGGCTTCTGTTTGACCCGCAGCCGGCCTGGGCCGGCTCGGCGCCCTCGGCCGGCGGCGCGCGCCGTTTCGAGCGTTTCACCTTTTCACTGTTACTCTCGCCTGGTCCACAGCGTCGAGCGGCTCGGCGCTGTTCGGTTTCATGTGGCCCATGCTGCTGGGAAACTCGGGTGGGGACAGCTTTCTGACTGGTGTGCCGTCGAAGATGGAGGAGGCGGGGGTGCTCGCAGAGTCCTTGCCCAATGCCCATGATAGAGCCGAGGCTCCACTGGACGCCCAGCTTAATCGGGCTATCGCCGCCCTCCTTCTATGGTGGATTCTTCGGCCCCCTACAGCCACTAGGGCCATCATATACTCCCAGATGGCGGCACCTAGGGGATGAGAGGGGGGGGGGTGTCTGGGCCACTTGTCCACCTCGTGGCGTCGCCAGCGACGCCTGCGAGTCGGAGCAAATGATTATGGGGTCTTCCTCGAAGGACGGGTGCTTCAGGAGATGTTGCTTTGCCGTTTTGGGCGCCACCATCTCAGATCGGTAAATGGAGCAAATCCTCCCCGCCGCCTCCCGCAGTACCAATGTTGTACTGTCTGGGTGCTCGGTGAGGACCCCAGCGCCGCCTTCCTATTACTCCCCCGGTCGCAGACCCGTCGACCCAGGCCCACGTCGCACGCTGGGGGAGCGCTCCCAGTCACGCCTCCGCAGCACTCCTCCTCGCTGTTGCGGACGCCCCGATCGGCAGCAGGTCCAGGTGGACCGTGACGCCGTCTGTTGGCGTCTACGGGGGCAGTCTCGTGGATAAGCGCGCCTCGGCGGGCAGCGCCACTCCAGTGGTCCCACACCGCTCCCCCGCGCTCTCTCCAGCCGGTCACTGACTTCAGTCACGGTTGGGGGGGGGGGGCTTCCGCCACGACGCGGCGGGTCCTCCGACGGGAGGGAGAGCGCCTTCGCCAGTAGGCGCGATGCCAGCGCATCCCTCCTCATCTCTCCATCGGCACGACGCCCGCCTCGGCCCTCACGGCGAGTCTTGGAGCATGGAAATCGGGCAGCCAGTGATGACTCATGCCACCATCAGCATCTCCGCCTCCAGGACGCCAAGATGTGTGGCCGCAGCCGCAGGCAGCCACGCCGACCCCGCTGCCCGCATGCCCAAGTAGTCTCGAATCGCTGACACCTCTCCTGAAACAAGAGTGGTGTCGTAAACTTAAACCCCTTGCTGGAGCCCGCCAGCCGCGACAACACCGCCACACCAATTTTTGTGACCCCGGAACTTCCGTCCCGAGCCTTATTTCACGGCACGATGCTACAGTGCGCTACACGTATTGTGGTATTCAGCTTCCATGGAAACATCAACTAATTTGGACGCTCAAACATGGGAGTCAGGAGTGGTTAAGGCCCAGAGCGTTCTGTCTGGTTTATAAAACCTTGGCCAGCAGATGCAAACGTGCTTTTTGTATAAGTGGCTTAATTTTGACGCAAAAGGGCACTAACCTTCGGCGCAAATAATGCAGAAATTTCAGCGCAAATTGCAAAATAGCTTGCGCCGAACTTCGGCGCATGACGGCTTCACGGGCGTCCGGCGTACCATATGGATGTTTTCCAGTTTGGGCTGCAGGTTTTAGCTCTAGGTTTTAGACTGTAGGTTTTGGGTTGGGTTAGGCTGGGCTGGGCTGGGCTGGGCTGGGCTGGGTTGGGCTGGGCTGGGCTGGTTGGGGTGGTTGGGTTGGGTTGGATTAGGTTAGGTAAGTTTAGGTTAGTTTAGTTTAGGATAGATATGAATACCTATTTTTTGTAAGTTGAATTATTTTTTCATTTTGTAGCATCATATGCCTTCCATCTTTGAACTGCCATATTCAAGCACCAGAATAAATATGGACTTGAACCTTTTCCAGTCTGGATGCCTGTATGGAAGTTGTGCAAAATCATGCAGTTGAAGGTATTGTAACCACAAATAAGAGCTCATGACTCAAGTCTCAACTTGTCCATAATTGGTTATCTTGATGTATACTTGTAGACCCTTCCTCTTACTTGGCACACAGGCATGGTGTCACAGTGTTCTAAAATTGGATTTCAATTGGGTGTCCCAATAAAAAAAATCTGAAGACAAAATGAGAGATTTAGTCTTTCCGCATGTTAGTGCGCCTGTGAGCCGCGCGCCTGTGTGCGCGTGACGGAGGAGTCATGCGTCTGCAGCGACACCTGCGCCTTACGGTCTGCGCGGTGCGGTGGAGTTTCCCAGACAGCCGCGAGATGGAGCAGCCTGCCCCTTCCTGAGCCGTTCCCGTCCCCCCACGCTGGCTTCGCGCGGTAGCTTTATTGGCCGTGTCTCAGACGGCGCGAACAGCTGATCGATACTTTTGCCCATCTCTGTCGCGGGCGGTACTTGTTCGTTGCGTACGATATATGTGTTATCTTTTTGTGTTGTGTTTCGCGGGATGAGTTTATACGGGGATATTTTTCTGTTATTCCGCATGTTATTTGTTTTACGGATGAGTATGGCATGCTCATGTGTTAATGTTTATGTCCGCGTGTCTGCAGTACTTGCGGGTTCCCGTGACTGGCGGGCTCTAAGTCAGCCGCCATACTCAGTCCTTTTCATGGTGTACTCCGTCGAGAATGGAGGCATGGCGCCTGAGTGGACGAAATCGTTGGTAAGAATTGAACATTATGATTTATTGCTTTATTGCTTCTAGATTATCGCGCTCTTGAATTTGTTCTATTTTTCCGTATCGTTTATTCAATGTTTTTGCCTTTGCAGAAACCGCTAGATGCATCGTTGTTTACCGTGCCTACCTGCGCTAGTGCCAGTTTGAGTTGCCACGCTGCTTCATATGCTGCACCTACGCATCAGTATTCGCTAGTCGACCGCATCGTGACGAATACAAGCAACGCTCTGGCTACGGTGTTCTGCGCGTAACAACGCTCGTCAATCTACGGCTCAGGCGACAATAGTTTCAACGATCGTCTTCATCATCGTCTTCCGGGGGCATCAGCATGTCTGCTTGCTGATTCCGTCGCTACCGGCCGACGCATGACCGCTGCAGACGCGATTGCCTGCCGCCGTGGGGACTGGATCCAGGATGGAGGTTCCAGCAGCCTAATGTCCCTGCGGTGGCGGAGGTTCGCGTCTGCTGGCTGGCACCTACTGGGTGGACGCCACTGCTACTGATGGTGGGTGCTGCTGCTCCTGATGGCAGGGAAAGAGGTCTGACCAGTGATCTTTTCTGTTTGTTAAAGGGACCCTCCCACCTTAACATTAGCTTTGAGTTGAGATAGCCAAGTTTGCGGCCAGGCTCAGAAACCACCATTTATCCTGGTCGCAACCCCCGCAGCTTTATGGTGTTCAAGAAATTTCTTCCCTTTACTTGCAGGGTGGGACCAGCGTGGTCCCTATCTCTTAACCATTACGGGAATCTGATGACGTCATCAGGCTTTCGAACGTCCGTTAAATGTTTGACTAAAACGTGTTGTAGTACGCGGTGGTATATGCTGCTTTGCGCGCAACAAATGCCGCACTTTCAAATAAAGTCGCTAGGAACAGCGGAGATCCCAAAAAGTAAACAAAAGTAAAAGTCTAATATCTTGAAAACCGGTGAATATTTTTCGATGAAATTTGGTAGCTATTCATTTTTGCTCTTTCTGAACCGAGCGACATCACTTTCATGCCAATTCATTAACTTTTTTGAAGGTGGGAAGGTCCCTTTAAGACTTTTGAGGCATGCATGGAACAGGTGCAATGATGTGGTGTGTCTGAACCATATGAGGCTGACATTCGTGTAGGTATTCTCGGTGCTAGTTTGACATGTGTTTAGCTTAAGGTTGAAGTGTTCATTCATAACTTATCGTGCCAGCAACCCTATCCTTCTGACCTGCCCAACCTGACCCACATGACCCCCTCACTTGACGTTGACCTCGCTTGACCTTGCTTGACCGTGTGTGTCAACGATAACCATGGACCTTGACAAGTTGACAAAGGAGGAGCTGGTCGGGGAGTTGACTAGGCGTGGAGAAGATGTGCGGGGAAGAAAGCCAGTCTTGTTGGAGAGGTTGAGAGAGCTCTTGAAGGAAGAAGAGTTCCAGAGTCAGGGAGCTAGGAAGCAGGCCAAGGAAGAGACCGATAAGCTGCATGAAGAGTGTGAGCCGAAGAAAGCCGATGATGGGAAGAGTGTGAAGTCGGGATCATCAAGATCTGGAGGTGGAAGTGCGGCAAGTTCCAAGCCTGCCTCCAGTGTCCGAACATCGGTCAGCATCGTCTCTGCCAGGGCTTTGGAGAGAGCGAGGCTGGCTGGGCTGTCTGCCAAGAAGGAAGCCCTGAAGAAGAGGCACCAGCTTGAAGAAGAAGAAGCTGCATTGAGAAAGAAGAGAGAAGAGCTGGAGATCCAGGCGGAGATAGACGAGAGTGAAGCCAAGGAGAAGGTCCTGGAGGAGATGCTGAAGGTGGAGCATGCGACAAGAGCTGCAAGTATGTGGTTGCAAGGGGCTGCTGCCGCCGACACAGTCCAGCCACAGGAAGCTGCGGTGACAAGAGCTCTGCAAGATGCCGCAGCTCAGCAAGATGCTACATCTCCAGCGGCATCTCCACAGGAAGTGACACCAGAATCCGTTCTGCAAGACGAGCCAACACAGCAGCAAGTAGCTGGCGGGGCTCCGGCTCAACACAGCACTGACCTGCAGATGGTAAGGCGTCTCCACCTGCCATCACTTGACCTGACCACTTTCAGGGGTGACACTTCGAAGTTCAAGCCCTTCCTCAGGACCTTCGAGTCCAACATAGCAAGAAATGTGGACTGTGATGCTGAGAGGCTCCTGTACCTGCTTAAGTTCACCAAGGGAAAGCCACACGACCTCGTTCAGACCTGCGTTCATCTGCCTGAAGAGCAGGGCTATGCCCAAGCTGTCATGTTGCTCCGCCGCAGGTACGACTGTCAGGCTCAGACCGTAGCTAGTCTGGTGGACGAGATGCTAGCCCTACCCACCCTTAGAGCGGATGATGGAGACGGACTGGATGACTTTGGCATCTTCCTCAGGGGCTGCATGAACGCGCTCGAGAACCTGCCACACGGTGTGGGGTCTGTTGACTCGAAGACCATCCGGAGACTGCTGGAGAAGCTCCCGTATCACCTGACTGAGAGGTGGCGCCGGAAAGCTGATGCCATCGAACAGGAAGGGAGACGTCCAGCGAACTTCAGTGATCTTGTCCAATTCATCGAGACTGAAGCAAGGATTGCAACGAACCCCTCGTACGGACGACATGTGCTGTGCCCAGGAACAAGAACCAAGAAAGATGACACAAAGCTGAAGGTGCAGCCCTCAGGAAGGGTAATCGCTGGAAGAACTCTAGCAGGAAGTGTCCAGCCCATGGAGAATGCACACCCATCATGTCTCTTTTGCCAGGGAAAACACCAGATCGAAAACTGCAAGAAGTTCGAGTCCAGGACGCACGAGGAGAGGAGCAAGTTCGTGAAAGAGAAGGGCCTCTGCTTCGCCTGTCTTCAGCATGGCCACCGCTCCAGGTTCTGTAAGGAAAGGAGGACCTGTGAGCGGTGCAACAGAAGCCACCCAACTGTGCTCCATGAAGATAGGATAAGTCCAACACCAAGTGCTACAACAGGCCATCTGGCGCCCAGCGGGGCGGGAGGGGCCAAGCTCCAGGTGCTGAAGGTGATGGTGGGGCTAGACAAGGAGACTGTGGTAACTAACGCCTTTCTGGACAGCGGTAGCACACACTCGTTCATCTCAAAGCACCTGTTGCAGAAGATGAAGGTGACGCCGCAAAACAACTCATCACTGAGGGTGTGCACGATCAGGGGAGAGGCGGTGATGGACAGCTGTCTCGTTCCTGGTCTGGTCATCAGAAGCCTCGATGGGGACAACTGCATGGAGCTGCCGCCTCTGTATGTCCTGGACCACATCCCTGTGACGTCTGAAGACATTCCATCCGAAGAAGATGTGAGTAAATGGAAATACCTGCAAGATGCTGGAGTATTTCTGGAGACACTATCAGGTGACCAAGAGATTGGCCTCCTGATAGGAGGTAACGCGGCCAGTGTGATGGAGCCTGTGGAAGTGTGTCCGAGCCGAGATGATGGTCCCTATGCTGTGAGAACGAGGTATGGTTGGGTGCTGAGTGGTGTCGGGAAGTTCACCAAGTCAGTCAGCATCAACCGCATCAAGATCGTGGACGCACTGGGCCCAGAAGAGCTGTTCGAGGACCGAGCCGACACAAGAAGAGGTCTGTCGGTTGAAGATGTAAGATGGTGCACACAGATGGAGACAGGCTGCAGACGAAGAGAAGGGAGATACGAGATCAAGCTGCCCTTCAGGGAGAGCAAGCCGCTTCTTGACAACAACCGTCAAGTTGCTCTCAAGAGGCTCAATCTTCTGAAGAGGGCCTTTGAGAAGGACCCGAAGTACGCTGAAGAGTACAAGGCTGTGATGGCAGACCTGCTGGAGAAGGGGTATGCGGAAGAGGCCCCAGACAACGATAAACCAGCATGCAAGTGGTACATCCCGCACTTCGGAGTTCGGCATCCGCAGAAAGAGAAGGTTCGGGTTGTGTTTGACTGCGCGAGCAAGTTCAACGGCGTGTCTCTCAATGACACTCTCTTGCAGGGACCTGACCTGACTAACCCACTGATTGACGTGCTCATCCGTTTCCGTGAACAGCCGTACGCCTTCACGGGGGACATCGAGGCCATGTTCATGCAGGTGTTGGTCCCCGAACATCAACGAGACTACCTGCGGTTCCTGTGGTGGCCACGAGGAGATGTCACCTGCACGCCCAAGGAATATCGCAATACAAGACATCTCTTCGGTGCTACGTCTTCACCGAGCTGCGCCAACCTGGCGCTGCACAGGACAGCTGAGGAGTTCGGTCAGAAGATGGAGGAGGCCAGAGACACCGTGAGACGGAACTTCTATGTGGATGACGTCCTGAAGTCTGTGGGAAGCGAAGGAGCCGCGGTCAAACTGGTCGGAGACCTCAAGGCGCTCTGCGCCGAGGGCGGCTTCAAGCTTACCAAGATCAGCAGTAACAGTGTCGGAGTCCTGAGATCTGTGCCCAGAGAAGAGAGGACAAAGAAAGTGAAAGAGCTCACGCCGGGGACAGACGCTCTTCCAGTGGAACGCGCCCTGGGAGTACTGTGGGACACTAACTCCGACATGTTCAGCTTCCAGGTAGACGTCAGCAAGTTGACGAAGAAACCGAAGACGAAGAGGGGGATGTTGTCGGCTACGGCGTCCTGCTACGACCCGCTGGGACTGGTGACTCCATGCATCGTGAGAGCGAGGATCTTGCTCCAAGACCTGTTCCGGCTGAAAGTGGGCTGGGATGAGGAAGTGCCCAAAGCTACGAGAGAATCCTGGGAGCGATGGCTGCGAGACCTGCCGCAGTTGTCTCACTGTTTCTTCCCCAGGTGCGTTACGGCGGGAAGACTGGACGGGACGGTGGAGCTGCACCACTTCGCGGACGCGAGCGAGAGAGCCTATGGCGCCGTCTCCTATCTGCGTACCGTGACGCCGGAAGGACGCGCTCACTGCGCTCTGCTCGCCAGCAAAGCTCGACTGGCCCCCGTGAAAGCGCTCACTATCCCCCGACTCGAGTTGGCTGCTGCCAAGCTGGCGGTTGAGGCAGGACAAGAGCTGGTCCGCGCACTGGACACCCGAGTTGAACAGAACTACTGGACTGACAGTACGACAGTACTGAAGTACATCCGCAACACCAGGACACGGTTTCATGTATTCGTTTCGAATCGGCTCGCGGCTATTCATGACGGGTCGAGCGTCGAACAGTGGAGGTTTGTGCCCACAGGTCAGAACCCGGCGGATCTGGTCTCCCGGGGAGTGGACGCCCAAACGCTGATGGGCAGTAGCCTCTGGAGAGCCGGTCCTCAGTTCCTGAAGGGGCCGCCGGAGACGTGGCCGAGCGACCCAGAAGCTGGAGAAGGAGTCTCCGAGCACGATCCGGAGGTGAAGACATCTACATGCCTGAGCAGCGTCGAGGGCAATGCCGACGCCGTCAGGCCGATGAAGAGGCTAGTCAACCACTACTCGACTTGGAGACGGCTGACCAGGGCGGTGGCATGGATCCGCCGTGTGTTGCGGATGCTGAGGGACAAGAAACGTGGCGGCATCATGTCGTCGCCGGCCGAGCTCAGCGTACAGGAGATTGCAGACGCTGAGAAACTCATCATCTTGTCGGAGCAGGAAGCGAGCTTCCCGCAGGAGATGAAGGACCTGAGAGCGGGCAAGGAAGTACGTCTGTCGAGCCCGCTCGCCCGCCTGGATCCCGGCCTCCAGGATGGCGTGCTGAGAACTCGGGGTCGCCTGAGGAACTCCGCGCTGTGCCAGACTGCCAAGTGCCCAGCGATCCTTCCGAAGAAGGGGCGCGTCATTGATATGCTGATCGAGGACTTTCATTGCAGAGCCGGCCACGAAGGAAGACAGCACGTCATGGCTGACATCAGTAGGTCTTACTGGGTGCTGGGAGCTAACTCGGCCGTCAGGCGCGTGTTGAGCCGCTGCCTGAGCTGCCGCCGAAGGCAGAGACCGCCGGAGACTCAAAAGATGGCCGACCTTCCGGAGGATCGGGTTCGTGAAGGCGAGAAACCGTTCACCAGGACCGGTGTCGACTTTTTCGGCAACTTCTACGTCAAGAGGGGCAGGTCTCACGTCAAGAAGTATGGCGTAATCTTCACGTGCCTCGCAACGCGAGCGGTGCACATAGAGGTGGCGGAAAGCTTGTCAACTGACTCGTTCCTGTGCGCACTGCGCAGGTTTGTCGCTCGCCGAGGCGACGTACGCACCTTGCGCTCTGACCGCGGTACAAACTTCACGGGCGCAGACCGAGAGCTCCGAAACGAAGTCGACAAGCTGCAGAACGACAACAACCGGATCCAGAAAGTTGCCCTGGACATGAAGATCGACTGGAGGTTTAACCCGCCGCACGCATCGCACTTCGGCGGAGCCTGGGAAAGGCAGATTCGCACTATCCGCAAGATCCTGAACGCCATCCTGACCGAACAATCCATGACAGACGAGACGCTTCACACACTCCTGTGTGAGGTCGAATGTATAATTAACAACCGGCCTCTGACGCCGGTCAGTGCTGACCCCAGAGACGAGACTCCGCTCACACCTAACCACATCCTGCACCTCAAGTGTGTAACGCTTCCCAGCAGCAGCGCTACTACAGACTGCGACCTAGTCGGTCGCCGCCAATGGAGACGAGCCGCCTACTTGGCGGAGCAATTCTGGCGCCGTTGGCGCAGGGAGTACCTGCCGTTGTTGCAGACGAGAGCAGGACGATCTACAAGAAGCACGACGAACATGAAGCCAGGGGACATCGTGCTCATGGTGGACGACGCCGTTCCTCGCGGAACTTGGCCGCTCGGACGCGTAGAGGCGGCGCCGGCGGCCGCGGACGGACGAGTTCGCACCGTGTGGGTCCGCGTCCGCGGCACGACTTATGCGCGACCCATCACCAAGGTGGTGAAGATTATCGGCGCTACCGAGGCCGAGTGAAGAAGGAAAGTTTAAGTTTGTTTTGACGGCGAAGTCAAAAAGGGGCGGGTGTTAGTGCGCCTGTGAGCCGCGCGCCTGTGTGCGCGTGACGGAGGAGTCATGCGTCTGCAGCGACACCTGCGCCTTACGGTCTGCGCGGTGCGGTGGAGTTTCCCAGACAGCCGCGAGATGGAGCAGCCTGCCCCTTCCTGAGCCGTTCCCGTCCCCCCACGCTGGCTTCGCGCGGTAGCTTTATTGGCCGTGTCTCAGACGGCGCGAACAGCTGATCGATACTTTTGCCCATCTCTGTCGCGGGCGGTACTTGTTCGTTGCGTACGATATATGTGTTATCTTTTTGTGTTGTGTTTCGCGGGATGAGTTTATACGGGGATATTTTTCTGTTATTCCGCATGTTATTTGTTTTACGGATGAGTATGGCATGCTCATGTGTTAATGTTTATGTCCGCGTGTCTGCAGTACTTGCGGGTTCCCGTGACTGGCGGGCTCTAAGTCAGCCGCCATACTCAGTCCTTTTCATGGTGTACTCCGTCGAGAATGGAGGCATGGCGCCTGAGTGGACGAAATCGTTGGTAAGAATTGAACATTATGATTTATTGCTTTATTGCTTCTAGATTATCGCGCTCTTGAATTTGTTCTATTTTTCCGTATCGTTTATTCAATGTTTTTGCCTTTGCAGAAACCGCTAGATGCATCGTTGTTTACCGTGCCTACCTGCGCTAGTGCCAGTTTGAGTTGCCACGCTGCTTCATATGCTGCACCTACGCATCAGTATTCGCTAGTCGACCGCATCGTGACGAATACAAGCAACGCTCTGGCTACGGTGTTCTGCGCGTAACAACGCTCGTCAATCTACGGCTCAGGCGACAATACCGCAAAACTGCATAATGCCATTTTTACCTCAGATTTTGTCAGAACCTTCACAGGATCTGAAATGAAATGATGTAGAGTAGATGCATCAACTGTCAAGTCATGCGTAACCTGGCAGCTGGCTGTTGAATCAAACTTTTGACATATTTTTTTAGCAAAGATGAAATAAAGCCACTTGTCATATTTTTAGGATGAAAACATTTTCCCCATCATGTGTGGTTATTCACCTAAAATTCTGAAACATGGAACACTGTCATACCAGCATTCCATCATGTCAACCAGCATTCCGCAGCATGTTAGCAGAAGCAGCAGCATGTTATAAGTATATGAAAGATCCAAATAGGTTGTAGGTTGGTAGGTATTGGTACTAAGTTTAACTTAATAGGTTAGTAGGCAAGGTTAGGATTAATTTTAGTTGAGCATCAAGATAACCATTACGAACAAGTAACAAAATCCTTACCTACCCTTGAAAGCATTGCTTCAATCACATCATCACGAAGAACCAGACAAAATTTTTGCACATTCTTACACTATTTGACATCCTGAATCCAGATATGATGCTTTCATGTGGCGCAAATACAAGAAAAACGAATAATCAAACCCGTGCGTATTCGTATCAACGGCGCCACAATTGTAGATCAGACCTTTTCTGAACAAATGCCACCACAATTTTAATTGATAAGGGATTAAAATGGCATGAGCATCAACATCTTGATTTTTTCTAAAAGATAGCGATAACTGATAACTAATAACTTACCATTCATTTTGAAATCACGGCGGTAGGTACACCAACACATGGCACTGAAAACCTTGCTGAAAACAGCAAAAGACGGAATGGCGGAATGTCGTATGGAGCCCTAAAACGCAGCTCGAATTGAGCCCGAAAAGGAAGACGAACTGATGCCGCTTTCGGGGCTAATGTACTTTGAGCCCGAAAAGGGCGCCTAACTGATCCCGATTTTAAAATCATACAGATTTGAGCCCTGTTTTGGCACTCATATGAGCCCTTATTCAAAAATGTTCTCAAAGTGTTTTCTGAGTGTACTCCTCCGCTGCCGCCAGCCTTTCGCCGTCGCTCATTGGGCCGTCTCCGACCGACTGTGACGTCACCACACCGGGCGCCGCCATCTTGACACGCTGACCCCAGTTCTTCGTGACTCTTTTCTCACGGCCTCGCTTCTCATCTTGATTGGGAGAGACTTGTCGATTAGAGCGCAGAAGAGTCAGGTTAAACAGCGTCCCATCGGCCAACTGTGACGCTTTGTTCTTTGCGTCACCTCCAACCTCGGTGGAAAGGTCAAGGTCAAGGTCAAGGTCAGGTTCAGTGTGCACCTTGCAGGTCAGGCTGGTCCGAGTGACGGTCCCGCCAGACGAGGGGTCCAGCTGCTCTCGAAGCACGGTCAGATGGAAGCTGATCGCACTCAGCCAAATGAAAAGGCACACGTCGAATGTTGCTGTCAAGCAACAAGTGAAAATCACCACGATAACCTGCAAAAGGACGGGGTTATGTTTGAGCATTCAAGCAACGGCTCGCAGCGGCAGGCGCAAGTCGTTCAGTTTTATATCAGCACTAGCCACGAATCATATATGTATGTAGGTTACGACACTAAAGAAAATGACGAGAAATTTTAAAAATGCCGCAGGGATAGTCGAAATAAGATAAACGCAACAAAGGGAAACATGCCACAGCTTAGTTACAACTTGAATACCACAATCAATAAAAACAGACCGACGGTCGCTCGTGTTATCACCTGGAATCCGAAGATGCACCAGTAGCCGGTCGGGTTTCGCAGCCCCTCGGGCACATACACCACTGCCAGGTATCTGGGGTGACGGTACTCCCCGGGCACCAGCACAAAGCAGAGCCACAGCACGAGCACAGCAGCGGACAGCAGCACGATCAGGGAGCACTGCAGCAGCAGGCGGCGACGGTCCGGGCGCCGCGGCACCCGCACACGGCCGTACAGCGACTCCAGGCCCAGCGAGATCGCCTCCAGACTGCGGCACGACCGACGGGGGATGTGGTGAGCAGCAGGGACACTTCCAGTTGTCAAAGTGTGACGGTTGTCTCCTGTTTTCCACAGCAATGAATGTAAATGCGCGCGGAATGTAATGCGGTACAGCATAAATTCAGGCGCCGACTACTAGCGACATCTGTTGGCAGGAATACAAGAAGCCCTACTCCAGCGTGAAATCGTGACACAGTCGATTCGTACTAGTCCCTCGCTGCTCAGTCGCCAACGAAGCCCTGTGTATTGAACACAGTTATGTTTTGATTGAACCGACACTTGACTCGAACCCTAAGCTTGACAGCGACGCCGTAAATAAGACAATAAACAAAGTATCGCTATCAGCGGTCATCTCATAAAACCTGGCTTTTTCACCGCGTCGGCCTGTTCACTCACTTGCTGTTCCGGCGCAGCATGAGCAGTACGAGCAGTGCCTGCAGAATGTAGCCGTGTTCGGAGACGGCCTCACTCCAGAGCAGCAGGCTGAGTCGCTCCAGCGGCAGCAGGGCGGCGCCCAGCAGGGTGACCGCCAGCAGGGTGCCCGGGACCAGCCGCAGCAGACGGGCCGGCAGCGACGCGCGCCGCTCGTACAGCGCCGAGAGCGTCAGCCAGCCGCAGAGGGTTAGAGAGAGCCGCAGGGTGCGGGCGAACAGGCACCGCGAGACGGCCATCCTGCGGCCAGCGGGGGGGGGGGGGAATGGACAGGGTGACCGAAGTAGGGATAATCAGCTAACGACTGCTAACGGGCAATGAGCTTGATAAATGGAGCGGACTAAAGGAACTAGTTGGAAAGAAAGTCAACGGAAATCACTTATATGTGCTTGTCATGAATATAGCCACCGTGCAATAGTTTTGCATGTCCAAAGACATTTCCTTGGTTTTTACTTCACTGAATTCCTTGAATCATCAGGCACCTAACTATACGCTCATGAGCCGGAAATTTTGTCCTTTGATGTACATAGGTCTACGTCTATATGTAATGCTGGTAAATGGGCCAGCGAATAATTAGGTACGAGATTATTTCATTCCAGTGACGTTCCGACCTGCATAACTTTTTCTGACAGACACTTGAATCACTAGCGTAAATATTAGATTTAGATTGTTCCGGTTCTGCCTATACATACGGCAAGCGTTTCTTGAGTGGCAATGCCGAAATTGTATTTTTACTATGTACACATCCGCATATCGAGTCACTCCATTTGACGACGAAACTGTTTAAGCTGCAACAAAAGCCCGACAAACGAACAATATTACACAGACAGATTTGAAGAAATGAATCAAATTTGCTTATCGTAGGTATCATTCGGGACCCGAAGGTTCAAACAGAAACATGTCATTCGGGCCCCTAGCTACCGAAGGCTCACTGTGGAGCGTGAGTCATAATAACTGGCGCGGAGAGAAATGTCTCACCTGTCTTCTATCGCCGCTGCTGCTGATCCTGGGACACCAGTAGGCCTCCCTGCTGTCCGCTGCTGGCTCGGAACCTGCACTCTGTCCTCTGCCATACACCACACCCGTCTGTGGCTATACTGAGCAGCCGTCCCATCCACAAGCAGCCATCGATCCCTATACACTTATCAACGGCATTCTTTCTAAGCCCATTACGAACCTTCTCCAAATGGCTTGTATCCAGGCGAATGGCATTGGTCTTTCATCAATATCGTTTGTTGAGTGTTGTTGAGGTAACGGATTGTCTAATTGATTTTAGGTGCCTATCGCTACTGTGATGGTCATGCAGGCATCGCAAGCGTGCCTCATTTCTTATAAAACTGTGTGGATAACCAAACGTTAAACGAGCAGCTATACAAGTGATAAAGACGTAAATAAACGAAATGAATTGCATTTTAGGACGTCTACTTAGCGTTGTATTCGGTCTCACTGTCACTCACCCATCTATGCGGACTAAATTTATTTTTATTAAAAAGCATGACCACGGCAGACACACGAGTCACAAGTGCCCGCACTCCACTGCAGATATCTACCACGTTAGTATCTATTTCAGCACAAGCACGATGGTACTTACCTATAGCACGCGCCAGCCGGCCGGCCGGCCGAACACGCCACCAATTCCCACGGAGTTGGTGCTCGTGACTGCCAGCCCGTGATCCTGCCGTGGCTCCCGGCTCCGTCCTCCACTTTTACGAACTAATAGTGGCGGGTGGTGTGTCCTTTAGTGGAGCGGTGATGCTACAACCGTGAGTCCGATATAAAGTTTGTGTGATTGTTTTTATATAGCCAATGAGACAAAAAAGGGCACGTACTAAATACGCTCGTGTTACATCCTCCCTGCAATTCAGACATGATAGTAACGCCTTACGCCACACTTCGTCGAACATAGTGTAGGCAAAACGCAGCATTGAACACACGTATGTACAAATGAGTGTAAGATACGCGTGCTACCCTAATTGCACACATACCTAACGCATAGGTACCACTGCGTTTTTCAGCATCAATGGATTCAATAGAAAGCCTGCTATGGGAACGGCCGGCCGAATGCCAATCAAGCTGTTTGGCTTGTGCCATTCAGTAGCGATACAAAACGCTAACTAAATGCAGATTGCGGTAGCTGATCTGGCCTGCTGAAGTGTCTTTGGTAAGCGTGAAACTCTTTCACCTATGGATTATTGAATAGGTAAGTGGATCAGCAATGCCCATGACCCGTGCTATCCGAATCAAAACCGAATTTATGCGTGCAAGCGCCTATGAAAGCATACACCAGATCCACCCACTTACACCGTTACTTAATTTTGCATCCACTGCACCCATTCCTTCACACAAACAAGCCAACGTGGTATTATCCTCAGCTCTGGTTGCCTCCACACTGAATCAGTCCACTGAATCCTCAATGAATGCTGAACCTATATATTACTTGTCTTTTCACAACAAATACGTCATCCAGGTCAACGTTAATTATTAATGCCGTAATCGGTCTCAATTCCAAACGTCGACTAAGAACATCCCTACCGGCCACCAGTGTATGCCTATAACAACTTATAACAACTTATCTTTATACCTACGGCCTTGTAGCCCATCTAAAAATAGAACAATTAGAGGGCTACTCCATCAAACGGTTTGGTACGACCCATTCACCATTTCGCATTTTGTATCGTATTTAAGGAAATGCACAATAAATCCTTCTTATTAAAAATAGGTTATAGCTAACCGATCACTCCATAAATTCATTCATTTTTATTCGTTCCTGATGAAAAAATTGATACGATGAAGAAAACGGTAGTCTTTATTGCTTTTAGTCGATGCCATTATTTTTCCCATATATCAACGTGAAAAGACAACAAACCATAGAACGATTATCTTTATCATTTCGTGTCTAACTAAACTAACCCAACTTCCACGTCTTCCATACGCTTTGGATATAAACCCCCACATACCAAAAAAGAACAGTCGCGGAATGGCGAGACGTCGAGCCCACCAAGTCAAAGACTTTATTGTTATTTCTTACTGACTTTATTATTATTTCTTATAACACGCGCCGTTTCACTCAGATGACGGTGGGGAAGACGCCGGCCACAAGCAGTGAGAAGGGCTCGGTGAATCCGGCGCGGGTGGTCTCGTTCTTCCACATCCACGTGTTGGTGAGGTACCAGCCGGTGTACTCGCTAACATCCAACGTGTCGTCAGCCGGCTGCAGGTTCATCTCAGCCGTGGTCATCAGCCGAGAGCCGAGACGAATCTCAAACGAGCGGTTAAAGTCCTTGGGGATGAACCGCACCGCGAACCGGACGGGTGTCTCGAAGTGCACCTTGCCCGACGCGTCGACGATGCCGTCGGAGCTGTTGGTCAGCAGGCTGGGGGAGGCGGACTCGATGGTGTTGAGGTGCCGGATGTCGGGCAGCCACATCTCGGCGGTGGACGACAGGCGCCGGCTGGTCTGCCCGCCGCCGGACCGGGCCAGGCTCGCGTCCGTCCACTCCGTCCTCAGCCAGCCGGTGACCAGCGCCGTGTCGGTGACCTGGCGCCGCTCGTCCGAGTTGACCTTCATGTCGTAGTGGACGTCGCTGATGGAGAGGCCGACGGTGACGGTGACGGCGCCGGCGGAGGGCCCCAGCAGCGCGAGCAGAGTCACCATCAGCGACGGCAGCAGCAGGTGAGGTGGCGACCGCATCCTGCTGCGGACACGGCGGGGTAGTGGTGAAGTAGAGAAGATGGAGAGAGGGAGTGTGCATAAATAAGCCTCGATAATGCTGATTTAATGCTCAATGATTCAATGCTGATTAATATCCGATTTCGATAGGTTCGAAGGCTTTTTCTTGATTTTTTTTTTATACGAAGGTCACAAAGACGTCACCCCGTATATTCAGCTGAGACTTGAGCAGATAGTTAAGTGGAGACGTCCAACACCTGGTCGGCCGGCTAAGCCGACTCTGAACACCGGCAGTGGGCCGGTCGGTTGTCCGCCCCCGCCTCGGCGATATAAAGGCTGCAGGACGGCCGAGGCGAGCAGCCGCCGACCGGTCGCGCGCGCGGTCACAGGGAACGCCGGTGGGATAGGCACGGTCACCGGACTGCTGACCCGACCAGCCCGCTCCGGACTGGTGAGTGACCTGTCACCTGTCACCTGACACAGTCATCAGGACAGGTGGGCTCCTGAACCAACCGCCGCGCTCACCCGTAACTTGGTAAGTTGATTTACAGACGCCCGGAAACGAATGAGCCGGCACTGCTCCCGAGCTCGGTCAACACTCGGAAATGGTCCCGTTCAGACAATCAGACCGTCTGCCTGTTTGCCCAAAGATACCAATCCATGATTATTTCCGAACTTGGGTGGAAACTTCTCTTGAGGGTCGAGCATTTAAGCCAGATTTCATGGGAGATTCACGGCAGCAGCCTGATCTAGCAGAACTTAGATCGTTCTATCATCGGGGATTAGAAAAGTTCAATTACCATCTTCACGGTTGTTTTATGCATCGAGTGTAGTTTTATTTCCCATCACGTTAGGTGGCCGTATCTCTTTTACACCTTCGTTTGATGGTAATGATAACCAAAAAGCGTCATTCTGACAACATTAAATTTAGATGAAAATAGGGAATAAGCTTACATTCAGCTCCAGCATCAATGAGCTTTCGGCTTATCTGAAGCAAGGAAAGACGTGCACTTACTTATGTATGTCGGGAGTGGAAGAATGCAATTCCTCGCTTTCAAGACAAAAGCTGCATTTTTAAGCGGTATGCAATATCAAATGATTTAAACGCGTCAACAGCCATTAATAGTCTCTCATTATTTCTATCATGAAAGAAGAACGTGGCGCTTACCTGAATTGAACACTGAGACTGTCGGATAACAGCGGGATCCTCGTGTCTCAGAGGACGACGGGCGAGCACTGAGGGCAATGCCGTCACGGACAGCGCCCACCGGTATTTGAGGTCCCAGCGCACGTCACCCCAGGTGGTACAATTCGCATGAATCTGAGGTGATGTCCACATCCGCTGGGCGATATCAATGCGCTATCGTAGACGAGGGGAGCGTATACGGCCAGTGACGCAGTGACAATGCACAGCAAACTGCGCAATTTACACACGTTACGATTCGGTGTAACGTTTGCTAGTCAGATCGCCATAATAAATTGCACAGCCATCTGAGAGACATTGTTATCTGAATCGTTTCCGGGGCTGACGGCCATGTGCACTGTGCAGTTTTGCAATGGTGAAAGGAATCGCGTGAAACGTAAACACCTGCATGAAACGTCTGCTGAGTCATTGACCTAGAAATACTTGACGTGTCGATTTCACACAATTGGCGTGCTGTTATCATCTGTCAACATGGGAAGGTCGCACATCGTAGTTAGCGATATTATAGAAGCAGTGCGAGCAGGCCGACACATGCGACTGTCCGCCGCTCTAAATTCCAGTGCAGCCCAGCTGTAGAAGTATATAGAGCTATGCATGCGAGCCGTAAATCACAGCTGTGAAGGGAATATGATATTAATGCGACCTGCAGCCCGGAGCAAGGGTCACCATGTTGGCACCTCGGTTACAGACAGACGCACTCACTATAAATAATAATGTGCTTAGATCAGGGGTCGGCAAATGGTGGGGCATGCCCCCTTTGGAGGTAATGGAGCCCTTTCGGTGGGGGTAATGAGGGATTCTGAGAAAGCCTATCTTTTTAGAGTTTGTAGCTCCAGTGATGGAGCCATCGTGACTATTGCATCCCAGGGTTCAAAGATTAGCCCAGGCCAAAGGCACAGCACACATTGATTAGATACCAATTTTCACGTACCTGCTCGCCTCACCATCTCACCCCTCCGTACAGTCGTACAAAAGCAGCTGCAACTTTTAATCGTCGCCCGTCCGTTAGCGTTTCAACAGCCGCTAACGTAAGGGGGAGGAGTCGATCGGACCCCTGCGGCCTCTCGGACTTTGATATGGAGCTGTGCATAAATAAAGACGAGCGTGCTACCAGTGACAATAGGAAGCCGTTGCTGCCCATTTTTAAGGTCCTTCATGGTCATTCCGTCTCATTCAAGAGGGCAATGACAATTGTCGAGAAAATCGGGACCCGCTATAACTTCTTGAAGTGAGATTTTATGGCTCAAGATGATCTCCAGAAAAAGCTCATAAGCCAACGGTCATTATGGGTCCAGAGTAGTGATGTCAGTTACAGAAAATCGTGATACCGATACCAAACCAAATACCAACAATAACCATAGGAAAATACCAAAACCAAAGCAACTTCAGAAACTGAGGGAAATACCAACTTTTTACCGAATTCACAGCCTCTTTTACATTAGCGACGATTCACAATACCAACAAAATACCAAATGTATTAGCCTTGAAATACCTACCAAATACCAAGTTGGTATTGGTTTGGTATCGGTATACCAAAAAGTTGGTATCCGATTGACATCTCTAGTCCAGAGGCCAGTTTTACCAACAGAAAAATAGCCGCCTGCCGGAATTTTTGCCTAAAGATCGTTTCACATATGGAGCGTAAACGGTAAAGCCCTATCCGCTTACGAGCCCATCGCGTTTACGCTCCGTATGTGAAGCAGTCTTGAGGCAAAAATCCGGCAGGCGGTTATTTTTCTGTTGGTAAAACTGGTCTCAGGTCATGATATTTTCCGGGCTAATAAAAAAAATGATGGGCTCGAGGGTATAATTTGGTCGTGATCCAATGCCTTTTACGTGAGCTTTTAACGAAAAACCACCCGCCGCCCCTATACGTACAAGGGTTAAATGGGATATAGCATAGGCGGCGGAACGGGGAGGGCACCGGGGCACCGACCACCGTGCACCCTTTGATTTTTGCATTCTAACATTAGCCCTATGGGCGTTGCATGGAAAGAATGGGACCACAAGTCGGCAGTGCCCCCCCCCCCCCTCCCCCTTAATTGAAGGTTTTCCGCCGCTACTGGGATATAGGTATTAAATGTTTTGTGGAGGAAGTGTCATGTTTTAAATTTGATGCATTGGAAATGCACAAATACCCAAAGAGTTCCAGGACGGTATGGAATTTCAGTAAACTGGGTTGTGTCAGCAATGGGGTCTGGTAGGTGGGGGTAATGGCCCTGCCTGGCGCCCAAAAAGGGGGCACGACCCCGAATGACCTGCCGACCACTGGCTTAGATTATATTCAAACAATCTTTCGTTCATCTGAAAAACATAGACTTGCCAGCACGCATTTGGTATCCATGTCCAATAGTCACTCCAACATGATTTACGTGGATATTATGAGTATCGGTTTCGATAAAACACTAACATCCTTCCTTAGTTCCGTAAGTTGAGAGCCTTTTTGAATGGAAAACAGGTCGTCGGTCAGTTTTTAAGTACATGTCACACAGGTAATCATGTTTATATTTTATGGGCAAGGTTTGCGCGTTTAGCGTAGGTACATGCGTCTTTAAAAAAAAAAAAATAATCATGTCTGGATGAGTGATGTGATGTGTTTTGCTCATTCATCCTCAGGTGATCGGTTAGCCTGCATGATACAAATTTGATAAGCGTGAAGTGGCCGTCTTAGCCGTTCCGCTTTTATATGGTACATTATTAACCCGCGCCCCACTGGGGTCTGTGTATAACACGCCCTACTGGGGGGGGGGGGGGGCTATTCATAGCCCCCCCTCCTAACTCCGAAACTACTGGGCCGATCGTCAAAATTCAAACGGCGTCTGATAGCCCCGGAAAAACTGTCGAGCGAAACCTAATTTCATTGACCTCGAGGTCACCGATGACGTCACAGGTCAGGTCAAAGTAAAAATTATTAGCACTTTGGCTTGTTCACATTTTGGGCTCTGGCCGCCGTCTTACAAGTCAGATCAGGCTCATTTTTGGTTTCCACACTCGTGAACAGATGCTCTAGATACCTTGAGGGTACCAAACTTGTACTTTGATTTTCAGGTCAGGGTCAGGTCATCACAGGTCACGAAAATATTATATCATGCGTCGGTCACGTGACACATGTTTTATGGTCCATTTAGGCCATAGATTTCGAATTTGATGTCGTGTGTGTCATTCAAGGTCATTTTGAGTCGAAATTAGCTTAGGTCAGGTCACTTTCAGGTCAAAAAAGGTCAAATTTTGAAGTTGAAATTTTTCAACAAAAAAGGTGTCTATTGGATGCAGTTTGAGCTCAGGAACACGATGGTGCCATTTATATTGGTGTACGATGCCAAATACGTACTGAAAAATTGATTTGAAAAATTAATAATTGTGAATTTTTTGCAATAATGCGTATAACTTGGCCATTTTTGAAGATATTTAGCTAAAACTTGCTAGAGTTAGTCATAATTATGCGTTCTGTCACATATATTCCGTTTTTTTCGAAAAGTCAAAAACTTTTTGAAAAAAATATAAAAATATAAATTTTGAATATTATTATATAAAATTTTCGAAATTTTCAAAATTTTGAAAATCCGAGATAGCAGTTTGATAGCGCGGTCAATTCCGAGTCCTTTCATGCAAAGAAATTGGATCTAGCTTAAAAACTGAGCTCTTGGGAGCGATTGCCGTGGTTCAATGTTTTGCGTCGAAATCGGACGAACATGACGTCACTCTGACGTCATTTCCGGCCGACCTATGGTAGCTACGAAGTTCAAATTTTGACACAAGGTGTCAAATTGATGCAGCCGAAGGTACTGAAAGATTGGCGTCGATTCGTCAAGCGGTTTGGAAGTTATTGCAGAAAAACGGGAGGGGGGGCTATAAATAGCCCCCCCCCCCAGTGGGGCGCGGGTTAAAGGGACTATCCCACCTTCTAAAATGTTGTTAAAACCAGTTAAATTGTGCCCGACTTTATAGATTGGATGACCAGGAACACGGTTCTGGCATTTATTTTTCATTAAACATCTTAGGCTTCCCATATTCCAAACACAAACTTTCAAATATGTGACGTCACAGCCCAAAATTACCTCCTTCCCCAGGCCACATTACTGTCACAAAGCTGATTCTTTTGACTCTGTAGGCACCACAACAAAGTTCAGACCAAGTTTTAAGCGATTTTTCAACGAACAAACCCATTTAAATCAGAATGACTAAACGAGGTGGCGTCACACTAACGGTCGCTCCATGTTGAAGATAGGGCCTTGTACAAGGCCCATTTTCAAATGAAGGGAACGAATTTCTTCAACACCAAGAGGCCGCGGGGGTTGCAACCTAGATAGATAGTGGTTTCTGAACCTCGCCGCAAACTTGGCTATCTCAACTCAAACCCCATGTTAAAGGTGGGATAGTCCCTTTAACCAGAGCTACCCTTTCATACTGCTGTCCTAGGAAATGATTACTAACCAGAAGAATACCTATTCCAATGTTATTAGGTCATATACATAGACGTAGATATAGACATAAATATGACGTTCCGAGTAAAACATACAAGTACAAATATATATAAAATAGATTGGTGCAAAAGAATAAAATTGTTAGACCTTGAGTCACTGTGCGGAGGTGTGACACTGTGAACTTGAAAAGCACGAGTTTGTTAAGTAGTCCGTCTACCCTTGTGCGGACGTATAAATCGTACGTTCGCAACTTCTGCAGGTCGAATACTTCGGTGCGCGTTTAGGGAAATGGCAAATGAGCATCACTTTTGTAAGGCCGCATGCAAGCCTCCCGTGCATACCTGTAGTAAAATTATGAACTGAAGGTCATAAAACATACCTATTGCATGTCAGGTAGATCATTTATTAGGATTCTATGTAATTGTATTTGTTGTTCGTATAGCTAGCGCCTAGCTCATATTGGTCTAATCCAGGGAAGTTTACCATAACCTCTTGGTCACCGGTCGACATGATCAGTTGAAGTTCGGTTCCATTGGCCTCCTCTTGCGATGAGCAGCACGTTCACTTTTTGGCGAAACTTAATTGGTGACAATGGCGACAGGACTGGGCTGTGCCCCGTATGTGCCGATTGCTCACATTTTACTCGCCATTGACTGAACAATTACATGATTTAAAAATGCAGCCGTCACAGCTGACGTTAAGGAAAATCGACTGAAATCTTCTTCCCGAATTAAGAAAGACTTTCTGCGACTGCATAATTGTGTGACAAACTTCCATAATATCGCTCTGCGCTCAGTTTGGTAAGCATTCGCGTTGTTATTGGCCGCTTCCTGCCGACGGGTTAATAAAGAGAAGTGCTAAGAACCTCCGGCCCGGGAGGTCGAGATGAAACAACACCACGAGATAGCTTATTGGCATGAGTTTGCAAGGGTGTGGGGGAGCTATCTTTTAGCCCTAGCTTGGCCCTAGCCTTGCTTTTAGCTGGGATGTCTAATCTGATACAGCCTGATACCGCCTGATAAACTGAAACGGCTTCGCGACAAATCCTAAAAACAGCGGTCACTCACGGGCGCGGACCGAGCGCCGCGACCCGCTCTCTCCGACCTCGCCATGGGTGAGGTCACGTGACCGGCCGGCGCCCCGGGCGAGCATCGGCTGACATCCACACAGCTCAAGCCGTCCGCTAAAAAAAAACTCATGTGCGTGGCTCAGCATCCCCTATGGAACAAAGTTATAACAGTTCAGATGCAAACTGTTTTTCTTGACTTTTACAGGTCGGTTAAAAAATAAGAAATGAAGTAGAATGTGAGCTTATCATTATATCCCATCATGAGTAGTCAAGAAAGACTAACCAGAGACGCGACTGGACTCTATATTTATCCATATTGGGCCAGAAGGGTGCCAGGGTGGCGTGGCACCAACAACCGTCCTATGACAGAGGCAGCAATCTGGTGATTAACGAGCTAGCACAAAAGAGTCTACATGTGGGCTTTAACTCTAAACCAACTTCGTGGAACTTTGCAACCGACGCATCTCACACAACTCCAGAGACTAGCACAACCGGCTCAGCAGTCGACAATCACCTATTCTTGATTTATTCACCAGCCGGTTAGAATGAATACCAGTTCCTACCTGGTAGCATGAATCGAAGAAAATGGAGCTCCGGGTAGACCTAAAAGAACTTAGATCGTCCGCCAGCCTAGAACAAAATGTATTCAATACTTATGTTAAAGTAAGAATAAATTGTAAAAAAATAGCGCAAATTCGACCGGGAAAATATGAAAACGATTGGCAACTCGCATCGCACCAGCTTTATTTTTCAATTCAGGCCGATAATGTTCCAGCCAATCGTTAAACATTGAGCCGTTTAGGAGTGACACTAAATTCGCTCTTTATACGGAGGACGCCTGTGTCGCGGACGAGCTCCGCGACGTTTCGATTTATTAGGGCGGACGTTTATTGAGATGTAGTTGGGCAGATGGTCTGACAGACTGGGCGGGCACGGGCTGCGGAGATCGTGCCGGCCGACTGCGGGACAATCATGGGCCACCGGCTGCCCGGTCGGACAACCTGAGCCGGTCCCCGATCAGGTTACACGACTGACGCCGGTCAGGCAGCCGGCAGTGACCGCCGTGGTCTGTGATGTGCCAGTCACGGTCAAATAAATGTCAATCAACGGATTAGAAGATAGTTACATAGGTACGTCTAATCGGCTCAACAAATCACATGGTTAGAAAAATGTTCCAATCGTTCAAATAACCCCAAGCCCATCTGTATCGTCTTCGTATGTATTGTATTGTATTTTATTGTATTGTATTGTAACCTCTACGCAATGCTGATCAAAGAAGGAAACAGACTTATCTCGGTGATGACTGACACCACACTTAACTTCCATCCCCCCCCACACACACACAAACACCATTCCGTGTGTATGTAGTCGCACTGAATATATCAGTGCCCGTGACCGGCCGTCTCCCCGTCTGCCCGCAGGCAGCCGAATGGGCAGGGCCGTGCCGCCGCCCTTCTGGCTGCTGCTCTGTGCCTCTCTTCTGCCGGACACGCTCCTCAATGGCTCGCCGTTTGTCACAGGTGAGGCTTTAACTCGCGGAAAAACCAGAGGCCGACGCTTCTCGGCAGACCAGCCGCAACGTTACAAATGGGTGCCGAGCACTAATGCAAGAAGAAAAATAGCCGATAAGAAATGGAGCGACGCAGCATTAGTTCGGAATCCAACAGAAAAAGAAACAAAAATGTTACTTTCACCATAAGTAGGTATTTGGCTCAGCTTGCGTCTAAGTACGGGGCAAAATAAGAGGCAGATGTATTTCTAGGTGCCGTATAAAGCTAACTATATACAGTAGCTTTATAGTTAAAAAATAGAATAGTTATACTACGGAAAGACGGCATAGAGCAATCGCCGGTATTTCCTCTTATTATCGATTACCATTATCTTTTCAAGTCAGCTACAAAGCTCGAGTGTTCGGAGAACCTCATTGGTATTTTAGGCTCTTCAAACTTACATTTGCATTTGAATGATCAGCTCGGTGCCTGCCACCAACAGCACCCATTTCAAGTAGCGTCTATTTGCCGAGGCTAAGACAAAACAAACGTTGTTATTTCACCGGGCCGGCGTCCTGAGGTTCCAGCAGGCGGCATTATCGTGTCTTTGTGTCGCGCCTTTCAGTTCGGCAGCGGGCGGCCGGCGGGCTTTTAGGCGCGGGCTGGAGGGGCGGGGCACGTAGTCAGCGGTAATGAACAGCCTGTGCTCGGTCGAGCCGGGGTCCTAGGTTAGCACCGGACGGCTTGTCTGGTTTTTAGGACTGGTCACACGAACTTCATTGAATATGTTTTCCTTTTAATCAGTAGAATGGTACTTGAGCACTTTATCAAAATTTGAGTAAGACGATTCAATTTTTTGTACATAAGAGAAGTCCATATATGAACATCGACTATTTGTTTCGTCGTGGTTAAAATGGACGTTAAAACACTCACATTACGATAAAAGGTGTTAGCATTTGACGTCAGCATTATTCCTTTAGTTCCACTAAACATTAGATGACAGAGCGATTTGTATAGCCATTAACTGGCAGCCCAATCTGTATAAGCTGCTTCTCGAGGAAAAAACACTCATAGACCCACATGACTCTGACTCTCTCAAACTGACGCCCGCCCGTCTGTGTGCCGTCAGGGGAGCCGCGCGCTGTGTCGCCCGTCAGCTGGCGGCAGCTGCTCGTCGATCTGGGCTCGCTGCCGGTGGACGGCCGGCCGCCCTTCTACAACCGCGACTCGCGCATGTACAGCCGCCACCTGCGCCTGATGGGCTCAGAGTTCCTGGGCAAGAGGTCGGGGCCCGGCCGGCACACCCACCACGGCTCGCGCGGACGCCGAAAACGCTCGCTCGGGTCGGAGTTCCTGGGAAAACGGTCGGCAGACGCGCAGTTCCTGCTGCAGCGGGCGCCCACCGCGGAACTCCTTGATAAGAGGATGGCGGGCTCGGAGTTTCTGGGGAAGCGCGTGCCGGGCTCGGAGTTTCTGGGGAAGAGAGTGCCCGAATATGTCGACGATCCGGTTCCTAACGCGGAGGGGATAGATAAGGAGATGGCAGACTGGAACGAATCCGAGAAGAGAGCGCCGGGCACCGAGTTTCTCGGAAAGAGGATGCCGGGCTCGGAGTTTCTCGGCAAACGCTTCGCCGGCTCCGAGTTTCTTGGCAAGAGGAAGCTGGGCTCGGAGTTTTTGGGAAAGAGGAGGCTAGATGAAGATTCTAGCCAATTCAGGATGTCGCGCTATCCAGAGACTGAAGAGGGACAGTCGAATGATTCGGAATATCCAGCACGGCAAACGTCTGAGGATCACGAAAGGAGCAAGTGGGCCAGATTCTACCACCACAAAAGTATTTTGGGAAAACGACAAGGAAGCCGAAATTGGTGGGGCCACCTACAACAATATGAAAGGTATTCATAGGGGCTTGGAAGTCAAACATGAAACATTTAAAAACTTCCGAGAGATGGCAACGAACTCCTTGGAGGTACCTAAAAAGGCATGAACGAACCACATCGAGGTATATTTGAGCAAGACCAGAGACGGACGGTTACAAGAGGAAAAAAAAACTTCGATGAAAACGCATGCATCGAACCGTACTGGCTGCGCTCGTATGAAGGGGCGCCCGATTAACGCTATGGATGCGTCCCAAACTGAGCCCAAATGATCGGAAAGGTCACTGACCAACCACTGCAGGTATCATCACGGCACAACGTTTCAGGAAACACTGAGACGGTGACGCCAAAGGAGTGAGCCCAGTTTGGTGGGAAGGCCCCGAGCTGGAGGGATCGCGGCCTCCCCACCTGAACTGAGGAGAAACCTCCGAAACACACAGCGGACTTGTGCGTGCTGTCAAGGGCAATGGAATGCGCCTGTCTGGAGATGAATTTATTGATTAATGGTTGAAGGAAATAAATCTGCTCGCAATAAACTGAATGTTAATACCCCGGCACGGCAATAGCTTACGTGCGTTAGTTGGCTGTCAAAGTTTCATTACTGTTGCTGGTTTATATCGGTGTTTTCAAATGCCTTCCATAACACCATGGCTATCAGAGATGACTGGTGCTGTTACAGCAACTCACGGCACGTTAGTCTTTGTATTGATGTTACTGGTATTTGGCTTAGGAAACCCGATGAGCCTGGTGCATATGGTGATGAATCACTGTGACCGACAAGATAAATATAGAGGCTGACTGTACAATGGTGTTACGGGCAAAAACAATATACATGATATCTACAGTCTCAGGCTAGTCCGCTGAATGAGCCGTCTTTGATCAGTTGTCCCCGATGGGACAGACATGTTGATCGTTAATTTGTATATGCCCTGTTCTTCTCGTGCTAAATAAATGTGTCCGAATCATCGATCGTATGTAGTTGGCGGAAGACAAAATGGGAAACAAAAGTCTAGAAAGATCGGTGTAAATACGATATAATAACCAAAATATATTGAGCTAAGAATGAAAATTCACGCTTCAAGCCACGATCAGTCAATGAAGAGCGGAGCTCGAGCGGTTGCGTAATTAACGACCAATTAGATAGGTAAGGCATGCTCTAATAAATTTATTGGTTTTGCGAGTAATTCATCGGTACAACCGCAGTGTATATAAATAGGTTCAACCACGGTCCACGAATAATGCGTTCCGTGCTGACCCGATTATGGCACGCTCAATTTATTTAGATATGTACCTATAGTAGTCACGCACATAATTTCACTTACTTCCTGAATTTGTTTTTAGGCAAGGGTTAGCGGACTTATTGATATACCACTGCACGAGAATATAGGCACGCGTATACCCACAGTCCCCATCACACAGTAACGAGTGAGCAATAGTCAAAGGCCGGAGAAAAACAGAAGTCAAGCTCGGAAAGCTCATCGGATCCAGCTTCAGCCCGCTGTCCATACATAAGGCGCAGCGCAACAGGAGCACAACAGAAAGGGGCACGTGGCAACCAATTAGATCCTTCTCATTCGCCCATTATAGTTAGGTGCTTATTGCTTGCGTAACACATTTAATTGAATAAAGCAATAAGCTGTTCTTTTATTGCCCCCTTGATAGTTGTCACGCAAAGATTGGCATTATTACACATTCCATCCCACCAGGTCACCACACGATTTGACTCGCGTTGCCGGCAGCCCGGTATATCGGTAACTCAAACCGTCACCTAGCAGCTGACTATTCAATGTTAATGATGTCCTCTTGCTTTGCTGTGAAGGCCCCATCGAGAGTTCGGAGGAATGAGGTGACCACTGGCACAACGGCACAGGCCTCTTGCACCAAAATACCTAGCTAGGTAGAATCGAAAAAAAAACATTTTCAGAGTTGGCTAGCCTAACCGCTATAATTCTTTTGCACCAGGCCATTTTTTCATATAGTTTTATTAACATCATTGGCATAAAAACACAAGCAGAAATAAGCATAAAATATTGTCGTGCCCCCCCCCCTCCCCATCGGCGACCCGCCTGGCCAGGCCGGGACGGTGTCAATCCGTGACATATGCCATCCCGGCACTGGGGAGAGCTGTGGGATACCTCCCCAGCTGGGGAGATCTAATGGCTACCTCCCCGGCGCTCCAGGTGGGCCGCCAGCCCCCGCCCGCACCGCCCGGCAAGCAACCTCGGGCGGTTTGCACCAGGTCATAACGTAAACCTACAGAGTACATGTCCTTGGTCGAATTTATGGGTAAATTATCACTGTAGTTTTGGAGTGGTTGTCCGGTGCAACATAATATAAGTATTGGCGCAAGAGTGTTTTGGTGCAAGAGGCCGCTGGTGGGTGGTGACCCGTGGATAATGTAAAACATCACCGCATTTTACCTGATTTCGATAGAAAAGAAAGAGCAAGGGAACGCAATGAATAGATCTCTGGACTCTGGTAAGTGGTAAGTATGTATGCGAGGGAGTTCTGTCGACAGCGACATTCAGACGCCGTATGAAGGATGAGCACAGGGTGCGGGGGAGTTGGTCCACCTCGCCCGCCGCGACGGCCTCAAACAATCACAGAACACCACAGCACTCGTCCCGGTTCTCGTACGTGAGAATGCCACCGGAGCGACCGGCCGTCATACATCTAAGGGTCACTATCGGACGCAGAGAATCACGGCCCGGCGTTACAATAGGGCGTACCTATGACTGTGGGAGCCGACAATGAGCACTGCCTCTGACTGTGGGAGTCGACAGGTGTCGTCCAGTGCCGACAATGCGACGGTCGAGGCCGTGGGGGACAGCTGACGGCCGACTGTGTCCACTATGTGACCGACCGGTGACGGAACACACGGCCGTAGCTGTGACGGCACTCATCGCGGCCGTCTTGAAAATACCTGCGACCGCTCTCAGAGAAAGGGTGGCTGGGCAGGAAGACGGACGAGATGGTAGGAGCTGAGTGGTGCGCAGGAGTCCAGGCATGTGTCCCTACTCATTTTCCATATTCAGTAGAAAGGTGGGCAGAATAACGATTTTTGGGTCCTAGCTCAGCGACTTCACCGTTCAGCCACAAAATGTTTCAATTAGGTACAATGTTCCATGTTAAATCCACCCACCATGCAACAGGCATGAAAAGACACAAGCTCTTCTATCATACAAAGCGGAAGACGAGTCGCACGTTCCGAGCGTTTCTGGATTGCTAGCCCTTTACGGGCCGACGGTTGAGCCTTCCGCCTGGAGTTCCAGCGAATGTGTCGTGCGGCACAGCATGCATCAGGCGCGCGATGTGGGAGACATCTAGCGGCGGCGCTGGAAGCTGCAGCGTTCCGAGCGTGCCGCCGAGTCGGACACGGTGTACGATCTAAACCGGAGTTATAATGCAGTGGGGTAAGGTGGAAACAGCTTTTTGCATACAAACTTATGAAATACCGGTCAAGCTATCTACGAAACCAAGGCAAACGCGGGATTAAAGCATTTGAGGCAAAGCAAAGCACTCACCCACGTGCTGCTACGGGTTAGACGGCCACCAGTAACCGAGACTATAGTGACACAACTTCCGGCTCAAAATGAATCTCCTCATTAGCCATGAACTCTGTCCTCGAATAGAGTTCCCGCTGGCGCAGTTCGGACTGCCGGTAAAACTGAGAGCCCAGGTGGCGGTGCGCTCCGGGGGTGGACGCCAGCGGAGACAGTCTCCGACCCTGAGCGGTATCCGATTTCTGCTAACGAGCTGGGAATGGCCGCGGCCACCTGAGGCCGACAGCGCAGCGTCCGTGATAAACGAGAAAAACCGGGAATCCTGCCGAATTCGCTCATGGAGACAAAGCGATATATTCACCTTAGATTGCAACCCGTTGGGCGGCTTTTATTGGAGCGGTTATTTATAGGAAAGTTGTCGCCGCCGAAAGAAGCCCAGCCACGGGAAGCTCGAAGAGGCACATTTTCCGGAAGTAAATCTAAACATATGTTGTATGTATAATACTGAGCACGGTTTACAAAGCCTGTCTTACGGTCACACACACGGCAAAAGCTCGATAAGCATCAGACGGTTGCAAACGAGCACACATCCTAGGCATATTCACTCAGAGGATTGTCGAGTCTCTAAAACGAACCCTTTCGTAGGACAGAGCGTAGATAAGAATTCGGGCTTCATTAGCGCGAGACTCGAGCACCGTTCACTGTTCGCCGCGAAGACACCGCTCGCAGGGCGACACTCCACTTCTCCGGGGTCACGTCGAGTCAACGCGCCGACGGCCGGCCGCGGCCAGCCGGCGAAATGAGCCGACACTAATGATGAGGAACAGTTCAGTGGCACGCCTACTTTAGCGGCTAACGGCACAGCGCCGCCTCACCATATGAATTCAGCTTACTGGGAATGGCATTGTGTTCAGGTGGGTGTTGCTGTACTTTTGTTTTAAAAATATAAAATATTATGCGATTTGTCAGCCAACTGAACTGGACTCGCTAGCCCACAACGTTTCCTCCCGCATGATTTGCATCCGCATTTCGTATGTGCTCAGAGACTGAACGTGAAAGTCGTTGGCACGAAAAACTATGTTTTCAACGCTTCAGATAAGCAAATATATTGCAAAATGACTTGAACAATATTAATGTTATAAGACGCTCAGTAATAAACAATAAAACGTCTGATAACAGGCGGGTAAACATCGTAAAAGTCAGTTTTTGTACAAACATACATAAGTTGACAAATTACCTGTTAGAACAAACGTTTGCAACTGGCGGATCCCTGAACCTCCCGATAGGTTTGAAAAAAAAGAATTACAGTGCTAACACGATTAATATATCTCATAACAGTATCAGAAGTTTGGTTTTAGGTCGCTACGAATTTTACTTTGTTATAGCCATCCGAACACCCGGTATTCGTTAATAAAGCCATCCATCGGCCATTATGTCAATCGCATGTCGCACACATTGCAAAGTCGTCCAGCAGATAAGTCCAGCGATCCAAAGGGAGATAGTCAGACGCAACGCGACGGCTCAACATGCAAAGACATTGCACTTGCACTCGTTTGATTTGATATGCAATATGCAAAGGGATGATAAAGACCCGTTCGAATATGCAAAGACTCGTTTGAGCCTGATTAGACGGTACCTTGACACCTAGACCCTCAACAGTCCGGAAATGGTCAACGCGATCCGTAAAAATGACCTGCCTCACAAAACCGGACCAGTTGACGCTTCTATATCCGGGCATGAATAGCAAATGCTGCTTGGACAAATGATAAATGAATGTGTTAGTGACATCATTTTATTCAGAAGCAAGGACGAAAAGAAAACTTACGAAGATGAGATTTAAGTTAGTTTTATCCTTCTGGGTGGTCTCAAGAATAGAAGACGTGCTTTAGTATGCAGACGTCCGTATTATGAAAACATAGATCAACTGTGTTCATTCATGTATCCGACACAAATGTCAAGTCGTGAGGCAAGGAGGCACAATACAATCATACCAAAAGAAAACGAATAGCATGAAGGTGGTGCTCGGAATCAGCTGGGAAATACTCTCCGACGACGCAACTTTGTAGATGAAGACTTGGATGATGATGAAATACTGATGCGAGGATTGTAATGCGTTTCACGGACTATGTAACAAGAAGGTCGGCTCCCATAGTTGTCAACACGCACGCACACAAGACGTGCCGTTGTAGTGTTGCTTATGGTTTGGTACTCTGGTGTGCTAGCCCTTTCTCACGTGGCGGTATATAAAACTGAATATGCATGTAATTGACATCCCTCTGATCACTTCTTGCCCCGTGTCCCAAAATTCCCCTCCCCTCTGTGACCCCCCCCCCCCGTCAGCAGACACGCAGCTGCGCGAGGCGACCTCGTTTATTGCGGCCCCTCGGCCCACCAACCTATGAGATGAGTCGGATGCAGCGAGCCGCACCGGCTGCGCCTTGTACAGCGGCGGGCGGGCCGGGACCGGTCCCCCCAACATCGCGAGACATTGTCTGCCTCCGCCCTCCCCACCCCGCCGCCCACACTACACACGGCGACCAACGCCGTCCCACAACAATACATTGCCGTCACTGACACGAGCGGATGACTCAGATTTGCAGCGCGTCCCTCGCGCGCCCTAGCACGTTGTGCACGAGCCACACGCCGGTCTCATGCACGGTCCTCTGTCTGACCACTTGCGCCGCAGCGACGCCCTCGATCCAGAACCTAGCGCTTCCTAAGTGACATTAAAGTACAAGACTAGTCGAGCTCTAACTAAATGACGCTGCGGTGAGGCGGTCAGGGTCGCAAGGCGGACACACGCAACGATTAAAAACGGGTGCCGCGTCGGCCGGCCGGCCGCGCGCGGGCGGGCGGGCGGGCCGAGGTGCGCGGCCGCTGTGCCGCCCGGCGGCGGCGCTCCGTTACGTCAGGTCCCGGTCGTGTCCATCGGCGGCGCGGGCGAGCCCGCCGCCCCGAAACTGGTGAGGTGAGTGTTGATTTCGATCGTTTGTACCTTTGGGAAAAATGATACGCCGACGCACGCACGCTGGGAGGCTAGTTTTTCACCCGCTTCCGCGGTTTCCATGCACGAGGTGCGGCGGCGGCGGCGGCCATGGAGCGGCGCGAGTCGTCACTGTCGACGATGCGCCGTTTGCTGCGCGTCTCGATCTTGCTCTCGGCTCCCTCCTCTGCCTCCGAGTCGTCCGTGTGCCGCTGCTCGTCGGCCGCCGGAGCCGGCACGGGCGCCTCCCAGCGCTGCGGAGACTTGATCGGCACGTCGGCGATCAGCTCCAGCGCGGCGGCGCCCGGCGACGGCGGCAGGCCGGGGCCCTCGAGCGCCGGCTCCAGGGCGGCCGCGGCAGCCGCGCAGCACTCGGAGCCCGGCGCCGCCGACCGGGAGCGCCAGTACTGCAGCTCCGTCTTGCACTCATTCAGCTCCTGGCGGACAGGCGGGCACGGACGGCCGCCGCCAGTCAGCTCCGAACGGGGGGAATACATGCACGCCGTGGCTTCAAAATACTAATAATTTACGTTTTGGAATACACAGGTGCCGAAGGCCGTACTTCATTCCCGTATGCGATCCCCGAGAATTAAAAAGACAGATAGGCTAAGAAGCCCTAAACTGGATAAAAGCTTCCTCATGAAAGCAATGACATACGCATGATTCCGATCCATAACAAAAAATCGCGGCACCCCATATTATCCTCAACGCTTCCGAGAACAGCAGCTGAAGAGCTGTTTTAGTGTTTCCCGTGCCACACCACAATCATCCCAGCCTCTCTTCCAACACACGGTGAGCGCCGGGGCCCGGGACAGCCCACCGCTCTGACACGTCTCAAACAGGAATCCGGACAGGGGTACGGGCGGCACCGGGCGGTTGCCGCGGCCGCTCAGTACAGCTCCGTCCGGCCCCGTCAGGCGGCACGGTACGACACGGCAAACAATCGGCCGGCATGGGCGGCCGGGGAGCGATGGGGTCGCTGCCGCCGCCGGGACCCAGCCGGCACCGGCGGCCAGCACCGGTCGGGGACCGATATGCTGCGTATGACCGCACACAGAGACGTCGGAGTGTGGGGAGGCAGGAGACGCCCCCCGAGAGGTCATAGATGCCGGGGGAGGGTCGGGGCGGAGCGGAGAGACTGGGGATGGACTCAGACCGGCGGCAGCCCATTCAGACACTGGAATATCATGACGGCGGCTGCTCACAGCATGATTTGGTTTCCGTGACAATACAACCCGCTGACAACGCAGCTGTCAGGGCGCGGACTGGCGCTGTCGTGAAAAGCGCTGAGCTCTATGGCATTAACCAGGCTGAAGTGCATTACATCCGTGGGTGTATAAGACAAAAATGGCATCAAAGGTGTATTGAAGGCACGCCTACCGCAGCTACGCAGCGTACCACCTTGGTACCCCACCCGTAAGGTGTGATCAAAGGGAGCATTAATGTAATAAATGAGACATCAGAGACTAGAGAGCGATTAATAAGGTCGCTAGAAGCGAAACGCCCAGGATTTCCCTGAAGATCATCGATCTCATTCATCAAACTCAATAACTATCATGTAAAAAAGGCAAAAAAAAAAAATAACGATACAATGAGCGAAGATAAGAAAAGAATGGTCCGAGACGACGGTTCCCGTCTACCATCCATTCAATCGCGAAACAAATAATTTCCTTCTGAGACAAATCGCTAACAATAGCCTCAGTTGTCCACCAACAAGCACAGCTTAGAAGTCTCTTTGACAATGTGTCGGACCCTGTGGCCATATGTCTCGCGGGAGAATACCCAATGTCCGTCTTTCCACTGCCGCCGTCCAAAAAATGCCCTGTGTGTTCCGGGAATCGCTCCGGATACAGATGGTTGGAAACAGGATAACAATCCCATCGGAAAGGAGTTGAAAGGTCGGGGCGGCCACCTTCTACTGCCCGGTAACATTACACCATTCCCCATCTGAACAGCCATTATTCAGGCAACCACTCTATCTCACGGCCAAACGTGACGACTGTCCCCTCTACCGACCCGGTTGACTTTCCGCCGGCCTGCCGGGCGGACTGACCTGCAGAATGGTGGTCATTTTGCGCGCGCTCTCGTCGAACTTTTTGTCGTGGTCCTCGAGACGCGCCTTGTAGTCTTCAATGATGCGCGCCTGCTCGTCGACCCGAGTCTTGTAGCCACGCATCTCCTTCTTCACGGTCGTCAACTGGGCCGTACTCCTGCCGACGCCAGAGACATCTGTTAGTGGCGATCCGAAACAGTAGTGTGGATTTTCGCCAGAAGGTGGGTCAATAGGTAGTCCGCAAACGCGACAGAAATGTACCAGCTACAAAGGACAAATGTCAGTTCTTCCAGCCCACAGCTTGCAAATGACTACGTTAACCCTATTCCTGGCGGGGGGGGGGGGGCCTCAGGAGCCCCCCCCCTGAGGTTTTTTGGTTATATCTCCCAAACGCTTTGAGCTAGGAAGCTCAAATTTTCTGACTTTTTCTCAAAGGCTTTTACGCAACATTTCTGAAAATTTTGAGTTGATCTGACCTCAGGTCAGGTCACCAGAGGCGGTTTGGCGACCCTACCTCAGAAAAGTTTGCAATCACGCCAGAGCTAGAGTTTTTGACCGATCAATTTCTTCTCTTCAGGCTTTAGTTAGGGTACCAGTATGTGCAATTTTTATATCTCAGAATTTTCATATCTGTGACCTGAGGTCAGGCCAGACTCGTGACCTTTACATTGCAAGCCTATGGGAAAATATTGAAACGCCTCCTGCTTCGTGTAAACGAGTCAAAACCACCCAGTTCTTTCAGTATTATGGAAGATTATCTCATCGGTGATGATCCTGGTGCCGCTAATTGACAGGGGCACCGGCAAAGGTCATCTGAGGTCATGTGACGTCATAAATCGTTTTTTCTGTCAATAAATCACGACATGATGGTGCTAAAGACTTGTAAGTGGTACCAAACTGCTCGCCTGGTCAAGGCGCGTCGTTTGGTATGCAGCATGACCATACCCCACAACCTCATTGATGAATGACCTGACCTTGACCTCGCTGCGATGTGTAGTTTTTGAGATCTGAAGGGGGGGGCCGAATCGGCCCCCCCCCCCGCCAGTTTCTTGTCCCGGCGGAGCCCGCCAGGAATAGGGTACAGCACGAAATTTCTCTCAAGTCGCAAATCATTTACTGCTAGGCTCCAACACACTACCACAAATGACACTCGGGGTGAGCGGTCGTACTTTTTCAGCTGTTTGCTGAGTTTGCCGATTTTCTTTTTGAGCACGGCGTTGCCCATGAAGTCGTCGTCCTCGTCCCAGACGTCCCAGTCTCCTCCGACGCTGCTGTCCACCACCGACGAGGCGGAGGTCGAGCCGGGACCCGGCGAGCCTGTACATGGGGGAGGTAGGGTAAGAAGCGGTATATACGGAGACGGACCGAAGCTAGCGTGCCGCAGGGGAGATGCAGGCCAGACATGGTACATGCAGAGTCGAGCCATGGGACAGGCGAGCCTACCAAGGAGAGAAAGGACCCTCTAGTTCCTTAGAGAAGCTGCCAATTACCACCTCCCTGTTGCAAGTAAATGCAGTTAGACTGCCATTGTCCACCAACTTCTCTCCCATCTTTCTCTCTCCGTCCCCTCCCTCAGTGGGACAGCTGCGGTGACCGCCATTGTCAGTCTCTCCGCAGTTCCTCAGACTATATATCCCCCTCCCACACTCACTGGGATAGCTGAAGCGCTCCTCTGGTCCGAACGAGAGCAGGTCGGGCAGTCGGCGCTCGATGTGCTCCTTGAAGTACTCGCTGGCCATGGTGCTGAGGTCGGACAGCTCGTCCGTGATGCGGATCGTCAGCCGGTTCTGCGACTTCAGCTGGCCCATCACCTGGATCACCTCGTCCAGGATCTGACCACAGACACAGACGGAGAGAGATTGTGGGTTGGGAGACAGAGAAATGTCCGCAGAAGATAGCAGATATCGTCAATGAATATGGACGAGATTTGCCGAGAAAAAAATGCCGAGAAAAAATACTATATCCAGAAATTGACAAAGTGGAGTGACGTTCTTAAAGCCTTCGTCACCTTTGCAATTTAACAGTCTTCCGCGCATGATAATAGCAACAAAACCACCACCCACAACTAATCTACCAAGTCCACCGGCCACTGACACCATCTAATCATCCGGAAGCACGCCTTTCACTCTCCCAGGCGTGTTACCTCGCCGGCGAAGAAGCAGATGTGTTTGCGCTCCATGTGCTTGCCGAACGTCATCTGCAGCAGCGTCAGCCGCATGTTCAGCGTCTCAATGATGTCGCAGTGGGTCACCAGAGGATGTCGCCTCCGCAGTGACTCCCTCCGGGGCATCTGGAGACCGGGCGGGGAGGCGGGTTAGACACCGGGAAGGGGCGTGAAGCTGCACGATATTTAATGAGACTTAGTCATTTCACAGGGCAGTAAAGTATGTAGGATCGCATGTAAGAACAATGCAGAAGTGGCAAGGGATAGTTCGGGGCGAAACTGGTGTGCTATGTCGGTAAGAGTAGATCGAGCAGCGATGCATCTACGTAGATTGAATTCCGAGAACTCCGTCTGACGGTAAATTAGGCGTAGTGTATGTACGACCCATGACGGGCGGCTGGGAACGATCAGCTGTACCGTACTGAGCGGTCACGTCACCGATATATCACAAACAGAGGGCTGTTGTCCCCAGTCGATGTTACTGACAGGTCCCCATCGTGTCCGAGCAGTAATCAATCAGCGATCGTGACGACGAATCAGGGCAGAGATAGTGAAAACAACATGGTCATTCTTCTACCTAGTCATGACGACCCGGAGAGGTGACATAAGCATGACTGGGGTAAGGTTCGGGCGGGGAGACGACGCCGAGACAAAGACTAGGGCAGGGGTCAGGGGCGGGAAAGGACTGAGCTCAGTGCTGGGGCTGGGTGCGGTCAGGGCGCCTGAGATAAGGGCTAGTCGGGGACAGACAGGTCACAGCTCCCCGGCGGGCCCACAGCAGCCGGGGGGCCGTCCTGTCTGGCCCGTCCTGTGCCGTGTCGCCCGAGCACCATGACGAGGGCACGGCAAATAAACAGGGCCGCGGTGGCTGCAAAACAGGCACCCCGCTGCACCGGCTCTGGAAATCTCCCGGTCGACGGCACCTTCCGACAGACCGGCCGGCAGCTCCGGTCGCGCGCTTCACCGTCATAGCGGGGATTCTTTATATTACTCGTATTGGAAAAGTAAGTGCTACGCAAGCTTCAGCATTCACCAGCTGGCCTACTTCTATCATATGATATCAGCGGGCATTGCGCAACTTACCTGAGCCTTGATTGCATGAAAACGCTGCAGAGTTTGATTTTGAAGCAGATGAAATGTTTTTGTGAGTGAATTGCCAGCTACAGAGTTGAACTTTTGACACACCTGAAAAAGACGTTTATGTTAGCAACGCTTGGAAGAGTCAAAACGTGCGGGTAAGACTAGGTAGGACTTTTAGACGGAAACACAAATGAACCGGAAATACAGCGTACACAAAGAACTTCTTCATCTTGAAACACGGCGAGAAAATAATCATTACTTTCATTACAAGGTCACAAAGTCCTCTAGAGTATTGATAACTAGTTGGTCGACCGGCCACCCAATAAACTGAAATCATTTGCGGAACTTTTGTCGATAACAGCGGCAGGCTGCGAAGTGCAGAGGCTGCAGAGTACCAGCTCTGTGCCGTGCATACTCGGACATTTCCCAGAACCCCAATGTCACCTAATCACCTACTGCCAGGCGCAGCATCACCCGAAAAAAGTCGACACCAACGCAGCGCCAACGTTTTCCGATAACACGGCGATTAATCACGAACATATTGCTATATTCTGATAGTGTGGCATTCACAAGCCAACAACGCCCAATAAAATGGTCACGTGAAGACTATATTTGGAACTGGCGCATGATTTCAGAGTAGCCACGACAGTTCATGCACGTTTTTAGCAGCTGGTCTGTGTCAAAAATTCAACGCAGTCCATTTCTTGCCAACCCCGAGAGCCCGAGAGTTGCCCGAGTTGCCCGAGAGCAAGGCCCTACCGAGAGTTGCCCGAGAGAAGAAACCAAGCAAGATCCCCGCTTACATCAACCCATCCGCATTATTCCGTCGGCGATATTCGGGTCCTTTGATATCGATCGGCCGTCTGCGTTGTCTGCCGATAGTTGCCAGCCCTACCCGATCCGGTCCTGCAGACTGGCCGGCCGCCGACCGGTCCAACCGGGCATATGTCCAAAGTAAACATGACAAAGGTAGGCTTTCAGTCAGAGAACCGTATTGTTGCTGCATTGATCGCTCTGTGTTGCAACATATTGTGGTTAAATTTTGATGCAGTTTATAGGCATGTAGTCATGTGAGGAAAATGTGACCAATTTTCCGTTCTCATGCACGTCATGGACGAAACCAAGTGTAAATCAAATGTCCATGACTGGCGCATGAGCTCAACTCTATGCCGGCCGATCCCGCGCCCGACTGAGTGTGATTGCTGACCGCCCTCCGTGTCCGTCCCCAGGCCCGGCCGCCGGAGCCGCGGCTGCCTCCGCTGAGTATGTCGGGCCTGTACCGGGCGCTGGACTACGAGTACCGGCACCCGGCCACCCTGCACCCGGTGATACCGCAGGAGCGGCGACCGGCGCCCACCGGCCACTCGTGTCAGCCGGCGGTGCTCGACCAGCGCCGGCGGGCGGCCCAGCTGCAGCGCTTCCTCGGGGAGGCCGCCGCCGGTCCGGCGCCCACAGCCGTCCCCGGGTCGGCCGGCGCCGGCGCCGAGCCCGGCTCCGAGCGCGGCGTGGGCTGCGCGGGCCGGCCGGCGGCACCGGCGCCGGCGCCGTCCCGTCTGGACCGCCTGGCGGCGGCGGTGCGCGAGAGCCGCCGCCAGCCGCGCGTGGAGGGCGCCGACCTGGACCAGGCGCTGGCCGGCCGGCACCCGCTGCACGAGACGGCGCGCCGGCTGCTGCAGCGCGTCAAAGAGGACAACGAGCTGCTGCAGCTGCCGGCCGGGCGGCGCGCCGGCTCGTCGGGCGCCGGGTCGGCCGGCCGGTCCCTGGCCGCCGGCGGCCGGCGCGGCCACCTCACCTCCGCCAGGGTCGGAGGCGACGAGCGGGAGCGGCGCAAACGCATGTTCTCCATACTCTACCAGTGATGGTCAAAGAAGACCGGGGTCAAGCAGAAGACTGGAGAGGGAGGACCCAGCAGCGAGGGCTGGGGCGAATAGGGCGTCAGGAGACCGAACTGATACAAGCAACGATACGACCCGAATCCAACAACTCACGGGATCACGACCACCAAAGACGAGTTTTCCACCCAAGAATGAAAAACAAAATATATTATTGTCATAACACACATGTGTGTTACACCAATGAAGCCTTCAATGTCCATCCTTTGACGGACCAATGCACGGTCACCGCAGAATGCGATGGTTGTCTGTTGGGAATATCTCGCAATCTGCAGTGCAGCCCAACGATCCTTTCGTAGATGAGCACCCATTAAGGTCAAGCCAGTGGCTCTGCTTCGATCGTGCATTCTCACGCGAGGTAGATCCGGGTGTATGTGACAGAGGGTGTACGTCGTACGACCGGCATGGGCAGATAGTCGACGGTTCATAAGCGGAACGGCCTATCAATGCCCGGCGCGGAATCGATGTGTGCGATCAGCGTATCAGATAATCCACCCATCCAATGGTTCGGTATTCTTCGGTCTAGTAAATCTATCAAGTTGGTGCCTGGCATTGGTGTATTAAGCGCTGTTTCTGTGAACTGAACTCTGCATGCTATTTCGACGTTTAAGACCAGTACCAAGTTAATTTTGTCAACTGCGAAGATGGTTCATATTTGGAGTGGAAAATATTGCTCACAACTTCCATGAATAGGTGACCAGTCTTAAGTGCAGGTTAATGTACCAATGACCATGCTGTTGTACCTCAGCGCTGCACGTCGGCTCCCGGGTTCCCAGAAGGGAATATCGTGTGCAGCACCGCACAACACCGGTCATGTCACGGGCAGTACGACTAATTACATCAGGGCACGGGTTACACGTCGAGCTGATCCGCAGGACTGACTCTCAGTCGCACAGACAAATACAAACAGCAAACCGGGAACATAGGATTATCCAAAAGCCCAGGCTGGGATTGGCTTGGCAACAAGTCTAGCTTTGCGGGGAAAGGGATACATAATAACGGTAACTCGACGTCAGATTAGTGATGCAAGTTCTAAGCTGCGGGTCCCCCGACCGGCTTTACTCAAAGCCCGGACAAGCCTCTGTAGTGACGGCTCAGCAAGTGGGACGGGAGAAGCTATGACGAGGCGACTGTGAAGGGGTAGCCCGCCGAGCTCGATAATGTGTTCAATGTGAATATGGGACCAGACAAAAAGATAGCACTGACCTGAAGTAAGACCTTCACTCTGGGAATTTTACGTCCTTTATATGAAAAAGTAACACCCACGTCAATTTGTGCATGGTCAGTCAATTTTTGCAATGGAGTTCAGATGGGTACCCCATTATGTGGAATTTCCCTTATACCAGCAGTAAGCAGCTATCCATTCCGATGTTTGAGAGCTGCCTCCGCGGCTCCCCGCCCCGGTCCGGGCCGGGCCCACCCCACCGCTCGGCCGGTCCGGGCCGGGCCGGAGCCGTTACTCGGCACACTGCAGGCAGGAGAGGCGGCACGGTCCACCAGCGCCGCCGGCGCCGCCGCTCGTGAGCTGAGCGCCCGGTGAAACTGGACCGGCCGGCCGTCCGCGGCCGCCCGTCCGCCCCACCCTCCCTCACCCGGCCCGGCCAGCCACGCAGCCGTGATGCAAATCAACCGGCCGCATCCCCGCCGAGACCGACACCACACGGCGTCCTATTTCTAGCGTGTGCTCCGACCGATCACGCTTCAGGTGTTGGCTGATTGAACAATGAACAGCACGTGGGCGAGGCATTTGTGTCGCAATATTTCAGTGAATCAGGGGGATAGGGTGTCTGACAATCGAGACAGGTGTCAACTGCCAGACGCTGAGTAAGTCGGAAAACAAGCCAGAAGGCTTGACTGCTCACTAGCTGGCCTGAGGAGTGAGTGACCTTATTGCTGTGGTGCATGACGCTTCCAGGCTTGGCAGCCTGTAACCAAACGATGAAAAAGTCCTGAAGTGTCACCTTACACAGCCTAACGGGACCCACGCATACTGCAGCGCGCACGCACAACGAGCGTGTTTCCATGCGCACCGAGGCATGCCATAGGAAATCTGACGCAGTCTGGTTTCGTTGACAGCTCAGCGCGGGTTGACAGCCTGGTTTCGTTGATAGGCCGAAGCCATGCTGGTTCATTCAGCGCGTGGGAGGGGCGCCACATCACCCTCGACGCCCACCGATAATGATAAGGCAGGATCGCCTCCGATTCCGGCAGCGGTAGTCGCGGGGCTTCCATACGAGATGTGACCACATGGACTCGGGGCGTATTGCTGCTGTGCAGTATACATACTTCGGTGTTTTGATTCTTATCTCACTGCGTCATATAACCTTGTGGATTTCAATAAGATGTAGTACAGACAAATCCGATAATGTTAAAAAACATTGAACGATGCTTGCAGTGTACGAATAGAAATGAGGCATTGAGAAGCCGAGAAAAGGCAAAAAACCTTTAACCTTGTCAGACAAAAGCAATACGTAGCAAACGACCATTCGGACGATTTCGTCAGTCGAACGGACGTCCGGCCGACTCGGTGCCGGAGGGGGGGGGGAGGGGTCACATCAAAGCCGGGATCGGTCCGACTGACTGGACGGCAGCGGAGAGGAGCGCACAGCTCACACCGGGGACCGCCGAGCCGCCGAGCCGCGGAGGCCGCCGCGCCGGGCGCTCCGGGAAGTGGGGACGATGCCAAGCGTCCGGCCAAGGACGGGCCGCGGCACACGGTCGGGCCGGCCGACCGGCCCCAAACGGCCAGTCCTTGCCACCGGCCAGCACGACAACAAAGCAGTGCTCGGAGGTAATTATCCGGGGCAGCAGGGCGGCAAAAACGGCGCAGGGAATTCCACCAGGTCGATCGCCTAGAAACATCGGAAAATAGGAGTGGAGAAATACGGCATCAGCCGTGGTAAAGCTGAGCGTTTATCATCTAAAGTTGGGAGCCGTAAGATCGTCAAAATTTTCAGCTTTTCTCTCACAGTGAGCATCAGATTTGTTTGTTTGTTTATTGGGGGCTTTAGGGTGCGCCGACTGCAAAGGTCACTTTGCGCCCATAGTGAGCATCAGACAGTAATCGATAAAATGCAAACAAAAATGGTGGACTGTAGCATGAGAAGTGAACGGAAAACATGCATCAAATGAGACATTCTGTGACCTCACCTTCTGAATAGGCAATAGCGTATTGTTCTTGGGGCTTAAACTCCGATTGTGACTGTATGCATCCCCATAGTGAGCAACCCCGGCTCAGCAGCCTCTAACCGGGCCCCGGCCAGTGTCGAACGGCGAGGCTTGACCCTGTCCGACTGACGGGGGCAGCGCACCGGTGACGGCGGAGCAGGCGGCGCAGACGGCCCGTCGGTGCAGCCCTTCAGGTTCAGAGCGGCGTGATACGACCCGTCAGTTCCTCCCGTCAATACGGAGCAGCAGACGGCCGTCCGTACGGAGCGGCACAGACCGGCGTGACACGGCACGTTAGTACGGCCCGGTATGACACGGCTCCTGTACGGACCGAAACAGTACAGTACAGACGGCACGGCTGGTCCGGTCAGCACAGACCGGCGCCGACAGGCCGTCAGTACGGACCGTCCGTACGGACTAGCCCTTCAGTACGGAGCGGCGCAGACGGCCCGTCAGTACGAATCGGCGTGACACGGCCGCCGCGTGGGCGTCCCTGCAGCTCCGTCTGCAGAGCAGAGCGGCGCGCTGCACACCAATGGAGGAAAACAGCCTCCCTCCCCACCCCTCCAGCCCGACTATCGCCCAATCAGCCTCCCATGCAACGCTCTGCGGCGAGACGCATGCGGGTCAGACTGAGAACGATCGGGCCAGGCGTCCCAGACGGTCCCTCTGGACCGGGGCCGGCCGTGCGGGCTGCGGAAAACTCCGTGGCTGTAGTGACCAGACAGCGTGTTCCAGCTTGTGACAGGGCGGCGTGCACGAGCTTGCACATCCTAGTCTGAGCTCAGTGTTTGGGCTGGGTCGGCGAGGATAAGCTAATACGGGGTACACGGGACCACGGGTCATAGACCTCACTAAGATCACGGAGCATAGACCGAATACCCTCAAATTATCGACTTCAGTGCAGGCAACTAACTCAACTTCGAACTAAAGATCAAGGAACGTGAATCACGTAGTACCATGATCCACAGATTTAAGCGAGATCACGGACCACAGACAACGGATCACGAGTCGCGGACCGCGGACCGCGGACCACGTTTGGTGAAAGGGCCCGGCCCGGGTAACCGTGCCGGTCACGGCGCCCCTCCGGTACCCCGTCATCAGCGGGCCAAATGTCAGCGCAGGTGACAGCACCGCTCGGGCTCGGCACGTGGAGTGTGGCGACCGAGCGGCGCCACCGACCGCTCACCAGCGATATCGACACCGGGCCGCGGCGGTCCCCGAGACTGGGGTACACACCGGGATAGACAGCCCACAGGGGCGCAGTGACGGGAATGCAGCGATACCGACCCGCCGATAGAGCCGTGGACGTAAAACAAACAGCAATAAAGCCATCGCTGCGGAACACGGCAAACGAATCCTTTGAAAGTTATATCTGAAAAATTCCACCACAGCTTAATTGAAATCTATGAAGACAAAAGCAATAAGCCAGGTAATCGGTTGCGTGCAAAGATAACGAGTGTCAGGCAACAGACAGGTGAAACTCGCACAGTTCCGGCGTCACTTCCGGTCGTCGATGGCCACCCGCACGCAGCGGGCACTTAACTCGGCAGGAGCACATAGTTCCAGCCCACCAAACGGACCCTGGTCGGCGCGGCTTGGTGCATTTGCCATGAGGCCCGGCCGACTGAATGTTCAATGTCCGGCCGCTCCGGCCGAGGCGGCCACCCAGTCGGACTAATGTGACCCACGACCGCGCGTGCCACCGGCTCAAGGGCCACTTTCATAACGCAGGATCGATAGGCGACCAAACGGTGCGACCCGAGCTGTACAAAAACACTCCACTAGACAACTCGAGCCAATGAGCTCGGAGCTCCGCTTGCGGCGCGGAAAAAGCCGCCTCAGACGTGGCTTTGTCTCCCACAGGATAGAATGAAATTAGACCGGGACCTGTCGATAGTGCCGGCCGCGGGGGCGGGGGCCGGCCACAGGGTGCGTGTTCGCGGCTCCGTGACTGTGCGCGGCGCACGGTGCCTGGCCCGGCCGGCAGAGCGAGGGAGCGAGGAGGGCAGAGGGGAGGGGCCGGCGACAGCCGTACGTGCACCGTGCAGCGGCACCGACCGGCCTCAAGGCCGGCATATCGGGCGGACCGCGCGGCGCGCGCGTCCCACCCGCGGCGTCCTCCGTCCCGCTGAGCGGGTAGTTCGCACAGGGGACAGCAGCGACAGCCAGCGGTTCTACATAACATAACCGACTCTGCATAGAACGAGCTCCAACGGACCTCCATAGGTTGTCTAAACAGGCCACTTTTAAACGGGGACAGCTCAACAATCACTTCTACTTAGATCATCTCGTAACGGACTCGCCAACTATGTAACGGCGGGCACACACATCACAGGCCTACAGCTGCTCTACATTGGCTACCTCCGCACCTTAAACCTCTACACAGGCCCAAAGCAGCTCGGATAGGCACTTCAGCTAGCCTGCATACAATATTTATACCTGATTTCAATGGGGAATCCCAACTGAGCAGCTCAGCTAAGGAGAGGACCCCACATTGGCGAGGAGACGTTAGAGACCGGCGGCCAGCGAAGCGGAGTGGATCGGACGGCCGGCGCCCAGTCACGGCCTGGCTGATTGGCTTACGGCCGGCTCTCCCGTGATGTCACGATTTATAACCGACTGCAGGATACGGGCCGGCTCTGCGGGCTCACGGCCGGCCCACGCAAATACCTCGCGGACAGGGAGGGCGCCAGCGCGCCCAGCCCGATACACTTGAACCTCTGCTTTGGAGAAGAATGGCATGGACTGATTACAAAATTCGCCAAACCAGAAAACCGAAAAAAGAAGAAAAAAACTAAGTTTCATACAAATTCAACCGCTTCACTTGAAAACGGTTTCAAACAATATGTTAACATAAAGAAACATGAATTATCCTCAAAGCGTCCCACCTCCGTTTCCAGCCCCCATGAGCCTCCCTCCTCACGCCCAAGAGCCACTTACGATGCGCAGTCGGGACACCTCGCCGAAGGTTAGCATGGAGAATATCTTCTCCAGTACCTCGACGGGCAGGTCGAGCAGATGGAAGGGCACGGCGCGTTTGGGCGGCAGCGGCTTCTGGAAGAGGTGGGCGCGCCCGCTCGGCGCCGGCTGCGAGGGCCCGCTCTCCTCGGAGGAGCACTCGTAGCAGTCGTCCTGTTTGTCCTTGCCCAGCGGGCACGAGCCGCCGGCGTGCGACAGTCGGGTCAGCACCATGGTGGCGGCGCCTCACTGCACGCCTGCCGGCACAGACAGGGGGTCAGTAAGCGGTCAAAAGTCAGAGGCCAGCATTTAGAGGTCAGTGGTAAGGGTAACAGACAGACTAAGACAGTGTGTGTCACAGACACTGACCCCCAGTCAGAATCAGATCAGTAGTCAGGGTCACAGTCAAATCCAGAAGCCAGAAGCAAGGTCATAGACAGACCCTCCTCTCTCCAGTCAGAATCAGTGGATCAGTAGTCTGGATCAGGGTCAGGGTCACAGACAAACCCAGCAGTCAGACTGGGAGTCAGTGGCAGAGTCTGTCTGCAGTCAGAATCGGGGTCACAGCCCAGAATCAGCTGTCAGAATGAGGAAGAAAGGGTCACAATATCAATGGAAAAGGGGTAGAATATAAATATTTTGGGCCTTGGATGCTGAGCAGGATGAAAGATGATGAGGTGAGATGAGATGAGAAAGAGAGGGAGAGAGAGGGAGAAAGGGAGAGGAGAGAGGAGGGCGAGGACGAGGGAGAGTGATAGAATAGAGAAAAAGAGAGAGGGAGAGGGAGGGAGAGAGAGAGAGAGAGAGAGAGAGAGAGAGAGAGAGAGAGAGAGAGAGAGAGAGAGAGAGAGAGAGAGAGAGAGAGAGAGAGAGAGAGAGAGAGAGAGAGAGAGAGAGAGAGAAGGGAAGTCAAGGAGAAAGAAAGCGAGGATAGAGGAGAGCAGGGAAGAAGAGAGATGGAGGAATAAAGGAATAGAGATAAAAAAGAGAGAGGGAAAGACAAATGGAAAGGGGGAGAGTATCTTAGAGTGAGTGAAAAAGTGAATTTTTGAGTGTGAGAAAGGAGCAAGAGTGTGAAAAAGTGTGAGAGAGAAGAAGCCAAGAGTGAGTGAGTGAGTGAGTGAGTGAGTGAGTGAGTGAGTGAGTGAGTGAGTGAGTGAGTGAGTGAGTGGGTGAGTGAGTGGGTGAGTGAGTGAGTAAGTGAATGGGTTAATGTGGATGTGAAAAAGAAAAGAGGAGAGAGGGAGAGAGGAGGGGAGGGAGGGAGAAACAGAGAGAGAGAGAGAGGGGGGAGAGAGAGAGAAGAGAGAGAGAGAGAGAGAGAGAGAGAGAGAGAGAGAGAGAGAGAGAGAGAGAGAGAGAGAGAGAGAGAGAGAGAGAGAGAGAGAGAGAGAGAGAGAGAGAGAGAGAGAGAGAGAGAGAGAGAGAGAGAGAGAAAGAGAGTGAGAGCAGAAAGAGAGAGGCAATAGAATGAAAGAGAAGGAAAGAAACAGAGAGCATGTTTGCCAGAGAGGGAAACTGACAGAGGAGATGAAGAAATGGGAACTGAGAGAGAGAGAGGGAGAGAAAGAGGAAGAAGGGGTAGAGATGGTGTGAGGAGGAAAGGAAAAAAGGAGGAAATGAGGGACAAAGAAATGGAGTGAGAAAGGGAGATTGAGATGGTGAGTAAAAGAGAATGGAAAGAGAGAGCTAGAACACACCTGAAGGAGAGAAAGGAGTGAGAAGTAAGAATCAGCAAAGGGGAGATAGGATGGGGTTGATAGGAGGGAGATGAGTGGATAGGGTATTGGAAGGAAGAACAAAAAGAAACCTTTCAGTTAACTGTACAGGACCCACCTTCAAACATCAAGGATAGCAGATATCTAAAAAAAAACAAAACGTTGCATTGTCACAATATTTTGCACTTTCAACACCTACTTAGGATCAAAGCAATGAACACAAGAATCAAGTGAGATCAAGGACTAGCATTTGATCTTTATGACAATGCACTGCAGTTATAATGAATTTTGTCTGAATCTTAGCTGCAGGTGGGCATGAAGCATAGAAATGAAGTACTGTTCAGAGAAGCAATCCTGAAATCAGGTTTAGGTTTAGGAGACAGTGGAAGTGAAAATACCTGGACCATTGGAAACCAGACCTGACCTGAGAGGAAAGAAAGATCCTTTGTGATATATTTTACTTGATCTTGTTACCCACACCTAGTTGTCCACAGAGCAGTGAGGTAGAATATGCACATTTTTGTACTCCTACCATCAGTTCCTGCCAGCAAAGCAAGCAAGGTTTCAGTGGAAGGAGTTGCACCTCTAAATTCCAGGTATTCTTTATGTATGTACTGAATGCTAGTTTGCTGAACAGTGTCTCAAGGAGCAAATTACATACAAAATCAACATTTTACACATCTTTACCACTTGCATTATCACCAACACAGGATATTCTTTAGAGTACCTGCGCAGTGCAGCCGTTATCATTTGTGACTATTTAGTGGCAGAAAGAGCAGCAATAATGAAAACTGACAAATAAGCTATTAAAAATGTAAAAATGCACTAAGGATAGCAATGGAAATGTGGAAAATAGAAAGCAAGATGTAGGTTTTTTTGCAGCTTTCCTTGAATTGAAAAAAAAAATGTTGTAAAAGGTCTAAACCCAGGTGAAAAAATCTTACAAGATTGTCAGGCATTATTATGCAAGACAATCTTGCAAGAAATTGGCCCACTTTCTTGTAAGATATTGTGTATGAATCTTGCATGTCTTGTACAAGATTCTTGTAAATCTTTTACAAGAATCTTGCACATCTTATACAAGATTCTTATAAATCTTGTGCAAGAATCTTGCAAGTCTGGTAAAAGATTCTTGTAAATCTTTTACAAGAATCTTGCACTTCTTATACAAGATTCTTATAAATCTTGTGCAAGAATCTTGCAAGTCTGGTGCAAGATTCTTGCAAATCTTTTACAAGAATCTTGCACATCTTATACAAGATTCTAATAAATCTTGTGCAAGAATCTTGCAAGTCTGGTGCAAGATTCTTGCAAATCTTTTACAAGAATCTTGCACATCTTATACAAGATTCTTATAAAGAATCTTGCTGGTCTGGTACAAGATTCTTGCATGTCTTGCACAAGGCTCTTGCAAGAGTCTTGTAAGACTTTACGTGTACTGTATAAGAATCTTGCAGGAGTCTTGTACAAGACTCTTGCATGTCTTGTACAAAGCTTTTGCTAGAGTCTTACCAGACTGTCGCAAGAGTATTGTACAAGACTTCAACAAGTTTTGTACCAGACTCTTGCAAACCTTCTACAAGGCTTGCTAAGACTCTGACAAATCTTCAGCAAGACTTGGAAGTCTTATCGAAGACTTGCAAGCCTTGTGCAAGACTTCCAGACACATCGTTGCCCTAAGATATTGTTTCGATTGTATTCATGTCGAGACCCATGTGTACGAAATCCGCAAAGTGAAATGGATAATATGCCAGCGTAAACGTCAAAATCAATATATATTCATAAAAAATGTATAGCTGAGAATGCACATATGAACAGCCCTTTACTTTTCGAGTCATCCACACGTCACAGTCACATCACACCATCACACCGTTGACGTCACGTCATGTCACGATTGTCGAGGCCGACGTTCCGTCTGCATCCAGCTATACTCGTACACATCTTGAGCGAGGATGTCGCCCGTCGAGCCTTGCATCGCATATTATTGGTGAGCCGAGATTCTCGAATGCTGAAATGAAATGCCATTATATAATCAGGTAATATCCAAAGCCAGATGTGAAAAGGTGAGCCAGTACCTCTCAGTCAAAAACTAGAATTGATGGGGCTCATTTTCGATTAAAGATAATTCAGCATATCATAGCTATCATCCTCACGTATCTACTATCCCTGGGCCCAGTTTCACCGTATGACGTTACCGTCAGCACTATTCCCTTTGTGGCATGCACAAGAATGACAGGCGATCAGCTATTTTTGAGTGAACGTTTCGGGGCTTTTTCTGTAATGCTGAAAATATTGAGAATATTGTTACACAGCAATACAGCATGGCAGAACCTTACCTTTAGGTCGGAAGAGGAGACGGCAGACGACACCAACACCGCACGGCACACACTCGACACCCCCGTCAGCCGTCCGCACATCGCGAGCGGGCAGTGAATGGGACGGATGGAATGCGGCGGAGGGGGGCGCGCGCGACGCGCGCTCCCCTCTCCGGCGTCTCCGGCCTTCGCCCCAGGCGAGGATCGGGACTGGGAGGGGACGCCCGCCGCCGACCGTACGGTCTCTAAAACGGTCAGTGGTCGCTAAATTCCAGTCGGTACAGTCTCCAAAGATCACCACTGCGCACAAATGCACGCTCAAGTCCCCGAATAATACAATACAGTAATGCGTCAAATTAAGCTGAGAATGTTATGAAGGGATTTGGGAGTTATGAAGTGAATCGATTCTTTTATAGGGATCAATTCACAATTCGTAATTCCCTATATATCGGGACAATGTTGACAACAACATTCGAATGTTGATGTCCCGCCAGTTCTAATAATGAGATGTGACGTCCTGAGGACTAGGTGAATAAATCCCGGTAGGTTGCAGATTGAGAAGAAATGTCCAGTCCAACTTATCAACGCACCGGGGCGAGGCATTTCTCCCAATCCCAAGGTACTCCTCATACTTTAGTATGAGGCTTATCAATGGTCATGACCGATCAGCGAGCTGTAAAAAAATCTTACAAGTATGAAGTAACCAACAGACTTGCCAGAATCTTGCAAGAAAGATTCTTGCAAGGAAACCACCGCATTCTTACAAGACTCTTGCAAGATTGGGACAGTCTTGTACAAGATTCCCTAGGTCTTGCAAGACTGTCCTCAGAATCATATAAGATCTTGCAAGATCGAGAAGATTCTTGCAAGATCTTGTAAGATTTTTTCACCTGGGAAGCACTGGTTTCTTTCCATGTTAAAATTGTTAATGATAAAATTACCAAACATTATGTTCATCTAATATTTAAGATATAAAATAAGGGTTTGAACTCATGTTTTACCTGCTTTATCTCTTATTTTTATCACTAAATGCATTTCAAATTGAGATCAAATTGAGATAGCTTTTTGGCATGCATCTTGCAAAAAAGTGCATATTCTTAGAACTCAATAGCATCTGAAACCATTATTTAACCGAAAATGGCAATTAGATGTAGTTTTTCTGGTTTTTACCTTGTAAAACACAAAAGCAGCAATAACCTTGCGGTTTCAGGCCACTGGAAGAATGGAAGAGCAACAGACTTCCAATCCAATCATATTGCTCAAATGTCTCCAATTTTAAAAGAATAACTTACCAATGCCTTGAAATTACAAAACAATAGTCATAGATGTGAAGTATGGAAGATGAGCTCTTGTGAGATTGGATGAAAATCACGCACGACACATCACGAACTGCGCCATCCTGCGTTTACGCTGCAGGCATTTCACTCGCGCTGCTGGCACCGTTCGCGTTGTTCGCTGGCTGTATTTGGCCACCCCCCCTGTGAAGTCTGTTGGACTCGTCCGAAATAATCGGTTTTCTGTTTTCTTTTTCCTTTGAGATTTTTAGTCAAACGTGCATGTAATTGCTTCGTAAATTTAAGAGGAATTTCCTCGAATCTTTTTACAAATGCACTCGACTGAATTATTGCACCGAGGCCGTTTCAGCTCGACCTCAACGAGCACTTTCACACGAAGTCGCCGGGCGCGGGGTTCAAGCCGAGCGGTATCGGCAATCATACGCCTGGTGACAAATACATGCAGATAACATTTTTCCCCATTTTCGATGTAGGAAGACATGCTGCCTAAATATTTCGGTTTTTAATTCGAGAAAGCCACTGCCCGCCGCTGTGGGCCCGTATCAAAGTGGCTCGCCGGAGCGTAACCTTGGAATTTGTAAATGGATAATTGACGGTATCCGCCCAAAGCACATATCCCACCAGTCTGTCCCGGATCCTATCGCTCCTCGTGTTGGCCGTAAAAAATCCTCCCTTTGCGCCCGTTTCCCCGTGGCACCGAAGACCGAGCTCCGGTGTCTCAGACTCCCCGAGCCACGAGAGTAGCCCGCAACCCGTTGAAGAACGGCTGGCCCCGAAAAAAGGAACTTTTTCTTATGTCACAGAAACGTGAAACGTTAGATGAGTGAAACGATCGTTTAGCTTTCCCGAGATGGCACACATTATGTTCCACAACCACGCCTCCCTCCTATCACGTTCTCGGATACAGCCTTGCAGAGTCCTGAGACCGCAGACGAATGTCTACCCCGCCCCGGCAAAAGCGACAAGAGACAGCTGCTACGGCTGGCTGGGCGTGAGGATGGTGTCAAACAGAGAGCAGTCCTAACACAGTCATTTGCCCAATGACTCTTCAGTCAGTCAGTTCTACGCCTCTTTTCAACCGTGCGATTGGACGCACTCGCAATTTCAACGAACACATTCGCTCGCACACAACGCTGCGATTCGTGCACACCTAGGACATCACTTCGCTGATGGGGAAAAATGACACAAACGATACACACAACGCAACAACTAATGGTAAAAATGTATTATCCGTCTAACGACCACGTTGGTCAAGAGTTCTGTCGAGGTTCGTTGAGCTGTGACATCGATATCATCAGAGTTAGGCATGTGACTGCTGGGATTCCCTTGTAGGTATGCTGAGTTCATGCAACTTAGAGCGAACAATCCATACTACAAACAATTATATTGGACGGTAAAAAGGGTCTAGTTCCCTCTACGTTCATTGCGAACCAGCCCAAGACGTAGTATCAATCACACACGGCTGCGTAACAGACGGACACCAATTCTCTCTGCATTCAGATCGGTGGCAGCGAGGTACGCTAAATCAGTATCCAAAGAGCAATTCACTCCCAATATCATGTTTCCCATCACATTCACGAGCAAAATAAACGGTTATATTCTCCCACTAGCTCCACACGTCTGTACTCCTGAGACCTCAGCGGCGGTCGGGGCGGCTCTGGCGCTCCTCGCGGCGACCCCCGGACACGGTCAGCCTTTCAGGGTCGCCGGTCATCCGCCGGAGCGGCCTGGGTCACCGCAGAGGTCCCAGGGGACAGGGTGGCGGGCTGGCACCCCGCCGGACAGACACAGCGCCGCAGCAGCCCTCAGTAGAGGAGTGTAGCGGCTACCGCGGCACGGAAACAGCACGACACAGGCTGCGGGACGTTGATAAAAGGCAAAATTCATCGTTGAACCATTTGTGTGAAATGAGCAGAAAACGATATCTTCGCTTAGTCCCTTCACATGCCGTTTTGGCCGAAAATACAAAGATCAAGAGCTGTAAAGACTATCAGCAAAAACGGTTGTCAGAACTAAGAAGACACAAGAATTATTATACACTGACATCTTATCTGAATGGTGTCCAAATGACGTGTACAATTTCATGACAAAGGAGCCGCCGATCCGTAAATATCAGACCGACGAACGTATGCCGCATCCGTGGCCGTTCACCGTTCCCTGTACCGCTCCGTGCCGCGGTGGACCTGCAGATGTCAGTGCGGCCGCCTCGCTCCAGAGGGCGGCTCGGGCGCCGCTCCGTCCCAGCTCGGGCGGCTAGACGATGACGCAGGATGCCGGCTGCATCTTCTCCACCTGGCGCGGCGCGGCGCCGTCCGACACCTCCTTCACCACCGTCACCACCTCCTTGAAGTCGGGGAACGACATGGTCTGCAGCTTGGAGTGCACCACCTGGTCGTTCACCTTGACCTCAAACGACGCTGCCGGCGAAAGGTGGAAACAGAAGTCAGAGTTTGCTAAGGGCAGTTCCTCAGGTAGAATCAAATTACAGAAGAGTACCGTTTTATGAGTAATTTGTTTTGTCAAAAAGGTGGTCAAAATCGTAGCTCTACGATCATTTTCGCCGGCTTAAAAACCGATGCCGGGAAACCGATCTCTGGCTATTTACCTGCCCTAAGAGGTCACAGGTTCACATGAAAAAGCAAAATAAAATGACTATGACCAGAATAAAAAGCCAGCACTAAAATGACTGAGTCGAATCCGTAAGAAAATATCTACATAGCCTCTACCATGCATCACCTTGCAAGAACTCGACCTTGGACCCAGAGAACCTTATTTAGTCGATATGGCATACAAATTAACACTTATTATCGAGATTGCAACACCAAGACATACGTTGGAAGGCATGAAATCCCACTCAAATCAAAACGATTAGGATGAATGTAAAACACTGGCAAATTTCGGCTTTCGGCACGTCTAGATATATTCACGAAAGCCTTAGGGAGTTGCATAAGCTCCCCTGTGTCGGGGAGAGTTAAGGTATCATCATTCGACGTTTATGACCTTGGATCACATTTTTCAGGTCACGATTTATGAAGACACAGCCATGTTGGAAAAGGCGGACCTGCGGAAAAATGGACATTATAGAGAGCGGTAAATCTGAAATACGCGTTTCCATCAAATAATCATCTAATTCTGGAAACCATAGAACAAAGCACAACATTACACATAATAAGGTGATCGTAGTTGACGGAAACGTGCATGCGTCTATTACCAACGCTTTTAGAGGGTCATGCAAATATCTATACAACGAAAACTTGTAGCCATGCGTTTGGTCACTTCAAGACTGACTTTTCTGACATCAACTATCCGAAAGCCTATCAGTGAGATGCCTGTTCAACCCCCCAATCCGGGCGCCCTGTCCGTATCTTTTCTCTGTCCCGGGCGCGGTCTGCCGTTCAGCCCCCACCCTCCAACCTAGGTGTGCACCGTCTCTCCGCCCACCACCCTCCTCTACACCGATCACCCACGCCAGCGGCCACTCACATCGTCTGCCGACGAATCCCTCCACCTCGGCTCCGGGCACATTGCTCTGGATGAGCTCCTGCAGCTCGCGGAACCGCGGCCCGTACCCTCATCCGCCGCTGCAACAGGACACGGCCGGCCGGCCCGGTCAGCCACTAGCTACTCACAGCACACGCGGCTGGCAGACTTACTCTGGCGACCGACGAAGCCGTCGACGGCAGCGCCGGGAACGCTGGACCCGATCAGGGCCTGCAGCTCCCGGAACTGCGGCTCGTACCCTCACCCGCCGCTGGAACGGCCGCCGCGGCGTCAGCAGCGCGCACGGCAGACACGGCGAGAGGGGAACACGGGACGCGGTGGTGGGAGAACAAGACACAAAGAACCAATGGCACGGGGCATTCTAGGAAGTGTCCGGGGAGATTTTGGTTAGCTATACGTGGCTAGGCTGCCCGGATAATATGACACAAAATCGACATAAAATTGGAATCACTACACCTGCCACACAGGCACGGCATTCTCAGGTAGCTACGCTACCCTTAGTTCCTTTGTTCCGACAACCGGCCTGCGCTCTCAGCCTGAACGTACAGTCTACGCCATCATCGTAAACATTAGCCATCCCACATTCGTTCAACCAGCTGTGTCCACATCACGCACCACATATGCACACGCAGAGGAAGCCTGGCATTGGACGATGGGCGGCGGGCGGCGGGAGGGATGTGGGAGGGATAGCGGGGATCGGGGTAGGATCACGACACCGGCCATGTGTGTTATAAGGTACCACAGTGAACCACAGAACACAGCTGGGGTAGCCAGAGGCAGCACTTGTCATAATAAAACACAAATGCCCTGGATTGGGGCGATCGGCGGAAAACGCCACTCACGGCGCTAAACCGCGCCTTTTGAGAGAACCATACAGTTAAAAGCAGTGACGGTGGTGATCGGTCAGCTTTACGTTTATTGCTATGTTATAAACCAAGTGACAAGTACGATATTAATAACGAGAGACAAAGAATTTGAAGAAGTGAATTGCATGAGTGTTACATAATATCAATAATACACAGATGAGTAGGAGCTGAGGACACTTTGGCCCTTGCCCCCGCGGAGTATGCATAATCACGCATCATCCACGGATCAGTCGGGTTTGAAAGTCAAGTCGACCCGTCAGCAGTTACAATGTAAACACCGTTCTGATCCACCGATAAAGCACGAACTCCGGACCGGCGTATTTTGCAGCTCTCCTTTGTGCCCGCTCTAGATCCGCCGGACATTGCACTAGCTCAGCAAAGCGGGAATATTCCTCTCCGGGATACCGGCGAGTCAGCACAATCGCCCGCGGAATCGGAGCCGTATAGCGAACCCTGGGGCGGCCGGAGCTGTGCCGACGGCGGCCACACAGCGGAAAGGACGGATTTCAGACCGATTAGCAACGATCTCTGCTCAGTACCAAACATTTGTGTAAATAAACAGCACGCCTGTTGAGTGAGACAGGCCGTGCCTGCGCAGGACTAGGTTTCACGTCTATTATTTTTCCGACCACTGGGAAATTGCCAACCAGACTAGTGTAGGCAGGGCTGAGGGACTCACACTGCTTAGCTCAGGCTCTGTTTTTTTTCAAGCATTTCATTGAAATCATCTTAGTCAAGCTTAAACATAGTAAAATCGTCATTGACAAAGTAAAATTTGCACAGCACCCAAAACCATCAAAATGTGACCAAAGCTCAAGCAATCTTTTACAAATAGACCCATTCTTACAAAATATATATATTTCAGGGAAATCTATTAACACAAACATTGGCCCCCAGTGTGCCTTTAACTCAATTCCAAATTAAGATTGATTAAAGGGAAAATCTATCTTAGGATTACTGGACTAATTGGTGGGTCTGGCATATGTTTGACTTACAATGAAAACAAGCACAGGCTAAGTAATTGATGAACAACAGAAACATGCATCTAACTCACCAGTATTCAATGACAACTTTGGCTGAGCCCATGATTCTTCTCAATACACTTGCCAGTGTGACAGAAACACACTGTGTCTTCACTTGGTTCAAGGTGCAGTGAGCTAAAACAAAGCAGAAAGAAACATACAACGAAACAAGTCAGAAAGCAGACATATGCACAAATGTGTGCTGGGTCTCATCATTTTGGATTCTGAGCAAACTACAGAACAGGATCTATGAGTCCATTAAATGTCACATGAAAAATTGTGCTGACTCAATGATTTCACAGCATCTAGCAACCAACCAGGAACCAGGATCTAGGACTTGCAGAGATCTTACAGGTAACTTAGATAGGTACATATACCATGAAATCATGATCTAAGATGATTCTTTGTCAATTATTGATATCAAAACTGTGATTGGTAGAGCAATGACCTTGAATCCTTGAACATGACCATTTCAAATTTCTTGTGTGTTCTGTAAGGGATGACTGCTACTGGGCATCCTGCCTTACTAGGGTAAGAGGGACACCATGTACACTGCACTAATACCAGCCGGACCAGAAGAAAAATTGACTGCAATGGTCAATTTTAGCCTGAGGCCACTTAGGAATATGGCTAGCCACACAAAAATCTTATGTGAAAAGTAATGAGGCAGCCTAACTAGTAACTACTGTTTATTCATGCCCAGTACTTATGGTGTTAACCAATACCATACCTATTTTTCTTCAAATGGTTGGTGAGACTTCTGGTGTGGGCAGCTTTTAAGTGAATAAAAGTCAGATATGTGTAGAATGTAGTTAAATGTAGTTAAAGGATGTAGGTTGTAGGCTTTAGGCTGGTAGGTTGCAGGTTGGTAGGTTCAATGTTGTAGGTCAGTAAGTAAGGTTAGGTCAGGTTAATTTTTATCTTTACCATACTTAATCTTCACATTTACCCAAAAATGTAACCAGCCACTTCTCTACTAGTTACATGGCATCTGATCTATATGACCTGATTGTATGGCATCTGAACATCTGATTATATGGCCTCTGATATATCAGATCATATCACAATGTTTCATGTTCTGATTATGATAAGTAGCTTTATACCTATTAATTCACATTCATATATCCAATGACGAAGGCACTATGTGGCTGAAACGTCTCGTATCTATTTTAGAACCGTTTAATTGTTGTCATTCGCTTGAGTATATACAATGACACATAGCTCTGAATGTCTCTCTGATCAGAGGGAAACTTATTATTTGAATAAATCAATCCCAATCACATTCATGTTTCATTGAAAACAATTTCACAAAAGAGTGGCCATGGGTCCGTCAAAGGGTTGAAAGGCAGTCAACAAAAATCATCAATAATTTTGGTTTTGAAACATGCCTTTTCCTCAACAAAAATCATCAATAATTTTGGTTTCGAAACATGCCTTTTCCTCAAAACAACCACTTGAACTCAAAGAATATTGATCCACATACGAAACACTCACCTACCACTTTTCCTTGTGTCTTGTGATGAAATGGCAATAAATATCTTCGACTCGACTGTAACTTAACTTTACTGCTGTTCAACGTTATCTTGGTATTCTGTCGCTTTCTGCTGCAAAATATTTGACCAATCAAAATCCTGGCAAGCAGGAGTTTTCAATTCAACGACAAATAGTTTCAGAGTGGGAAATAATTTTTAGTCTATATATTATTGCTATTTTGAACCAAAATTTCATTCATTTTTAAAGTCTGACACTAATTATGCAGAAAAATAGCATTTAATTGATGACGATAGCAACTGCACTACAGCAGGCATAATTTTTAGAACAGCCTGTAAATAAGCTGATTTCGTCTTTTGTGCGGCGTAGATGAAAGCAACAAATAGTAGTGAGAAGAGAAACAAATGAAGCCCAATATCTATCTATGCCAATAAAACAGTATGTTTTGTTTAAATCACTGTTTTCAGTCTTCAAAATTTGAAATTTAGTTTAAAAAGTTCAAAATAACTTAGAAAATAAAAAAGACATGCTTGATTTAGATAAAACTCGACGCCGTGGACGCCGCCATCTTTATCTTGCTTGTTGAGATTTTGGGCGCAATAAGGCCCACTCAGTTTCATTTGTTTTGGGCGAGGCTACGGATTTTCCCTACGCTATTCAGGGATCAGTTGAATCAAAGATAAGAGGGCTCATTTGAAGCTGCTGAGCCCTGCACTTCCTAATTTTTCTTGAAAAGGGGCAGTTTTCCATCCCCGGCGGTGCGCCAGATTCGTAGCGTGTGGTTTTATGTAAATTTTGCGGCCAAGAGGAAGGATTAGTTTGATTAGAGTCGAAAGTGATCTCACATTTCTTTTGGTCTTTCAATAGAACTTCATTCACCTACTCCTTAGTCATGTCTGGCCGCAATGAGTGTCGCATCTATGTTGGGAATCTTCCTCCTGATATCCGCACCAAAGATATTGAGGACCTGTTCTACAAGTTTGGCAAAATCGTATTCATTGATCTGAAGAACCGGAAAGGACCCCCTTTTGCATTTGTCGAGTTTGAAGATCCAAGGTTTGTACATTAGCTCTAGGAAAGTTTCTTTTTCAATTTGTAATCAGAAAATGAGCTTAGTTTAAGATGGAGCAGTGTTGTATCCTTTATGTGATATCTACATGGCTCAGAACCCCATTCAATAATGTGTTTTGACCAACCATTTTATCAATTCTAAATAATTCATTTTTTTGCTTAAGTCGAGTGGAAAAGCAATAATGCTAAGGACATCAATATGAAATGTGCATACTTATCTTAAATTGGCTCACAATATTTTGTTATCATACCTACCTGATTGGCAGGCTGTTTTTTTTTGGCATTACATAGTAAAAGAACAAATAAAGTCATGCATTATTTACTAAGATTATCACTTAGTAGATATCACTGAAGCTGCCAGTTGTTATCATTGCTTACAATTTTTACCATGCTAACACTGTGTTTCAACTTTTGCTTGCTGTAAGCTCACTCTGAGTTGAAACTTTTTATTGCATTTAGGTAAATGTTAAATAAAAAAGACTTAACTCCCTCAATTTTTATTTTGTACCTTGCATTCACAGGCATGTGTTTCTTAGCTGACTATTGCCCATGCTAAGTTTTATGGTCTTGAGCATCAATAAGCATGGTCAACTTCCATTCTGCTGTGATTGCTTGGTGACATTGTTCAAATGTACAAACCCTTGCACAGGTAGTTTCCACTTGCTCTTTTATTGTGCTAAGCAAAAAACATGGATTGCACAACTAACCATGCCACCCACCAGGCTGGACCTCTGACCAGCACCTGACTAGTCACTGTTACCCCGCCAGGGACGCCGATGACGCCGTGTACGCCCGCGACGGGTACCTCTGACCAGCACCTGACCAGTCACTGTTACCCCACCAGGGACGCCGATGACGCCGTGTACGCCCGCGATGGGTACCTCTGACCAGCACCTGACCAGTCACTGTTACCCCGCCAGGGACGCCGATGACGCCGTGTACGCCCGCGACGGGTACGACTACGACGGCTACCGGCTGCGTGTGGAGTTTCCGCGCGGCGGCGGCCCGGGCCGCGGCGGCATGATGGGCGGCCGAGGCATGATGGGCGCCGGGCCGGGCCGGGGCCGCGGCCCGCCGGCGCGCCGCTCCCAGTACCGCGTGCTGGTCACCGGACTGCCGCCCACCGGCAGCTGGCAGGACCTCAAGGACCACATGCGCGAGGCCGGAGACGTCTGCTTCGCCGACTCCTACAAGGACGGCACCGGCACCGTCGAGTTCCTCCGATACGAGGACATGAAGTACGCCGTCAAAAAGCTGGACGATTCAAAGTTCCGCTCACATGAGGTATGTTTTGTTAAATTGGTGATATAAGATATATTCAGTTTGATTTTTGATCTTTCCTTCAATTATTCATTTGTTAAATGTTTTCATTGGACAGCGTAATTATTCTCGAATCTAGTTATCAGCGGAAGTATGCTCATTCTATTCAACACTTATGTCGGTTTTGAGAATGTGAATTTTGTTCACGCATCACTGGCTGGCTGAACAGGGTTGTCTGAACAGACTGTCACCTTCTCTTCCCCCAGGGTGAGGTGTCGTACGTGCGTGTCAAGGAAGACACGGGCGCCAGCAGCAGCGGCGGCGGCGGCGGCGGCGGCGCGCGCCGCTCCCGCTCGCGCTCGTACTCGCCGCGCCGCCGCAGCTCGCCCACCTACTCGCCGGTGAAGCGCTCCTACTCGCGCTCCCGCTCCCGCTCCGTCTCGCGTGAGCGCTACTGAGCAGAGCCGACTGGCCGAGGAGGGGCGGCGGCCGCGCACCGGCGGCCTGAAGACGCAGACTGGGGACCCGCGACGCCCGGAGCTCACAGCCCAAGGTTCATAAGCCTCTGACCTTTCGCTGTCTAGCCTGTGTGTGTTTGTGGACATTCGGGGGAGGCGCGAGTAGTGCTCGCCCTCGGCATTTTAAGTTCATTCACCATTTGTATGTGGGGTTGGTTCATAAACGGTCTTAAATGTAATTGGATGTTTCAATTTAAACACAAGCGGTAAACATGTTCGATGTCATTGTTTTGTACGTATGTCTGTGCGGCGTCTAACACTCTTTCCTGCATTTGTTTTTATAGAATCAAGGATGCATTGGATAGCCCCAGGATTGGATTTGGATGCATTGGATAGCACACAGACACACGCGGAAATGGATTTCATGGCCGGGATATCACTCTGGATCGGATGTGAAGGGGATGTGTGGCACTGGATAGGATGGTCACGGATCAGGATCACGGAATCATGGATCACGGAATCATGGATGGATCAGGACAGGACAGGACAGGACCCCGCTGCACGCTGGAGCGCCACACTCGGACCCGGCTCGCTCGGACGGACCCATGCCGGTAACGTGCCAACCCCGGGACATCCCGCTTCCTGACCCCCTCAGCTGCTGCTCAGACTGACGTAAAGTCATGTATTCAGAGATGAAAACGTCCTACTGCACAAATTCTCTTCATATTTGAATCGCCCCCGTCTTTATCCGCGCTTTCACTTGTCCGCCAGGGTGGTAATGCTAAAGGTATCGATTTGCCATTTCCACTTGCCAAATACGTCCTTTTCTTTCGAATGCGCTCTTAGCGATGTTTATCATTTGCCTCACGACTTAATCTCTGAACTGGACAGAATAAGCCTTCCCTGACGCACAGACGAACCTCTCCCCCTGTCTCACGATTCCGTGCATCACGCTCTGTTAACGTAAGGAATCGCTGGGTGCTAAGTCTTGCTCTTGTGCTCGTGTTCGCACTGACTGCCTTTTTCAGCTCCTTCGGATACAGCAGCAGCAGCAGCAGCAGCAGTGCGTCGCTGCTGCAGTTTCGGCGGGCCACAGGGCCAGGCCTCATTCTGGTAATGGCCAATAAACTTACATGCTTCTGCGCTCTTTTTGTGGGGTAACGGGTACCTGGGAATGCGTTCGAAAAAGGTGGCGAGCATCATGAAGAGTTGCCCTGGTGCAGGCTCTGCCGCGAAGAGGCAGACCGGGCCACAGTGGATGGAAAGGAGGGCTCTAGAGTCGTACCGAATGGAATCAGGACTAAAATCTTGGTTGAGGAGTGCTCTGCAATAGGTACTGTTCGGAACTCTGAGGGAGGGACAGACAAATCGTTCGATTTGAGCAATTGTATTACAAAAATGCATGCCGTGGAATGTTTGATTCACTAAAAAAAATCACAAATGGTCAATCACAGTTGATTGTGAAATCTCTCACATTTAGGTGAATGACTTGTCAATCGATGTACGAAAATAGAATTAATATAAACTTCTACGATTCAACATAACGTAAAGCGAAGCATGATCAAAGTCTTGTACTCCCGGAAAGCCCTCACATCCTGACAACCAAGCTCTTTGGTAGCACCCAACCCGTTGCGGGGCACTCCATAACCACAATTAATGCAATAGGCACTAGGCAGTCCGTCAGCACATGATTCCCAGAAAACCAAGCAGCCCAGCCCAGCTCACCGCGCCTCAACAAAGTGAAGTGCTAATGATAAAATCAACCTAAAAAGCAACAAATGATAAATATGGCACGGGAATGTCTCGAACGGAAATTCACGGGCAGTCACCCGCTCACCCGGCCGCCTCTGGCTCTGTCACAAATAAATCCACCAGCGCACAACACAACACAGCACGGCACAGACATCCACTGGACAATGAAGTAATTCCTGAATGACTGGGCGAACATCAGGCTCCAGTTTTATCCTTCCCCTCCTCAACACGTCTCGAGCATTTCTCTCCGCACGCTAGCTCCTACGCTACAATCCTCTCCCCAAGTCCCGGTGTTTCGCTCGCTGCCCCACCCGTCCTCCCGGCCGGCTCTGTGCGATGGCGGATGGTTGGCACTAAATGTCCGGCGTATTTGGCGCTACGTGCGCCGCCACTGCCTAACTGCGTCGCTAAACTGCCGCCAGCTGCTGCACAGCAGTTTGGTGTGGTGACTGCAGTCACTGCCACCCTGTGCTGACTGCAGTCACTACTGCCGCCCTGTGCTGGCTGCAGTCACTGCCACCCTGTGCTGACTGCGGTCACTGCCGCCAGCTGCAGAGCAGCTTGGTGTGCTGGCTGCAGTCGCGCGGCAGCCGGTGGCCGGCGCGGCGCGCGGCCAGGAACGCCGCTCCGCTGCAGAGTGATCCGCGCAGCTCGAGCAGCTGGAAGGCGGGCAGCAGCGGCCCGGCCACCTCGAGCAGACCGTCCCGGAGCAGCGGCCACGAGCGGAACACGGCGCCCACCACCACTATCTGCAGACCGCGCTCCGCCGACAGCATCTCCTGCGGGGAGGGAGGGGGAGTCACACGGCGCCCACCACCACTATCTGCAGACCGCGCTCCGCCGACAGCATCTCAGGGAGGGAGGGGGAGTCACACGGCGCCCACCACCACTATCTGCAGACCGCGCTCCGCCGACAGCATCTCCTGTGGGCAGGGAGGGGGAGTCACACGGCGCCGACCACCACTATCTGCAGACCGCGCTCCGCCGACAGCATCTCCTGCAGGGAGGGAGGGGGAGTCACACGGCGCCCACCACCACTATCTGCAGACCGCGCTCCGCCGACAGCATCTCCTGTGGGCAGGGAGGGGGAGTCACACGGCGCCGACCACCACTATCTGCAGACCGCGCTCCGCCGACAGCATCTCCTGCAGGGAGGGAGGGGGAGTCACACGGCGCCCCGACCACCACTATCTGCAGACCGCGCTCCGCCGACAGCATCTCCTGTGGGGAGGGAGGGGGAGTCACACGGCGCCCACCAACACTATCTGCAGACCGCGCTCCGCCGACAGCATCTCCTGTGGGCAGGGAGGGGGAGTCACACGGCGCCCACCACCACTATCTGCAGACCGCGCTCCGCCGACAGCATCTCCTGCAGGCAGGGAGGGGGAGTCACACGGCGCCCGGCAGACAGCATCTGTGGGGAGGGAGGGGAAGACGGTAAGTCGCGGCGCTCGGCAGATTGCTTCGATTGCCGCAGGGAAGGGACGGAGGTTAGAGACGCCATGACAAACTGGAGAAAATTACTGACAAAAGAACCGTGTAAAACACCGCGCCGATCGAGTTGGATGGGGGAGTCAGCCGACCCTGTCTCCAGTGTATCCAGCGCCAAATTCACAGATAAGCAGGCGATTGAATTAAGAACTCTGCTAGCCGGTGGCGCAATTCGTAAAGATGCAACGAAAGGACGTTTGCTTTCCAGCTATGTACCGCGCGATGTGACAAATTTTCGGTGGGGTCCTCCATCAAACCTAAAGACTGGCATGAGGAGCTGACGGCTCCAAGAACTAAGAAGAGCTGTATGCGACTGCATCGTCACCCGTTCTCAGTGCTGTTTGCAGAACGATTTTCATCAAAATTGACATCACGGTATCGTCGTTACCATTTCCTGTAACCGTCCCGACCCCAGTTACTACCATAAACAGCTCCGCGTCATGCCACACCAAACGGACACATTTTCCAGTCCAACCACCCCGCGACCTTTTGCCACCATTCAGTCCACCACACACAAACACCGTGCATCGACACCTGTGCAGGCACACCATGGATCGGTAAGCCGAAACCATAGAGCGCGGCGCGCGGTAAAGTGCCACACAGACACCGCGTGACCGCCCAGCCCGCCCGCCACTGGTCAAGTCAGCAGAAACCACCAAAGGCCACCCAGCAGCAAACACACCACACCACCATGCCACCACCACCACGTCACCAACCCACCATGTCATTGGCAGCGGCTGCTGCAGGCTAATCAACGTTAACAGTAAACGGGCCCCAGTCTCACACGACAAAGCGCCGGTTCCCTTGTTCATGCTGAGTCTATAAAACTAACTACGTATCCTTTTATTTGTTGATGCGGATCTTCAACCCGAATGGCTACGTTACGTGGAAGGCAATGTGGGTCATAGTGCCCGTAAGGTTAGATAAAGCTTGCTTGCTGTTCAACCGCTCGCGGACCCAACTACCGCTCGATGCCGGTGCCCGGTGTCTGTTTAGACGTTGAGTCAAACGTACCGCGAAGAGGGTAGCGGCACGGTCCGACCGGGATGGTGATGTTTTACTAGTCTCAGGTCCATAACTGGTCGACCTTACTTTCCACGGTCAATGCGTACTCTGAGAATCGAGTCTGTCAGTTAGCAGGATAGTGGCGTCATATTGTCTAGTCGGTATCGGATCTGTATCCTTTTCGACATTGGGCCAATTATACCTTTCCGACGTTCTCACATCTCTGTAAACTGTTGGATCTTCACCTAACCTCTTCTGCCAACTGCCAAGTAAGGTCTGTTCTTTCACTAATGTCATCCCTACCTTGTCGACATTGGGCAGCAGGGCGGCGATGTATCTGCCCAGCCAGGCGCCGGCCTCCTTGAACATACACCCCAGTCAGGCGCCGTCCCTACGGCCTACCTTGTCCACATTGGGCAGCAGTGCGGCGATGTATCTGCCCAGCCAGGCGCCGGCCTCCTTGAACAACTGCAGGCAGAGAGGGTCGCCGTGGCGCGCGGCGGCCGCCAGGTGTTCGCAGAGCGCCGCGAACCGCTGCTTCTCGAACTTTGTGTACGCGTGCGCCAGCAGACCGAACCTGCCGCGGGGCGCGGGAGGGGGTCGGTCACAGGAAGGGCAACAAACAACACGTGGGCGTCACACATCACACACAACACCGGGCAACAAACAGGGCGGGAACTACACAATACGTGTGCGTAATTTGAACAGATGACACAGATGATAGTAAAATGGACGGGTGGGAAAACGGATGAACACTGCATGGGTTACTAGTAAACAGCCGGGGCGTGGCGTTAGTCAGGGAAGGGGAGGGACGCGATGACGGGAAACGGGGAGGCCGGAGAATGGGGCGGAGTCATATACTGAGAACAACAATCGAGTGATGCAACACGAGTTGAAGGTAACGCGCAATCAGATGGAGTGCACAGCTCGGAAAGTGTCTGAAGTTGAACAGAGCGGAAGCCTCATAAAGAAATGTCCAGTGATACGGCGGTGTCTGCGGACATTATGCAATGGGCATCTGCAAACAATGATGAAACATGATAGTGTTCCACAAGCACCACTAATAGGGGGATAATGGCTGAGACACGAGCCACGCTGTGTTCACAGCAGCTGTTACAGCGCATATCCCTCACAAGATTACTACATCCCTCACTCTGGTAAAAAAGCCCCGCCCATAGCGGTGACCGCGAAATGACGGACGGACGGACGGGGGCTAACCTACCTGTCTGTGACGCCGAAGCAGGTGAAGATGGCCTCCCTGACGGCCTCGGTGCTGTGCGGCGGCTTCCTTAGGTTGTCATCCTCGTCAAACACCCACTTGATGGCCTCGTGGGCGATCCACCAGGCTACAGGGCGGTACAGAACATAGAGTTAACTACACTGCGGTCCGATTGAGCGGGATTGAGTATGATCTCATATTGCAGGGAGGTACCGGCCCGGCGTCTCCCCTCGGAGTATTATCGTCGCGTGCCATATGACACCGTTGGGGTCCATTGAGGACATGGGTAACCCAATACCGTTTAACGACCACAGCCGGCTCTAAATGCAGGTGATTAGGGGGGATGGGGGCAGTGGTTGGATCGGATTTCGCTTCGGTAAACAACGCTGCCCTCATGTAATGTAAGCGACAGGAAAGCAGCCTCGCCACGAACTCCCGCCTATGTCATATTCATCTCATACCTTAGGACAAAAGGTGCAGCTTTCCGACCACCAATCATGCTAAAAAAAGTTAAAATGTGCACGACAACTGTATAAAGCTAGGGCCTTATTATATACATACAACGCAAACAACAAATCCTTCTTCAACTGCAGACATTGGCCCATGGGATTTATCGAAAGGTGTGGCAATAGCCACACTTCGCGCGTATTCCTTGGTTCGCTCTAAGATAACCGACAGCCGCGATTAAAGGGACTATCCCACCTTCTAAAATGTTGTTAAAACCAGTTAAATTGTGCCCGACTTTATAGATTGGATGACCAGGAACACGGTTCTGGCATTTATTTTTCATTAAACATCTTAGGCTTCCCATATTCCAAACACAAACTTTCAAATATGTGACGTCACAGCCCAAAATTACCTCCTTCCCCAGGCCACATTACTGTCATAAAGCTGATTCTTTTTACTCTGTAGGCACCACAACAAAGTTCAGACCAAGTTTTAAGCGATTTTTCAACGAACAAACCCATTTAAATCAAAATGACTAAACGAGGTGACGTCATACTAACGGTCGCTCCATGTTGAAGATAGGGCCTTGTACAAGGCCCATTTTCAAATGAAGGGAACGAATTTCTTCAACACCAAGAGGCCGCGGGGGTTGCAACCTAGATAGATAGTGGTTCCTGAACCTCGCCGCAAACTTGGCTATCTCAACTCAAACCCCATGTTTAAGGTGGGATAGTCCCTTTAAGTACACTGGTGAGCAGTGAGCACCGCGAGCGGCGATGACGCAATCGGTGCCTCTGAAGACGTCACAGGTAGTCCCACCACGTCCGGGACGGAAGGTGTGGCCATGGGTCGGGCGAGCGGTGCAGCTCGAGTACGCGCAATCAACACGAGGGCGGCCGAACAAGGTTCACAGAATCGGGGGGGGGGGGGGGAGGGATGTTTCACAACCGACCCATTAGTGGTATCAGGCGAAGGAAAATAGACGTAAGGCACAGAGGTTCAAGCTGCATATTGTAACACTTGATATCAACAGACGTTGCATCTATCACAATCAACCGATGGCAAAGTTCACCGATAATCGCTGCCGGCCTAATGCAACTGTCTCAGAGAAACCACATCGAATGTCGGCTCCTAATACGGCGAAATCCCCGCTAACAGAGGGATCCCGGCAGAGCGACACGGCTGAAATCCCGGATAAACCCCGTCTGGCAATGGTTCAATGAAGTGAAAGTGAGCCGGGCCGGGAGGTGATCGATGACTACCGGACTAGCGAAAGGGCTCAGAGTCAGCACACCTGCAGTGTCTGGTACCGCCGGGCGCGCCGCATCGATATTTCAGCGGTGGTTCCCTCTCACTTTCTCACCCAAACTCGCAGCATCCCGCAACCAGCTCAGCATTCTCACATCTATCCCTTCCGCAACTAACGTCCTCCCCCCTCCCTCCCTCTAACTAGGCACTCACCGCCTCCCTCGTCTCCGAACAGATGTCCCCAGCCACGACAGCGGTGGCTCGTGCCGCTGTTTCGTACCTCCCACTCCCTCTTCCCCTCCCCTCTGACGGGCACTCACCGCCGCCCTCGTCTCCGAAGAGATGACCCCAGCCGCCGCAGCGGTGAGTGGTACCGTCCGCCTTCAGCAGCAGACTGTTGGAGCCGGTACCGGCGATCAGACACATACCACCTGTGCGAGGGGACAGACGGGATTGGGAGATATGTCACCAGACGGCTACTGTAACGGCTCATACCGAAAGCTAAGACGTGGAACGAATAGGTTACCCTCCGTTTGGATATTTGTTTTTGGGTAGAAGGAAGCGATAATTCCAGCGAAACGGTGAAGCATATACCAAAATGTAGTGTGAGAGTTGGGTTTTGGAGGCTGTCGCCTCGGCGCCGCGGGGAGCGTCGGCCGGCCGCCGTCTGCCCCGTCCCCTCCGGTGTGGACGGAGGACACATCTGGCGTCGGAGCGGTCCCGGCGGCCGTTCGTCCCAGTTTCGGGGCCATGCCGGCGCGCCGGATAGGGAAGAGGGGGAGTCGTGTCCGAGCCATGGGACCGCACGGTGGTGTGTGAGGGTGAGCGAGAAATACAAAGCAACTTGGCAAAGACTACCTTTTACAAGCTATTTCGGCAACATGCCTGAAGAGAGCGATGGTGTAGTGACGCGGCAGTGATCGGCACCGCTTGCAACGACTTGCAACGGAGCTGTCGAGGCAGTGAGAAGCAGGGGTCGCCCAGGAGCCGTGGCGTCTGCCGTGGACCCCGCCCGTCACCTCGTCTGTCCCGGTGGCTGCTGCTGGACTGGCCCATATACAGCCGGCCGGGAGGATCGGCAGATACGGCGAGGTGGACTGCGACCGGCAGAAGAACCTAGTGCCGCTGGACTAACTGGACACTGAGCGGCTGGGCCCCTCTGTGCAATGCTCTGGCGAGTGATGCTCGCAGTGAGGGTGCTGGCGAGTGATGCTCGCAGTGAGTGCGCTGGCGAGTGATGCTCGCAGTGAGTGCGCTGGCGAGTGATGCTCGCAGTGAGGGTGATGGCGAATGGTGCTCGCAGTGAACGTGTTGGCGAGTGATACTCGCAGTGAGTGCGCTGGCGAGTGATGCTCGCAGCGGTGAAGGTGACAGCCGGTGTGACTGTGGAAGTGACAGCCGGTGGGGCTGTGGGAGTAACAGCCGGTGGAGCTGTGGAGGTGGTGGCAGCCGGTGGACTGTGGAGGTGGTGGCAGTTGCCGGGACTGCACTGAAAATTCCACAGGAGGGCCGTGTGGTGGCAGTCGCCGGCACTGCACTGGAAATTCCACAGGAGGGCCGTGTGGTGGCAGTCGCCAGCACTCAGCAATGGAAATTCCACAGGAGGGCCGTGTGGTGGCAGTCGCCGAAGTGTCTGATTGTTTGTGAGCTCGTGGTTTTTTTGTGTGCATTTGATTTAAGGTGACCAATTGATTTTGTGTGAGCCGTTGATGGACAGGAGAGGGCAAGTGGTTGAATGAGAGAGCTGGTAGTTTCGTGGCATCTGTGGTCCGTGACAAAATTGGTGAACCTGGCCAAGCGCATTTATTCATGCCGGGCGCTGCACGCAAAAAAGATTCTTAAATGATTGGGGAAGGCACGTGGACATTATGTATGCGTGCTGATTAGGAGCGTTTAAGAGAATGGCTCTTAGGATTGCTTGGCTGGTTGTGTGCGTGTTTGTGTTAAAATTTCAGTGGTTGATTCTTGAGAATCAGGGGAAGGTGTAGTGTGAGAGTTGAGTTTTGGAGGCTGTCGCCTCGGCGCCGCGGGGAGCGTCGGCCGGCCGCCGTCTGCCCCGTCCCCTCCGGTGTGGACGGAGGACACATCTGGCGTCGGAGCGGTCCCGGCGGCCGTTCGTCCCAGTTTCGGGGCCATGCCGGCGCGCCGGATAGGGAAGAGGGGGAGTCGTGTCCGAGCCATGGGACCGCACGGTGGTGTGTGAGGGTGAGCGAGAAATACAAAGCAATTTGGCAAAGACTACCTTTTACACATAAAAAAGACCGATGTCGTTCGCAATGGCGTGAAAAAAGATTTAAATACAAGTGAATGGTGACAGACGTAACAGCAATGTAAAAAACGATTTCAACAAGACTATTCCGCACTTATCCGTATTGCTCACATGACAAAATGGCTGCACAAGCATTGATATCCGGGATCTCTCAAAATCAATGTCACTCATCAATCAATCAAACTTGAAACTGCGACGTCATGAAAGCCAGATCACTTAAGCACTCGAGCTAATCGCCCGCCTATTGCGATACTCGCGAGATCCGCTACCGGACATTTGTTGCTATCTTTCCGTAGCCAGTAGCCGCCGCCCGCGCACTACGCGGGTCCAACGGGCGCCCAGCCAATCCCCCCGTACCCCCACCCGCCCAGCGTGGGCGGGGGCGGGGGCGGCTCACCGTCCTCGAAGGCAGTGGCGATGGTGCCGACCGTGTCGCTGCAGACGAAACACGACTCGGTCAGCGTCGGGTGGTTCTCCAGCAGGTTCTGACGGAACGCCTCGTTGGTTTCATCCACCTCGCAGCCGCTCAGACTCAGACCCTGGGAATACAATACGGACTCAGGCACTGTGGGACGATATACGGTCAGAATCAGACCCTGGGAAATATGTCACGGACTCAGACTCAGGTCTGGAAGAGGGAAATCTCAGACTCATATCCTTGGGGGCGAAACAAGTTCGGACTCATACCTACTCGGACCACGGGTACGAGACAAATAAATTCAGACCCTAAATACGACACAACTCAGTCAGAACATCGCCACAAAACAGTTGCGACTCGCCCCGTCGTGTGACGCATCGCCCAAGTTTGTTGTCCGCAACTCCACAAACTTAGTGACGATGTGTATGGTGTCTGTGCTGACGGGCTCGCTCCGGACCCCCGGTACGCACCAGCGCGCGGAGGGTGGTGTGCGCCGGCTGTCCGGCCTTCTGTAGAGCGTCGTCCACCAGCGCGCGGATCCGCCGCTCCGTCTCCGGCATACCGATCAGCTGCGGCCCGGCGGTACGAGCACGGGCAGGTTAGCGGAAATAGTACTCCAATATCTTGTAAATTAAAGTTAAAACCGACTGACCGATGCAATGCATTTTAGCAGCACTTACGACTTGTTATTACGAATTGAACAAGACCAATACGATAAAAATGATACGGATGTAAATTAACATAAAAAGCATATTGTGCAATGACATCCGCACAGTCAGGTATTTCATCAAAGCGTCCGATACCCCCCCCCCCCCCCCCCCCAAGGCCCCGAACCATATCGCGTTCGACGCAACACCCCGATTATTTCAAGGACCAAAGTGCGATCGATCCGGATGAATGACACATTATGATTGCAGGTCATCAGGTCACGATAAGTATCCACTTTGCTAAACCTACAAGCCTCTCAAAGAAAGCAAATTCAATTAGTATTCAAAGCCATCAGTCACTTTGGTTTTACCAGTGAGCAGGCACGTTGAAATGATTTATCTGAAGCCCAACAATTTATCCAGAACGGGACAATATAATTGAAGCTATTTCGAGAATTGCTCAGTAGGTAGCATGTTTTCCGTACTTTCCGGTACACGGATTACACAGTCTCAACTGATTCATGCTTGCGTCTACAAAACCATGCACAACTACTCACTAAGAAGTTGATGCATGACCCCTGGCACTCTGCCAGACATTTTCCATCTGCATCAAACAGAGCTATGGCGGAATGACTTCCGCCACTGCAAGGGAGCATACATAGAGATCAATCAAAACTACACTATGACAAAGCAGAACAATACTTTCTACAGAAGGAATACACTGTCAGAAGTTTTCAGTAATGACAAAGAATGAAAAATTTATCTGCCACAACAGTAGCAGAGATGTAGGCACCACTTAGTAACAGCTTGAAATGCACACAAGAAACTAAAAATAAAGCAGAAATTGAAACAATATATCATAGTATATATGAGCTACAATCCATCTAAAAGAAACAGTTAACACTAGTATCACACAGGCACAAGGCACACTCACAACAAAACTGAGGCATGGGCCTGAGCTTTGTGCCACACATGTTCCAGCAGAGTCATAAAGCTCAATGGCAGAGTGACTGCCTCCACTGAAAGATACAAGTGTATTATACAGGTTTGTCTGCTCCTTGCTAAGGCTATCATTTATCAATGCCTATAATTTAACTAGGAGCTCAAGCAGGTAACTGCTGACTATTGGAGACTCTGGTTTTGACCTTGATTTGACTTGATTTGATCATCAAACCCTGATTCCTGAAAAGATTGACAAATGACAGACCATTTGGCATCTTATGATAAACAATTATTGTCATGCACACCAATTCTGGTCTAGCTAACCTCAACCCCTAAATAATTGACAATCTTTGAGGATAACAATCGCTCACCCTTCCACACCAGCATACAGAGCCACTGGTTGGTGTGTTCCATTCATGTTGGCTTCCTTATTGTTATAGTTGTCCTGGAAAAAAGTTTATTAGTGAATAGTGACACAACACCAACTGTAGTTGGTGGGCAATGCACAGACTGAGCAGTAGGTATGGTTTCAGGAGGATAGTCCAAGCAATCAATTCAAGCTACGTCAAATGTGTAACTATCAGAACTGTCAAAAAATGATCTGGTACACAGAGGTAAAAAGGCAATCCAAATAACAAAACCCTAACCCTGGGTCATGTTTTCGTTTCACTGCTCCGTCGTTGCTAGCAAGTCGCTGTTACGTTATTGTTGTTGTGCACCGCACCATGCTGGAGGCCCTCAATTGCCTGTCACGTGATTGAGCTTACGGTGAGGATGCTCTGTGGCTTTAGACTTGGCACCCCATGTTCTATACCTATAGTGATACGCTGTTTACTACATACATTTTTTTAACCTGAGCCCTGAGTCCTGACTTTATGTTCAGTATCGTATCAGCAGATCAAGACTGTGGATCCGTCCTTTCATGCATTGGAACCGCTTGTCACTCAAACGCACTGAACTAACCACTCACCAACAACTCCCTGCAGCAAGAGCTGCAGCACAAACTTCGGGCCTTGTGGTATATAGTGGTATATATGGCCTTGCTTCGGGCCTTGGCACGAAATAGATTGAAATGCACCCATGCACTTCAAAACACAAACTGCCCGAGCTGCCCGGATTGCCCGCATTGCTATTGTTTACATCACATGTTTGATGCATAGCAGTAGGTGGAACTATGGTCATGAGTACCCAAATATAGGAACGTTCCCATTTTTGGGAACGGAGTTCCCAAATATGGGAACGGGCGTTCCCATTTATGAGAACGGAAGGTAATTTTTCGGCCGTTCGCCCACTAAAACTCATTAGTGCATCACGTTTCAAAAAAGTGCACGCTAATTTAAGTATCTACTAAGTCTCTATAAAATTATCTTTAATCTGACCGTCGAACAAGGAAATTGACCGTGGAATGATATTTTTAATGATTTTTTGAAATGACGGAATTGTGAAAACATGGGTTATACTACATTTAACATGCAATTTTAAGGAAAATGAAGCGTTTTTTAAATTTTGAGGTCAAGTATAATAATTTTCGCCTGGTTATGAAGTTTCATACTAGCGACACCAGATGCTGACATATGCAAGCGAACACGCGGACAGTCCCGAGGTAATATTGTTGACTTTCGGTGTCGTGGCGCACGACCGCGTGAAACGTCAGTGATTTTACCGAACTACTGTTGTAAACTCAGTTTCAGTGGTTTAAAATCATTCAGCTGTATTTTATCAGCCCGGAAAGACTATTTTATTTGGATGCTAGCTGTTCAGCGTTGTTTTATAAGGAGCGTCATGAGCGTGGTTTTTTGTCTTCCGTGTTTCTAAGCATGATCGTTTTGGGGGAATTTCTCTTATATCGGTCGCTCTGTGTGGCTTATTTATAATTTTTATGCTGATTTCGATCATTCCTCGTGCCCATCCTACCAGGCCTTTTGCCACTTACACTCATTAAGAAAGGAAAAAACTAGATTTTCATTGGGACTAGGTGTTTTGATGGTGTAACATATTCAGCGTTCCCATTTTTAGATACTTCCTTGTGCTCATCAACTATCGGTGATAAACAGACAGGTGCTTGACATGTCTCCACCCTCGGCGCGGACGGTGGATATAGGTATGGAAGACCTTGTTGAACATCGCTGAGCGTTGTGAATTACGTAATCCTGCAGAGGGGGGCGTGCCCGCTGCGAGATCGACGGGAATAAAAGCGCAGAAGACCGGGCGAAACATGCGACGGTCTTGCCGGAAAGGTCATCTGATGATTGTTGCGTTAACAATAAGTTGCGGCGTTGGACGTGATGCTTGTTAATGAAAAGAGCCCCTGAAAGGCGTCGGTGAAATCGTTCCCAATTTTGGGTACGCCGTTCCCATAATAAGGAACGCTTGCAGCGCCAGTGTACGAGAGCGTTCCCAAATTTGGGCTCGCGGCCCGGATGATGGACTGCTTTAGAAATAGGGGAACAATTTGAAACTACGATGGGCCTTACAATATCAAACACTTTCCCAACAATATTGAGACAAATATCAGGCGGTTCACGATCGTTTAATATTTTTTGGACGTCATTTAACGGTTCTTTTTCTTGTTTTAAATAATGCCTACATGGCGTTCCCATATTTGGGTTTATCGTTCCCAAACATGGGAACGAAAATGCGTTCCCGAAAATGGGTACGCTTGACCATAGTTCCGCCTACTGATAGCTGCTACATGCACCTTTACAATGACGTCATTAGTTCTTTCTAAAAGCACTCGTTTGATGGATACAAAAATCCATAATTTCATATAAAATGGCTAAAATTGCTTTAGGTCAAGGTTACATGTTATTTTTTTGTGTCATAATTAAAGTTATTTTTTATCCAAAATCATTTTTTTGCGAAGGAGACAGGGACTTTATATATATATTTTTTGACATCAATGATAATTTTACAGCATTAACTGATTACTAAGAACTTGAAATGTGATTTACGTTGAAGCAGGACCTTTTCAAGAAGTCACGTGACAAAACACAAATTTTACTGTCCCTGTCCACAGATGCAGACAGAGTTGGATCTGTTCAGGTACTCCCTCCCTTACCCGGGTGCGACCACTGCCCGATACTATGCACTTATGTGTTTGACCTTGAGACGTCTCCTTCGCAGATCGCCCCTGCTAAGTACCGGAAGTGGCAGAAAGGCAAATACAACATCCTATCGCGTGCCTTATACGAGGTTGACTGGGATGCTGAGTTTACAGCGCTTGACATCGGTGGCGCGTATACCCGTTTCGTGAATGTCCTGATGCCCCTTGTTGAGGAATGTGTTCCCCTTGCCCCACAACAGATCTCAAACAGGCTGCCATGGAAAACTAACCCTCCTCACAGGTTAAGGAACAGTAAAAAGGAAGCTTGGGCAAAGTATAAGTCTGTCCGCCACCGCCTTGGCAAAAGCTCTGTCGCAGCAGAGGTAGCCTTGAGAGACTTTTTCAAGGCAAACAAGCAGCTAAGATCATTTGCTACTGAGTCTCAAGTCAACTACGAGCTTGAACTACTTAATGATCTTAAGACACAGCCCAAACGTTTTCATGCTTACCTTCGCAGGAAGAAAGTTGGTTGTCCCGGAGTCGGCCCGCTACAGTTACCTGACGGGAGTCTCTCAGACGACCCAGAGTTGATGGCTGAAGCTTTCGTCACTGCATTTGCCAGTGTTTTCACACCCGCCCTGCACAGCCCTTCCCTTCGTCGCGGCCCAACTGATCACCAGTCTGTATCCAGCCAGATGCCTCCACTCTACGTCAGTGCCCAGGACGTGCTCTCCTCCCTGCAGTGCCTGGATGCTTTCTCTGCGGCGGGAGCGGACGATATCCACCCCTGCCTACTAAAAAGGTGTGCCTCAGCTTTAACTTACCCATTATTACTCCTCTTCCGCCAGTCGCTGAGGGAAGGCCGCTTGCCTGTCCAGTGGAAATCGTCGGTAGTTGTGCCAATTTTCAAAAAAGGCTCAAGGTACCAAGCCCTTAATTATCGCCCTATTAGCCTGACCTCAGTAACATGCAAGTGTCTAGAGCGAATAATCGCCCGCCACCTGACAGACTACCTCGAGAGCAACAATATCTTGTCTGACCACCAATTCGGGTTTCGTGCAGGTCGCTCAACCATGGACCAACTACTGCTGGTTTACGATGACGTTTCCAGACACCTTGACAGGGGCGACACCGTTGACGTCATCATGTTTGACTTCTCCAAGGCCTTCGACGTAGTATCTCACCCTATTCTGCTCACCAAGTTACATTTGCTAGGGATCAATACCCCCCTCATCCGCTGGATCGAGGACTTTCTTGTTGGTCGCCGCATGTCAGTCCAGGTAAAGGGAAAGACAAGCAGCCAGCGCAACGTCTCGAGTGGCGTACCCCAGGGTTCTGTCCTCGGACCAATTCTTTTTCTTATTTTCGTCAACCATGTCGCAAGTAACCTCCTCTGTCAGTATAAAATATTTGCAGATGACCTGAAGATCTACATGACAATACGCCACGACAGTCCAGCTAACTACTGTCGTGATTCACAGGCTTGTCAGAAGGACATAACGATGCTACAACGCACGGCAGAGTCCTGGTGTCTCTACTTAAATCTGAAAAAATGTGTGGTCATCCGCTTTCAAAGAAGGTCCCATGTCCTACCTCCCCCGTCCTATCACTTAGACCAAACATCGATTCAGGTCGTGAAATCCCACACTGATCTCGGGGTTCTTATTGATTCTGACCTAAAGTTTCACCAGCATGTGGCTTTGACAGTGCAAAAGGCTGCTGGCCTTACCCAAAACTTGTTAAGGTCAACTGTCTGCAGATCCCCTGATTTCATGCTCACTTTATTCAACACTCATGTAAGACCCATCATGGAATACTGCTCATGTGTATGGCACACTGCGTATATAGGGGACGTGCGCCTCCTCGAATCTGTTCAACGCCGTTGGACTAAAAAGATCTTAGGCATGGGAGAGCTTGATTATAAATCCCGGCTTAGGGCTCTGAACCAGTACTCGGTCCAGGGCAGACTTCTACGTGCCGATCTGATTCAATATTGGAAGATTTTCCACGCAAAGTGTTGTATAGATGCCACTACCATGTTCGAACTTGATCCCTCGTCTAGTACCAGAGGCCACATGTTCAAAATCCGCCACACTCGAGCACAAACTGATGTCAGGACCAGGTCCTTCAGCAAGCGTTGTATCACCGCTTGGAACGCACTCCCTGACCAGGTCGTAGGTGAATCCGACCTGAGCAGGTTCAAGGCCATGTTGGCTGACTCGATGGGTGATGCCTTGTTCTCTTATCATATGTGATGGCTATTGCGTTGACCTGTTTCCCCTAATTTGTGTTTGCATTATTGTATACGATCTTTTATTGTATGTATCATGAAACTATAGCAAAATTCGTGTTTGTCACTATGCAGGCTCTTGTTCCCGGCTTGGCAGCACCCCCTTGTGGTGTCTCCGCCGGGCGAGCCCTACGTTCGCGGGTTCCTTCCTCACGTATCCTATGCACATCCTCTATGCTGTACTCTGGAAGGCAGGGAACCCCCAACAGTATTGTATTGTATTGTATTGTATTTACGATCATGGGCGATCCACACATGGCGTGGCGATTACTGCCCAATAAAATAAAACAGGTGAGTTGAACAGGTGAGTTACAGCTTCAGTTATTTTATTTGGACATTAAACGAAAGCATTTGTCTTCAATTTTTCAATTGAAAGAAAATCTTATTTGAAAAAGCTGCTGAATTGATTGTATTGCAATCAAAATAACGATATTTTTGTCATTGATCTGTGAGTCATATGAGGTAAGAGCCAGGATAATGCCAGTGGCGCGTACTCTCTTGATACCGCGTCTCATACGTACCTGACGCATAGTGCCTGTGATTTTGGATCGGTGGTTGTTGTTTGTGTCAGAATTTGTCATTTTCATGTCCGTGTTTGATGTGCTATTAATGGCGAGAATCGGTGCCTTTTTATGAATAATACACTGACATCGGTTGTTTTCAGTGTATCTTCTGTTTACTGATCGCAAACATCACATAAGGTACCTAATTAAAAAGGCAAGCTGCTTGACTTTACCCCAACCTGCTGGAGCTATAGCCACTTCACTTAAATCTATCAAAATCCAAGCTGAAGATTGTTATTGACATAGCTTCACATGAGATTTTTATTGAGTTATTTTGTGGAATTCACCTTTTTCTCTCTTCACAGTCCACATCAGTGTTTCACTTTATCAAGCTGTTCTGATGGGTATTTTCATTGTCATGGGCTGATGTGAGTGATGTCAATGTCCTTACCTAACCTACTGATAGAAAAACTCAACAAAAATGAAAAAGCAATATACTATATAGTTAAGATAAATAAGCATCCTGATAAACATCTTCAACAAACATCACCAAATTGGAACACAGGTGAATGTCACCTTTTGCACCCTGCGCTCAAAATTGAGTAAATACCATGCCATAATGTCACAAACCATATAATAACTTAGGTTCTTATGATGCTCAGCTTAACTCCCAAAAGCAGGTACACTAGAAGCAAAAATATTTGAATCTAATCCAACTGACCTAACTTTACCTAACAACTTTAATTTAACTACCTGGCTCAGAGTGTGACAAATATAAGTTATATATGTTTTGTGTGAAAAATATTGTTATAATATATACTTCAAATATTTTATATTCTTAAGGATTTGAATGTTATGTTGTATAGCTTATTCTTATTTCATAACTGTATATTTTATCTTGGGTACCTAATTTGTTTCAGTGAAATCAAGTGAACAGATTTCTTGCCTCCCACAATAAGCAATTATCAGTTTTGTATGTAATCTGATCACTCAAGGAGTTATACTTACATATATTTTCTTTCTGAACATAGTTTTATAGCTAGAACTTATAGATTGCCTTACAAAAGAATGTGGCAATATTTGTATGATTTTCTAATATGTCCATTGAGGTGGAATGTGATGATTTCAAATGTTTAATTAATACCTATGCTGTAATTTACCTTGAGTTTCATATTATCCAATTCATTGCAGAAAAGTGACCAATTTGTTATGTATCCAGTATCCACCTCAAGCATAAATGCTGAAGATTTTGAAGTTGTTGCAATATATGTAGAGAACAGCTCAATCAAATATTATTGATTGGCAACCCTTGATTGTTGCTTTCCAACTCATCATCACAATCAGCATGTAGTTGCCTTACTTTTGGTGACTGCAGCTTAGTGTGAGCCTGTGCTCCACTAATCCACTCAATCCCCCTTGCCATGGACAGGTAAAGATCAATTTCCTTAACGTTCTCCACTGGCACAGATCCCACCTCTGTGGCCCTTCCATGACCGTTCTCCCTGTGTCCCGCCAGGCGCGCGGCCATGCCGCGCTCCAAGCGCGACACAGTGCGCGACCGCACGGCCAGCGCGCCGTCCCCAGAGTCGCCGCTCCTCAGCAAACGCAAGGTGTTCGCGCAGCGCAAGTTCGCGCAGGGCGTGGCCACGCCGTGCGCGGGCTCTGCGCCGCCGTCGCCGCCGGCGGCCTCCTCCCGACCGCCGTCGCCGGCACCGCTGCCGCCCGACGGGCCCCTGCCCAAGACTGAGGACTTCATCACCTTCCTCTGCTTCAGAGGTAACCGGCGGCGTCGACAAGTGCGCTGATTCTGAGATTTGAAGTGGAATTTGGAACGTTTCGAAATTATCCCGGGGCTGGAAGCATCAGGAAGGGATAACGTTTTGTGTTGTGATTTGCGGCCTCCAGTATCCAATCTGATTTCAATCGGATAAAGTTAAACAGTATTTTTGAAGAAATAAGCTAGCGGTATATATTTCTTCCACAACACCCCCGACTTCTGTAGCACATCCCATGCAGACCACCGTGCGATGTTTTATCCCTCGTCGGCTCCCTCAGGCACGTCTCGATTACCGGCACACCTGGAGCGGTTCAACCACCCGCCCCTGCCGGGCAGCAGCGGCAGCAGCCGGGCGGGGCGACCCGCCCGCTCCTCGGCGGCCGCTGGGCACGAGGGCTCGCCCGGCCGCGCCGGAGCCAACGCGCGCGCCAAGGTTAGCGTGCAGTGGAGGAGCGCGGTGGAATTGTTACTTCATAGACATGATTTACTTTCGATGTGTTCGCATTGAAATTTTACTACTGTCTTGTTCTTTATTTATGGGTGTGTAGACTGTAGAGGTGATAGTAATATTGAGGTTTTCCGGTGTTGCAGGATCAGAAGAGTGCTAATGGGATCCGCCAGAACGGACACGTGAAAATGTCGGCGACCAAACCGCTCTTTCAGAAGCACAACAGTGGTGAGTATTGAGTACCCTTTCAACTAAACTGGAAGCTAACTTTATTATTCTTTTTTTTTTTGCACACATGAACTAAACCTTGTTAACGGACTGATATGGCCTTAGCCTGCACATGAGCTCCCCGTTTTGCCGTTGCAGCGCTGCACAGCCGGTCGGCGCGCGACTCTCCCTCCTCCGTGTGCAGCTCGCGCTCGGAGAAGGCCGCGCCGGCGCTGAAGCGCGCCCAGGTGGTGCTCCGCAAACTCTCCCACTCGAGCCTCATCGCCAAGAAGAAGTCGCAGTCGGCCAAACTGCGGGCACAGAAGGCGGTGGACAAGCAGGCGCGCATGCTGCAGAGGTGGGCTCAGAGGGGAGACTGTAGGGGTAGTTTGAGAGCACTGAGCTCGTCAATAGTTGTTCGACATTACGTACTTTTTTTTTTGGCTCAACCAAATATGAAATGTTATTGTCCGCCGTTCTTACTAATATAACTGTCTGTAGGTTCTATTACCCCGAGCAATGCGCAGTTTCGCACCGGATTGAATCGGTGCACCCCGGTGACGCGTTGTATCCTTCCCGTCTCAGGCTGGTGGTATCGAGCAGCCTGCGCTACCCGTCCTCGGGACCGGCCATCAAACTGACCACGCTCAAACAGCAGCGGCCGTTCGCGCGGCTGACGCGGGCCCAGATCGCGCGCGGCGCCCGACAGCGAGCGGCCGGCTCCGGCGGCCCGTCCCGGGCCCGGCCGGCCGGCACCGAGCCGCCCAAACACCGACCGGGCGCCTCAGAGACACCCAAACCGCGGCCGGGCGCGTCGTCAGCCTCGGACGGCCGGCCGTCGAAGGCGGCGGCTGAGGGGTCGTCGGCGGCGGCGCAGGCCAGGTCCCGTCGGCCGGCGACCGACGCGGTGGCGAGGATCCGACAGAGGGCCCGACTGCGGCAGCAGATGGCGGGAAAAATGAGGAGGGAGGCGGACAGGAGGAAAGTACGCGCCGAGTCCGGCAGGTGAGCGTCCAGAGGACGGGATTCTACCAACGTGTTGTATACATACATGCTTTGAGTTGAGGCATGTTCGAATATTTATAGTGTTGTCACAGCAATCGATTTTTTTCTGACGGATTTTCGCATTCTGTAAATCTTCCGATTCTTTTTATGTCTTGAAGCTGCTGTAAAATGAGAGTGCCTCGATAATTTTCCGACTATCTAATATCTGTCACTTCTCGATCCTATATAAACTCCATTGTTATCAGAAGACTGACCGCTTTTCCCCGCCCCAGATCTGGTCGGGAGGCGCCTGGCAGACCGCCCGCTCTGCGCCGCTCCTGGATGAGTGCAGACTCCGGGCCTGGCCGGCGCAGCGACGACGACCCCTCGGACTCGGAGAGGAGCGAGCGCCGGCCGGCCGGCGGTGACGCGCCCGCCCGGCCCAAGGTAGCGCTGGCCAGCCGCTCCAAGAGCAAGTTCTGGTTCTGGGTGGAGGAGCCCGTACCGCGCAGTGATGATGACGAGCCCCCGGCTGCCGAGCGGACCGCCAGTCCACGTACTCTGCGGGACGGCCGCCGCGTGCAGCCGTTGGAGTCGTCCTCCTCCTCCGAGGAATCTGAGGAGGAGGAGGAGCCGCCGGCCGGGAGGACACTCCGAGACGGTACCGTCCTCCCGCCGGCGGAGTCTGACTCGGACCGCACCCCGCCGGCCGAACAGAAAACACCTGGTGGCCGAACGGCAGGCCGGCCAGCGGCCAAGAAGGCGAGCAAGACGCCGGAGCCGGCTAGCAAACAGGCGAGAGAGGAGGCGCGGAAGGACGAGAGCAGCTCGGAAGAGGAGAGAGCGCCGCCGAGGGGCAGGGAGAGGCGCGGCTGGCGGCAGGGGCGCCGGCCGGGCTCGGCCGCCGCGGGGAGGGACAGGACTCCGGTACCGGCCGCGGCCAGGGGGCGGCGGAGGGCGCGCCGGACGGCCGGGTCCAGCTCCTCAGAGAGTGAGACCGAGACGAGCCGCAGCACCACCCGGGAGGCCAGTCGCCAGAGAACGGCGCAGGCCAAGGCAAAGGCGCGCCAGCCGGACAATAAGGTGCCCAAAGACTCCCCGGGACCGACCAAACAGTCGGGAGTGGAAGCGAAACCGGCTGTCAAGAAGAATGGTACGCCAGCGAGTAGAAGAAATAATGTCTCATCGGATGAATCCAGCAAAAAAGAGAAGGTAAATCCTCCGAAACGTGCTGTATCTAGTCAGAGGAAAAAGCCCGTCTCTAGTTCGGAGGATGAAAGTGAAGGCAAATCGAATCAAAAGGAAAAGCCGAAGACAGCGCGTGACGTTCGGCGCAGAACAGAGCCCGGCTCTGTCAAAGGCGAATCCCCGAAACCGAGTTCGGCGAAGAAGAGGCCGAACGGTCGGGCAGCGGTGCCCGCGGCGTCTCACCCGGAGCTGGAATCTCGGGATGGTAAGCCGGGTCGGTCCAAGCCCGCTGAATCGGAGGGGAGCAGCTCTGAGTCGAGCCGGGCGCCGCCACTCCGGCGGGCGCCCCGCTCCGGCAGTGCCCGCGCGCCGCCGCCGCCGCGCCGCCCGCCGTCCTCCAGCTCTGAGGAGGAGCCGGCGGCGCGGCGCCCGCTGCGGGCGGGGGCGGGGACGGGGCGGCGCCGCTCGTGGGAGACGCCGCCGCCGCCGCCGCCGGCCGACGCTGCCAGCTCAGACAGCGAGCAGTCGGGACGGGTGACCCGCTCCCGGCGGCCCGAGTCGCTGCCGATCGCCGGCGCCGTCCGGAAGCGGGCGTTCGTGCCGGGCCGTCGCGGCTGGGAGGACAGCAGCAGCGGTACGGAGGAGCGGCCCGCCAGCCGCCGCCGCGCACCGGCGCAAACCTCCAGCAGCGAGGAGCGTGCCTCGCCGCCGCCACCCCCGTCCGCCGACAAACCGCGCCGCACGCTCCGGAAGCGCAGCGAGGCCTTTTTCTCGTATGACATTATCGACACCGACACGGACGATGATCTGATCAGCGTCATCAGACCGCGGGCTCGGCAGCCGGCCAGAGCCAGTGACGCCGAGCGGTCCACTCCGAACGCAGCGCCGGCGGTGTCCAGTACCGCGGGCAGCGGCGTGCCCCGCGCCGCCTCCGCCGAGCGGAAACCCACCGTGGAGAGACGGGAGGCGTCCTCGACCGCGGTGGAGGCAGGTGCTGGCACGGCCACCCCGCCGCCGGGAGCCAAGAGCGGTCTGAAGAGGGAGTCGTCGGTGACACGGCACTCGACCGACCGCGAGTCGAGTGATCGGACCCAGAAGAAGCGCCCTCGACCCTCATCGCCGTCCAGTAGCGCGCGGCACACGCCGACTAAGAAAAAGAGCGCCTCGTCGAAATCGACCGACGGATCGTTCCTGTCCAAACTGAAGGAGTCAGCGCAGCGGAGGATCAGTCGTCTGACCCAGCGGCGGGGCGGAGCGGCTCGGTCTGGCGGCTCGCCGGCCGACTCCCGGCCCGCCATGGGCGTGTACGAGTTCGATTCGGACGAGAACCTCTCTTCTCTCACATCCCTGCGCCAGTCGAGCGACGCCGTGAAGACCGTCTCGGAGGCGACGTCGACCAGCGAGGACAAGCCGCCGGCGGCGCCTGAGCGCTCCACCTGCACCATCGCCATCCAGGTCAACATGGACGAGGAGGCGCCGCCCGCGGACGTCTCCTCGGGCACTCAGACCCCGGCGGCGGCGGCGCAGCAGACTGACTGCTCCGTACAGAGTCAGACCGAGGAGCCGGCGGCGGCGGCAGCGGAGTCCAGCGCCGGCGGGCTGTCACCGCAGCCGTCCCGGGGAGGGTCGGGGGCGCCACAGCGGCCGCCGTCCGCCGAACAGGGACGGCCCGGGCCGCCGGAGGGCGCTGCCGAGGGATCGACCCAGTCGCCGGCCCAGCGGCGGGACACGCCGTCAGAGTCTCCGGATGTCTCCCAGCCGCCGGTACAGGCGGCGGTGACGGCTCCGAGTCAACTTCAGCCGACTCAGACAGCGGCAGAGTCTGCCGTCCAGCCGGCGACTCAGACTCCGGCGCAGTCAGTGACTCAGAGCCTAGCTCAGTCAATGACTCAGCCTCCCGTCCAGTCCGGGGCTCAGCCTCCCGTCCAGTCCGGGGCTCAGCGTCCAGTCCAGCCCGCTGCCCAGGCTACACTTCAGCCAGCCGTCCAGGCCATCGCCCAGCCTCTGGTACACTCTCTGGCGCAGCCTGCGGTCCACTCTCTGGCAGCGCCGCTGGCCCAGCGCGCCAGCCAGCCCCTGTCGGCCTCTGCCGTCTCCCAGCCGCTGTTAGCCGCCGCGCCGCGTCTCATCATGCCCGTGTCTCTGCTGCGGCCTCCGTATCCAGTGGGAGGCGGCGAGGTGGGCGGCCGGCCGCTGCAGCTGGTGTCGGTGACGGCGCCCCGCTGCAGCGTGCAGCCGCCGCCCGGCCTGGTGCAGCACCAGCTGCAGCCGCCGCAGCCGCAGCCGACCGCGGCGCCACAGCCGCGCTTCCAGCAGGTGAGGGGAGATGTGAGGATTGAGACCGTAAGTGAGGTTCTTTTAACGTTCCTAAAGCTGAATGAAGTCTTTGGCGATCGCTGCATCATTGGGTCGCCCGCCGACCACTCTCCAGTAATAATCATTTTTTTCTGAATGTAACGTTTTGCTGAATTATATCATCCCACCTGTGTATTCCGTTTGTATGACGCGCCGCCACCTCTTTCAGGTGCAGTACCAGCTGGGCGCCGCCGGTCTGTTCGCCGCCGGCTCTCTGGCCAGCGGCTCGTACGGCGCCGGCCAGTACCCGCTGCTGCAGACTCCGCCGGCCGGCAAACGGCCGCTGGCGCCCGCCACCTGGTCCGCCGGAGCCGCCTCCTCGGCCCCCGCGCCCGCCGACCGACTGGCGCCCATCAAACCCGTCCACCCGCACGGCGGCGCGGTGGCCGACTGGCGGCGCAGCGCCGACGCCGCCTCCAGCGCGGCGGCGCGGTTCGCCTCGCGCGTGCCGCCGCCGGGCCTGATCCGTCTGCCGGCGAGCAGCGCGGCGCCTCCGCTGCACTACCCGCTGCCCTACTCTGGCCCGCTGCTGGCCGGCGCGTCTCCGTTCGCGCCGCGACTGGCGCTGCTCGGCGCCTCTCAGCTGCACGGCACCGGTGTGGCGGTGCTGAGCGCGCCGCCGGCCCGGCTCGAGCCGCCGCCGCCGCCGCTGCCGCTGCCGCGCGTCCCCACGCCGCTCACCTCGCCGGTCGACAGCAAGGCGGCGGTGCGCGCCCAGCTCAGGCATGCGGCGGCGTTCGCTCCGGCTCCGGCGGCGGCCGGCAGGGCGGACGGCGGCGCTGGGTCGCCGGCCGACGTCAAGGTTCCGCTGCCAGTGGTGCCGCCGGCGCCCGGGAGGATCCCGGTGCCGCCCGTGCCGATGGCGCCGTCCAGGGACCGCGCGGTGCCGGGCCGGTCAGCTGCCGGTGCCCCGGGCCCGCTCGGCCCCGCTCCCTGGTCACCGGCCCACTCGGCCCGCTCGCTGGCGGTGACGACCCGACCCACCTCGGCGCCGACCGTCACCAGCTGCACGGCGGCCACGGCTCCCTCCTCACGGCCCGCCAGCGCCACACCGTCCCGGTCAGCCAACGTGGTGTCCCCGGCGGTGGCGCGGTCCCTGGCGGCGGCGGCGGGGGCTCCGGCTCACCCTCTGCCCGTACCACCGGCGTCCCGCGCACTACCGGTACCGGGCTCTGCTGTGCCGCCCCGGGTACCTCCCCCAGCGCCGGTCTCAGCCCTCGCTCCGGCGCCGTCCGTCCCCGTCCCCGCCCCCACTCATCGTCCCCCTCAGACCGCTGTCCTTACCCAACCAGCGGTCCCGTCGGCGCCGGTCCGTGCCCAAGGCGCGACTCAGACATCAGCCTTGCCTGCTCCTCCAAGGACTCCAACCCGGCCTGTGGCGACTCCGGAGAAGCCAGGTGCCGGCACCGTCCCCACGGCACCCTTGCCACCGGTGTCAGAGGTGCGAGCCCAGTCCTCTGTTCCGTCACAGAAGGTCTCCGCCACTCCGGCTGCGACTGCGGCGCCGTCCCCCGCCGTGGTGCCGTCCCTGACGAGCAGTTCAGGAGCCACCAGCACCGCGGCGGCGGTGGAGACTACAGGCAGCGGGAAAACGGAGAGCCGGCCGCAGAAGCGACCCGCTGAGAAGACGCCGTCTTCCAAGACAGCTCCGTCCGCCAAGAAGGCTGCATCAGTGCCAGCCGCGGCCGCTAGTCCAGCAACTTCAACCTCATCAGAGACCCCCTCCACACCTACTGCCACAAAACCCACACCCAAACCCTCATCCAAATCTTCCGACCGACCCACACCAGTTCCCAAACCCTCCCCCAAGTCCAGTCCGGCCGGCCGGCCTCCCACCTCCGCCGCGCGCGGTAAGAAAAAGGCCGGTGACGAGGCGGCCTCCTCGTCCTCCGATGCGGAGCGGCTCTCGGCGGCCTCTCCAATGTCCCCGGCTGCGCGCGGGAGGCGCCGGTTCGACCGCGAGGAGGACTCTGGCAGGGAGTCGACCCCGCAGAGCAGGAGGTCCTCGCAGAGCCCCGCGCCAGCCAAGTGAGTGAGATCGTCACACGAGGGTTGGGGTGAATCTGTTTATAACTTTCTTGCTATTCTTGCTGTTTTCTCAAGAATCAAGAATCAAGAATCAAGGTTGTTTGGGCTCTGGAAGAAGACGTCGAGGTCTATGTTGTAGCCCATTTCTTTTTTTAATCACGCGTTTTTCTATATCAGTTTGATTTCTCTTCGGTCAGTCTTGTCTGTCTGCCCGATGTTTGTCGTATCTTGACTTAAATTGGTTAGATGTTTTTGCCATCTTGGTGTGAGAGCTTAACAAATTCCATTTATTTATAACTCTTTGTGAGAAAAATCTTCCTCTCTTCAACGTCCGGTGGTGGGGCTTGTACAGTTTGAGGTAATCTCGCTCTGTTCGGTTTCTAACGTTAAATAATTGGGTGAGGTCACACTCGTGGAGCTGATGGAGGATTTTGTGGGTCTCAAGTAAGTCTCCCCGTTCTCTTCTCTCTTCTAGGGTGGTAAGCTTAAGCTGTCTCAGCCGCTCTGGATAATTTAACCCTTGCAGTCCCACAACTCTTCTTGTAGCTGCTCTTTGAACTGTTTCAATCTTCTTGATATTATATTTCTTATATGGAGACCACACTTGGGGACAGAATTCAATGTGAGGGCGAACAAATGTTTTGTATGTGAGATTAAACATTGCCGGCCTCAGCTTTTCAAAGGTTCTCCTTACCATGCCCCAACTGGCATATGCTCGTTGGGTGCATTTGTTGATATGTTTGTTGAACTCGAGCGAGGAGTCAACAATAACACCCAGGTCTCTTTGTTCGTTGGTGTTCTCCAGCTTAGTACCACCGAGCATGTAGACTGGTCTGTCGGACATCATTTGTTTGGTGCCGATTCGAAGGGTCTGGCACTTAGAAGCATTGCAGCATAGTTTCCATTGACGAGACCAGTGCTCAATCTCTTGGAGATCCCCTTGTAAGCGCTCCACATCTTCATGTGACTTGATGTGTCGGTAGATTTTACTATCATCAGCAAAAATTTGCACCTGGCTAACTATTTGATCCGGCATGTCATTAATAAACAGAAGGAACAGTGTGGGACCGATCACTGAGCCCTGTGGGACGCCACTTGCTACCTTTGCCCAGCTTGAGTGGGCTCCGTTGACTACAACTCTCTGTTTCCTATCGTAGAGGAAGTCTTCAAGCCAGTTAAGCAGCTGACCGCCAATCCCTGATCGGTATAATTTATGACAAAGTCTTGCATGTGGTACGGTGTCAAAAGCTTTTGCAAAGTCTAGATAGACAATGTCTGTAGGTACCTTTTCATCAAGGCTGCGGCTGCAGTCTTCCAAAGTGGAGAGGAGGTTTGTTAAACACGACCTTCCGGAAACAAATCCGTGTTGGCGTGGGTTCAAAATGTCGTTCTGCAAAATATGACTCATTATTTGTTCATTGACGATTCTTTCCATCACTTTACTGCATATGCAGGTTAAACTAATTGGGCGGTAGTTTTGGGCTTCAGTTCTTGATCCCTTCTTATGGACTGCTGTGACGTATGCCATTTTCCATAGACGAGGGACATGTCCAGTGTCCATCGAGTTTTTGAATATGATCCTCAAAGGTACTGCTACATTTTCTGCGAGTTCAGCTAGGAGACGTGGGTGAAGATCATCTGGCCCTGGTGACTTGTAGGACTTAAGCTCTTTCAGTAGCTTGATGATATGTTGAAGAGGCATTTCAACTGAATGTAATTCGGGTACATCTGGATGCCGACAGTGGGTGAAAGGACACATTTGCTCGTCTGACAGTGAGGAGAAGAATTCGTTGGCGTAAATCAAGTCAGAGTCATCTTCTAACGTGAACACATTCTTGAAGTGTTGGTTGAGGGCAGCGGCAGTTTCTTCGTATGTTGATGATGGGGTTCCGTCTGCCTTGGTAACTTGCCCTACTGGCTCTCGAACTTTGTTTTTGGAGTTACAGTACGCATAAAACAGCTTGGGATTAGTTTTGATCTGATGAAAAAGTTTTTCTTCGTGCTTTGTTTTGATGTTACGTAGACCATAATGAGCCTTTTTTCTTGCCTTGATGTATTTCTTTCTATACCTTTCCAACTCTGGTAGCTTTAACCTCTCTGCCCTCATGTAGGCATTCCAAGCACGGTGTTTCTTTGCAATCTTCCTTTTTGCTTCATTGTTAAACCACATTTTATTATTATCTCTGCCCCTACACATCGTTTTCACAGGAACACATTCTTTCCGGATTTGCATTAGGTGTTCAACCAGTAAATCATACTGCTCATCGCTACTTTTGTTTGACAGCATGGCAGTCCAGTTAACTTGGGAAGCCATGTTCCTTGCCTTTTCATAGTCTCCCTTCATGTAGTTCCACACCGTTTTTAGAGGCTGATTATTTTTCAAACATCTGACATCAGGAATAAGTAGGTCTGCTTGTATGACGCCGTGATCGCTTTTGCCGAAGGGAGGTAATACCTCCGCGCCTTCAATGTCATCTGCTCGACTTGTTATCAGTAGGTCCAAAAGACTGGGTTGATTTGATCCCCTTGCTCTGGTAAAGTGCCTGATGTGCTGGTGTAGTCCATTTGTTTGCAATACGTTCAGCACTTCAACTGGTGTGTTGAAACCCTCATTGTTTTTATTCTTAGACGACGAGTCGTTCCACGAAATCTCAGGAAGGTTGAAATCACCACATATTAACAGGTTGTTTGTTAACGTTGAGGCTTTGGTAATCAATTCTATCAAGATTTCATCATTTCTTCGGCAGCTGTTTGGTTTTCTGTACACAATACCCAAAAGCATTCTGGTGGTTCTTGACACCTTTATCCAGACCCAACAAGATTCTTTGAATTGACTTGCATAATCGTCAAGTTCGTGACAAGTTTTCATTTCAAGCCCGTCTTTTACGAACGCCAGTATTCCACCACGTCTTTCTTCCAAATTATCCTGGCGATGAATTTGAAACCCATGTTTCCTTAACAGTGTGTTTGGCAGGTCAATATTGCAGTTACTCTCAACAATTGCTAGTATGTCGGGCTTAAAGGATTCCAGGTACAGATGTAATTCAGGTAACTTGTTACCAATCCCATCAGCATTTGTGAAAGCAACTTTGAGTTTGAAAGATAATCTTGAGCTTTGAACATTTTTGCAACCATCAGGGTCTTTATCTAAGCTGTCACAGACCCTTTCTTGTCTTCCTTTAACGTCTTCCTTGTCTTTCTTCAAAGAGCTCCTCTCCTCTTTGGTCTTTGGGGACAACACGCCCCCGAAATATACGGTGGGTGGTCTTCCCTTTCACGTTCAGCTCTTCCCTTAATTTGCGTTGAATTTCACGTTCCTCAGGTGGGAGGTCGCGACTCATATAAATGTTCGCGAAGCCTGAGTTCTTGAGAAAGTATCTCAATTTCATCAGTCGCTCCACGTCGTCTTTGCTTGTCAGCTTTACAAGAAGTAGTCTCGGTTTTGTCGTGTTGACTGTGTGGGTTCCATCTCTTCTAACTTGACCCGCGTCATTCCTTCGGCCGAGTCTAAATACTTTGACAGTCTGGATATCTTGGTATTCCCCTAGCAAAGCATGAACTATGTTTGCGAAGCTGTCCTCGTCGTATCTCTGTCTCGCCGCTGGGTCAGCTGCCCTACTTTCCGGAATGTTGTGCAAAATAATGTTTTCTTCTCTCTTCCACTGATCTTCCTTGGTCAGGGTTTTGAGCTTGTCTGTAACTGTCTTGAGAACTTGGTCACAAGTTCCTCGAACTGTTTCAGCATACGTTTTTGCTTGCAGTGTGGGCGCTTCTGCAGAGACTGCCTGCTTGACTTCATGCTCGTGGGCTGATAATAATTTGTTGAGAGCTTTCGTGTTGCTCTCAATAGCTTGCTCCAAGTTTGCAATCTTGGTTTCGATGGCGGTGCAGTTCTGCCTCATCTTGTCCTGAGTTATCTTGCCAGTTTTACAGAAGCTGCAGACAAAGGATAGGACACTGTACTTTTGTAGTGCCTGCATAGCTGGCCCGCATATTTGTTGACAGTCTGCATGGAACAGAAAGCCGCAAGTAACACAGAGCGCACCACTGTCATCTTCTATCGGCTTCCCACAACGCTTATCAGATCCTCCTTTGCACGTTTTAATCTCTTCACCATTAGCATATTCAACTGTCTCAGGTTCGCTGCTAGGCGACTGTATGGATCCAACGATCTTTTTCTTGTTTTTCTTCGATTTTCTAGCAATGATCCATTGCTTACTGTCCATGTCATATCCTCCAATGGAGTCATCCGAGTCGTCGTCAGATAGATTGATTGTGCTTATAGCACAACCTGTTTTGACATTTGCTGCCATTTCAAAAAGTAGAGCAAGAGGCGCAGAAGTGCCTCGACTTGCTGAGTGCACGAGTGTGCAGATTAAAAATCAAGAGCAAGCTGCCCACCTCGACAAATACGAAAATATGTTCTTAAGTAAGAAAAATGCAATTTTTGAAGAGTTAGAGCAGGCACAGCTTTCACTTTTGTGCTTATACGGCCTTGAGTAATACTTGGCTCCACTCGTGCAGTATTTTTTATCATTTAAATTCCATTGGTTGGCACACATGTCCTGCTATGACTATAAGTGCACAAATTAGTCAATTCCTCTTCCACAAACCAACATGTTTCTCATGTAGCTTCCATTGACGGTCTCGAGCTCGCCAGTGAACCATTCTAACCGCTCCCGTGCGTCACCTTACCCCCTCCCCCTTCCCGTATGTCAGGCGGGCGCGTAAGGTGTCGACGATGGAGCTGGGCGTGCTCCAGGAGGTGCCCGTGTTCCGTCCCACCGAAAAGGAGTTCTCCGACCCGCTCCGCTACATCGAGAAAATCAGACCCGAGGCCGAGCAGTACGGGCTCTGCCGCGTGGTGCCGCCGCCAGGATTCAAGGTATGGGACTTCGTGAAGCATTTACAGTCGGGGGTGTGGGCTGAGGGCTCGGTTTCTTCAGTTGGATGGGTTGAAAGCTTTTAATGGGGACTGGTTGTTGATTTTAATAGCATGGATCGCCGCCTCTAGAGGAAGGTACTTCACGTATGCCACACAGACCACAGGAAACTGATATTGGTGGTGGCCTGGCATTTAGTCAACTAGGACCTGAGTGTCTCGATGTTTGTTTGTTGACTGCTCCCTACCGTATTCTAAGCGCGTCCTCTGCCCGCCTTTCCCCAGCCCGAATGCCGCGTGGACGACGACATGCGTTTCGTGGCGTACAACCACTACGTGCACAAGGTGTTCCGCCGGTGGGGGCCCAACTTCCGCGAGCTGCTGGCCATCCGGCGGTACCTGGAGCAGCAGCAGATCGACATGGACGACCTGCCGCTGGTGGGCGGCATGGAGATCGACCTGCCGGGCCTCTACCACACCGTGCAGAGACTCGGAGGGCTCAACGACGTGATCGCCGGCCGACGCTGGCCGGCCGTGGCCGATCTGATCCACATGCCCAAGTGCGCGCAGGACCGGGCGGTCAAACTGGAGCAGATCTACCTCAAGTACCTGGTCGGGTACACCATGCTCACGGAAGGTAAGAAAGCGGAGGAACGATCTAGGAAGGTGGGAGGTAGCGTGACAACTTGGTCGATGTTGGAGGTCGGGTGAAGTTAGTAGTGTAACAGCATAGGGCTAGTTGTCGCTACACACACAAAAAAAAAAAAATAAAGTAGAAAAATAAAAGGCTGTCTTGATTCGTGTGCGAAAACCAGAAGACGAAAATTAATTTTGCCTCAGAATATTACTTGAGAACATTCATCGTGATATGAATGCTTATAGCATTTAATAACTAGCCTGCTCACGTCTTAAACTCCCTCCTTCGTGACAGCAAACAATGTCTCGCAATGAACGTTCTATAATAACAGCAACGCTTTCCATGCCACCCCATATTCTCAGACGAGAGGAAGCGCCTGCGCACGGAGGTGGAGACGGACTGGCACCGGCGCGAGCAGCAGGCCCGCTGCCGGCAGCTGCAGACCGACGACGAGGACGAACAGGACAGTGACGAGGATGACGACGACGCCGCAGAGTGCATCGTCAAGGTACGGGAGAGGGAATCGGGGGCGGGCCTGGGATTCGGAGACGGGTCAAATGTGTGGGCATATATCGGCGTCGTAAGTGCTTATGATATCATGGGGGCAATGTGTAAAGGTTATCTTTTTTCGTGGTTGGTATCTAGACAGGGTGCTGCTTTTCTGCTGGCTGTGGGTGCCTATCTCATATCTGGTTTATGTTTATGCCTTATGTGCTGTGTGTTTTACATGCCCAGCTGAGTTAATATGTGAATTGTGCTAGATATCGTGGTTGTGTCGCATTACTGACAGGTAATTGTCTTCCCGTTCGTATTCCGCAGGGTAAAACGGTCAGCCTGGGCGCCTTCTACCGCGTGGCGAGGAACACCGCCTCGCTGCTGTTCAAGCAGAGTGACCCGAAACCGGAACTGGTCGAGGATGAGTACTGGAAGGTATGTGGACCATCACACAGATTGAGTAACATCGGCAGAGAGTTCAATGGTCGGATGTAACCCGTGGATCAGTGACCGTAATCTGTCAAATGAAAACTTTTACTCGTAATTTTGCGGTCGTATTGAGCTTTCCCTGTCAGTTCTCCTAGATCCATTCAAATGTTGCCCACACTCGGCTCTGGCTGACTGCTGTCAATCAGTCTCAACACGCTGCGGAGCTTGTCATATTATTTAGAGCCTGTCGGTAACTGACTAGTTTGCCAGTCGCCTGTCACAACCTGTCATCGTCCTGTCAGAATCTGTCACCACCTGGCTAAACCCTGCTATCTGTCAACCATACCGATAACTCTACCGTATCTTCCACCAGCGCTCAACTAACCCCGACCCTCCCCATCCGCTCAGGTGGTGAACGAGCGGGACCGGCACATCTGCGTGTACTCGGGCAGCGTCGACTGCGGCGCGCAGAGCTACGGCTTCGTCTGTGACAAAAAGTCGCAGACCTCGCGGCTCGCCTGGAACCTGAAGGTGCTCAGCAACAACCCGGGGTCGATCCTGCGCTCCATGGGACAGGTCATGGGTGAGTCTCCTTATAGACAAAGTTTTGGTTCTTACTGAAGTTCAATGGGTTTCCGGTGCTAGGCTTATATGCTGCTGCTGTTGCTGCTTTATTTTCATGAGAATGAACTATTACAGCTGCTCGAAACCTCTCCCTCGAACGCCAGAAATAATGGCTCATCAGTAATGCATCATAGTTCGTGTAAGTGATTAATTACTTGTTCGCTCCTCGAAAGTCCCACATTTCCCAGACTGACCACTGAGCAACTGATCGTGTTTTATCCCCCTGCAGGTGTGACTGTACCGACTGTGCACATGTCGATGGCGTTCACCACCGGCTGCTGGTACTCGGACCCGCACTCGCTGCCCTGGATAGAGTACCTCCACACCGGGGCGTCAAAGGTTGGTAAACTCACATCCCCAAATATGTGCGCAGCTTAGAAGAGGCATCAGTGAAGTAACCATTTCCGGCTGGCAATGCAATAAAACATGTGCCATGACAGTATCTCCTCAACTTCGTACTAGTCGCTGCTGTATAGGTCGACAGTACCACTCCATGGAATGGCGCCGTTTATTCAACACTGGTGTCTTTTCTCGCCCCAGCCGTCTCAGGCCTAGACTGACATCGCTTCCCCCGCTGTTCCAGGTGTGGTACTCTGTGCCGGCCTCGGGCGGCGAGGCGCTGCGCCGGGAGCTCACCGAACTGATGCCCGGATACCTGCGACAGCACCCCGTGTGGCTACCCTCCGATACGGCCATGGTGCCGCCCGACCTGCTGGCTGATAGGGGGTACGTACTGACACTCTGACACCGAGACTGACACTGACACGACCGCCCGACCTGCTGGCTGACCGGGGGTACGTACTGCGACACTGGCACCTCACACGTGATACTCGACACATGACGTGTGAAAGTGACACAGCGACTTATGACACGACCGGTGTCTACCGACAGAAAGGTGTGCACTCGGTACTCTGTACGTACGATGTCAAAGGGCCTTGATTTGTATCTGTCCGTCGTCCCCGTGTCCCCTCAGCGCTCCGGTACCACCGACCCATCATCACTGCCCTGTCCCCGCTCCCCCCACCCTTGGCGTGCCGGTGGCTGACTGTTTTTGTCCCTCACCTGCCGCCCTGACCTGACCCCGCTCGGTCCCGCAGCGTTCCTGTGGCTCGCGCCGTGCAGCAGCCGGGCGAGTTTGTCGTCTCGTTCCCCCGCGCCTTCACGGCCTCGGTCGGCACCGGCTACACGCTCTCCGAGTCGGTGTTCTTCGCCACGCCCGACTGGCTCGCCTCCGCCACTGACGTATACGATAAGGTGCGTGATTGAAATGAGAAACCGTTAGTGTCCCCTGTCCCCTGTCACAGAGGAACGGAGATCGACCCAGTGGAAGTGGGGATGGTAGGATTCGTGGGATATTATGACGGTGAATACCCAGATGCTGATAGATCATTGCGTTTTACGTTAGAAGGTATAAATTTGTGTGTGAAAGGAGCTTCTTGGTAGGTGGGATAGCAGATCCGAGTTGTGTAAAGGCTCAGTTAGTTGTTTGAATGGAAGTGCGTTTTTCCTCTTGGTTCCATTTAGCACTGCATCAGAGAGTTTTAGTCTATTGGTAATATGTTTCCATGCCGCTGCGATGATTTGATGGCGTCTCAGATCTCACTCAGCAGGATGCAGTGATAAAACCCTCTCTCCCGCCCGTCCACCCGCAGCTGAAGTTGAGCGGCGAGCCGGGCGTGTTCTCGCTGGACCGGCTGGTGCTGGGCGTCTGCTCTGACCCGCGCGCTTCGCTCGAGGCCCTGGCCCGCTGTCAGCCGCTGCTGCTCGACCTGCAGCGGCAGCAGCACGAGCAGCAACAGCGACTCCAGCAGCTCGGTACGGACGGAGGGCGAACAGAGGCGTAATGGGGGATGGGAGGGTGGAAGGGGTCCTTGTGTTATCAATTATCATGAGTTGGGCTAGCTATATCAAACATTATTGTTCAGTTGATTGGTGATGTCAGCTGATCCCATGCTTTGTGCGTCTGTTTTATAGGACATTTTCTTGCTCGGTATATGTTAACGCTAAACGACTTTGAACCCGTTGCGTGATCAGACGGTAGTATTTATTCTCTCCCGGTTTCAGGCATCACCGACCCGGTGAAGATATCGGCCAAGAAGGGGGGCCGGTCGCGCAAGTCGGCGGCGCTCGAGGAGGACGACAAGGAGTGCGACGTCTGTAGGAGGACGCTCTACTCCGCCATGGTGAGTCTGCGCGGCACTGTGACTCTTGGATTGACTCTGACTGTGGGGGACTTGGCTGTGATGTGTCTGCTCCGCTCTCCGTCTCTTTGACTAGGTATTGAAATACGCTCGATTCAGCAGACGGCCCTAAAACTCCTCTTTTTCGACCTAGATCGACTCTGATCTGGCTGTGGGACAGGAATTGACTTTTCCCTAATTTTCTTTCAACCGTGTTTCACCGGCGGTTTGTTATTAATCTTCAGCCTTGCTGACCGAACGCTGATCTCTGTAATACCCTCTGACCCTGCACTGACCTCTGACCCGTCGGCAGGTCGATAACCCCTCCGAGAGCGTGGTCTACTGTCTGGAGGATGCCGCCGAGCTGCTCAGAAAGCCCGGCTCCAAACTCGAGGGGCTCAAACTTCAGCTCATGTATTCTCAGGTGAGCATTGATAAGTGTGGCGGACTAAGCTGGTGCATCTCTGCCCTATAACTTTAAGGATTTCTTTTGGTTATATGTCGCGGTATTTTGCTGTGTAGATGTAGCAAGGTACTCGCCGTGGATTAGCATAATCTCTCGAAAATGAAATACGATAAAAAGCTTAGGTATGTGGCTTCGGACCGTACACTGAGCAGTGAGCATGCAATTCTCGCATAAGGACGATAAAACGAAGCATTGTATGTTTTTTTTTTCATTTCGAATGTTTTGTATGCATTCGTCATTGTTTTTGGCAATAACCGAGTGCCGTTCGATTTCAGAGCGATTTCGAGGAGCTCATTCATCAGGTGGACGAACGGATCGCCGAGCTCGGATCGAAACAGAGCTCGGCCAAAAAGAAACAGAAAAAGTCGGCGGCCTGAGCAGCTGCTGCGGCGCCGGCGCCTGGTGATGATCTCAGGGGATAGAGGTGGGCCAGTACCGGCCGCCAGAGCCGCCGGTACTGCAGCCGCCGCCGCGTTACGAGTACTTAGTTGGGTCGCTGCACCGCCGACCTGTACAAACCAACGACGCATGCTAGTGTTTTAGTGCGTATATTAAGTTGTGTGACAATAATTACGCGGGCATTATTTTCGATTGTCCGAATTTTCCAGCCAAACCAGTGAGCTGTCGATTTGAGCTGTTTTTATGTCGAGTCTCGTCTTTTTTAAGATTGTGTGGAAATCGTGTTTGGTAATTGGCACTGGACAGTTCATTGCTGCGTGTTTCTTATATTCTTATTATGTCGGGCGGGGCTCGCGGCTGTCTCGCCATGTTGTAATGCGCGGAGGTCCGGGGATATCGAGGGTTGTCGGTTGCGGAGAGTGCCCCCGACCGGCGGGGCCCCGACTCTCACAGTTCGAACAGGAACTGACGGAGAATCAGAGAGAGAATGTGTGCTTTCATCGATAGGCCTGCTGAGCGCTGTCTGGCCGCTGCGTTGGTGAGAGGTCTGTGTTGGCTCCCGGCGTCTCGCGTGTCCCTCTGTCTATCCCCCCTCTACCTGTGCCCCTCTGTGCCCGTTGAGCCGCTGTTCGGACCCCTCCCCCCGCCCCGCCCCGCTCTTCGCTGGGAGGGCTAGGTGACGCGGTCCCTGCCGGCGGCGGTGACGCGCGAGACTGTCTTTCCCGGTCGGAGAACAATATATAGCGTAGACTATATGCCCCGTGTGTGTGCATGACGTAGGGGGGGGGGGGACTGCAGCAGCTCGCGGGAATGGTCGACTTTATAACTGATGTTTTGTGGTTAGTTCACGGCCATCACGGCTCGTTTGAGCTTGCTGCATGGACAAGAGCTTGCGCTCTGACCATAAAGTAAAAATGGAGTTACGAATACGAAGGCCATGGTTTACTTTGAACCATAATGAAAACTTCCCTTTTTAATTATACGATACATTTGTGTAGAGCGAGGGACTTTTCACGTGCGCATATGCAACGAGGATATTCACATTATCATGCCGGGCTCTTGGGAAATTATTTCATCGTTTATTTATAATGCGTATTCGAGGGACTGGAGGCGCGCTCTGTTGTTATCTGTTGCAGTGACAACGTGCATTATATAACTTCACTAAACGCTCCGATATTAATTTAGCTCAAAGCCGCGTGTAATTTGGAATGTAGCTACACCCAACACCTTGCATCTAACCCATTGATGAGTTGAACGGTGAACAGTGAGATGAAGATCTGAGAATTAGCCATCCCGGACCCAGGACCGGCAGATCGAATAGGCCGTGAAGCTGGGCGTGGCAGCAGCAAGTTGGACGATCTCCAGGTCACTGGAGGTCACCGAGAGAGAGGTGTAAGCAAAGAACGAAAATGCGTTATCTTTCCCTCTCCCTCTCTCTCTCTCTCTCTCTCTCTCTCTCCCTCTCCCTCTCCCTGCTCTCTCTCTCCCTCTCCCTCTCTCTCTCTCTCCCTCTCCCTGCTCTCTCGGTCGGCGGCCGTCGCCCTCGACATGATTGAGCTGTATGGCTGCCGGCCCCCCGGGGTCCGCCGGGCCGCGGGGGGCCGGCCGCCCCGCCGGGAGGGGAGGGAGGGGAGGGGCGCAGCCACCTGACAGCTAGTCGCGGCCGCAGTCGGCCGGCGGAGACGGCAGGGGAGAGAGGAGGAGGGTCAGGGTGACCTCGGGTCAGGGAGAGAGTGGAGAGGGAGGTGTGACGTCGGGTCAGGGAGAAGTGAGGAGTGGACGGTGGCGTCGGCGTGTCAGAACGAGTGTTTCAGTCCACTGTATAGTGATTTGACATGGCACGTCCGCTGGACTCCGGAACGGTGAAGTGAACCTCGAGGAAGATAAGCTCGAACTGACCATGGGTCTATCCTACCCTGGCGTAGTTTGTGCATTTCCTAGCCTGGCCGTTTATTATCCGTGATCCGTCTCCCAAATCCATGAGCCATTCGTGAACGTTTGAGTGAAGTCCTCTCAGCCCAGTCGCTCCATAGATCTGCGACGAACGCCCCCCCCCCCCTCCCCCCGGACCCTTGGAGCCCCCGGCGGTGTCGGGGGAGCGACCCGACCTGACGGCTCGGCTCCGACGGCGCTGCTCTGGGCGGTCCAGCCGCTCCGCCGGCGCGGCGGCCGGCGGCAGTTCCCTGTCGGTGGCGGCGCCGCGGGCACGTGGAGCGCGGAGGACAGCGTGCGAGGAGAGCGACGAGCGTAGATCTTTGAACCGGGCCGGGACAGTGAGATTGGCTTTGGGGGACAGTGCATTGAGGTGTTAGGTATGTGATGGCTAAGGCGGAACATTGGCTGGACGTGATGTGTGACTGATGAGGTGCGAGGGTCGAGGACAGACATAGTGACTGTCGCTAAACGTGGAGACCAAGACGGACACCGAACCAAGTCAACTAGCCCCAGCCGGAGCTCCGGAGTCGACATGACAAGACGGAAACAGGCGCAGCCGCGCGCCTTCAAGCGTGAGTGCACCCCGTACTCCGTAGAGAGGGGATGGGGCGAACATCAATGATAATGGGTCGTATGAAGTCACTGCTCGTTTAGCGGGTGAGGGGAGGCCGCGAATCAGTTGATAATCATTCGAGATATGTCACATTTAATGAGATTCTGACATCACCGCCATGACTTGAAACCAAAGCGTCAACGTTGTAAGTCGGAACACGCGTCGCTCGACGATAAGGTATCGATATTTGCATCTCAAAAATCTGATCTGATTTGCAGCCGTTCTGTAAAAACCAATAGCGATGAGCTACAGTCTTCTTCAAATTCACAAATAATGCCTTTTCCAGTGTTCCTCGTTCCTCTATTCTATGAAGTGTTTTATGTGATGTATTTGGCAGCACAAAATATTGCACGATTTTTGCGTTCTATTCGAAATGCCGAATAATGCCAACCTTGACGTAAACAAACAAATGCGCACGTGGTCATCCATTTTCTTGTTTCTGACGGAGAGTGGGGAGGGTGGGTCTTCATGCCGTGTTTGCATGTTTTTAACATTTCTGTACGCCTTTTGGTAAGTCTTGTCACGTCACCTCGTGGTCTTTCCGTCTGTTTTCCACTCAGCAGTCATGAATCCATAGGCAAGTCATTTTTCGCCGGACATCCACGTTTTCGCCGCGATTGTTATTACAATTTCTGATGGACGGTGAATGTCGGTCGTGATGTCTGATTTGAGCTGTGGCTGTCACTGCCGTCGCCGTCCGACCGTGACCCCTGACCGTGACCTCTGACCCCGGCAGCGGAGGAGGACACGGCGTCACCGTCTGCCGACGTGGCCCGCACTCCGGATGGGGACCGCCCGGAGTCCGGACTGGACCTGCCCGCACTCCCGGAGACCGGTGAGTGCCGTGCACGGTGTGCCCGGGTGCGTATTCGCCAATTGTATTACACGAATCGGCCCATCAACTAGCGACATCTCTAGTGCGACGTCATAGCCATCCGCCGCGACAATGCATGCATTGAGGCTAGATTTGAGTTGAGACTTTTTTGGAATTGTATATGGCTATTACACATGTATGTGTCGCCGTAGCCGAGTAGTTAGAGTCTCGGTGTGGTGGACGAAAGATCGGTGGATCAAGACCTTGCTTTAGCGGTTCTTTTCTCTTAAAAAGAAGTCGGTCGTAGACGCGCATTTTTGGCCCCTACGTTCGCACGCCAATATCGTACGCCCAATAAATCTCTGACAAGTATTCATCTGATTAAGGAATAAGTTGCAAAAGAACTGCAGTTGCAGTCTATACCTGAACTACCAATTTTGTTACGGCACTGTCGATATTCGTCAAAGTCGGAAAAGCTATTATGAAACACACTCGAATGACAACGGATTCCTGTATTATTTCATGGATCAGATAAGACATGTATAGAGATAAATTGATAACAGCCCGCCGTGAGCATGCAACTTAACAACCAGTCCCAAGTTATCTTCATAAACGTCTAATATAATTTATAAATCGCGCCCCACTGGGGGGGGCTATTTATAGCCCCCCCTCCCGTTTTTCTGCAATAACTTCCAAACCGCTTGACGGATCGACGCCAAACTTTCAGTACCTTCGGCTGCATCAATTTGACACCTTGTGTCAAAATTTGAACTTCGTAGCTACCATAGGTCGGCCGGAAATGACGTCAGAGTGACGTCATGTTCGTCCGATTTCGACGCAAAACATTGAACCACGGCAATCGCTCCCAAGAGCTCAGTTTTTAAGCTAGATCCAATTTCTTTGCATGAAAGAACTCAGAATTGACCGCGCTATCAAACTGCTATCTCGGATTTTCAAAATTTTGAAAATTTCGAAAAGTTTATATAATAATATTCAAAATTTATATTTTTATATTTTTTTCAAAAAGTTTTTGACTTTTCGAAAAAAACCGGAATATATGTGACAGAACGCATGATTATGACTAACTCTAGCAAGTTTTAGCTAAATATCTTCAAAAATGGCCAAGTTATACGCATTATTGCAAAAAATTCACAATTATTAATTTTTCAAATCAATTTTTCAGTACGTATTTGGCATCGTACACCAATATAAATGGCACCATCGTGTTCCTGAGCTCAAACTGCATCCAATAGACACCTTTTTTGTTGAAAAATTTCAACTTCAAAATTTGACCTTTTTTGACCTGAAAGTGACCTGACCTAAGCTAAATTCGACTCCAAATGACCTCGAATGACATAGACGACATCAAATTTGAAATCTATGGCCTAAATGGACCATAAAACATGTGTCACGTGACCGACGCATGATATAATATTTTCGTGACCTGTGATGACCTGACCCTGACCTGAAAATCAAAGTACAAGTTTGGTACCCTCAAGGTATCTAGAGCATCTGTTCACGAGTGTGGAAACCAAAAATGAGCCTGATCTGACTTGTAAGACGGCGGCCAGAGCCCAAAATGTGAGCAAGCCAAAGTGCTAATAATTTTTACTTTGACCTGACCTGTGACGTCATCGGTGACCTCGAGCTCAATGAAATTAGGTTTCGCTCGACAGTTTTTCCGGGGCTATCAGACGCCGTTTGAATTTTGACGATCGGCTCAGTAGTTTCGGAGTTAGGAGGGGGGGCTATGAATAGCCCCCCCCCCCCCCCCCCAGTAGGGCGTGTTATACACAGACCCCAGTGGGGCGCGGGTTAAGGGGACTTAGGTATCCCCCTGGCGGCTGAAATGTAAGAGTTATAGTTAGGGCATAGCTCCTATAGATGACGCTCTGACGGCTGGAAACTGATATCTCGTCCCGTGATTACGCTAACAGCTATGCCGAACTTTTTTTGTGCATGGTGATTCTTACACGAAAAGCTATGCTTACCAGCGTGCGATTTTTACTTTTCATCTTAGTTTTCGCTACTTTTAGGTACTTTACCTTGCCAAGTGCCCACCTACTTTCAAAAGGTCAGCGCCGCCCCTGTCAATGCTGCGTGCTATCACCCATTGGCAGTGAGAAATATTAATCAATGAATGGCCATCGTCCAGCACCATTTGTCTTTCCATTGGCTACGTTCGCATAGTATGCACTATGCATTAGTGATGTCAATCACAGAAAATCAGAACACCGCTACAAAACCAAATACAAACAAAGACCATTGGAAAATACCGAAACCGAACCAATCGGTTGGACTGCAAATATCTATCTTATGCAACATATTCATTAGAAGAATGCCTACGTCTGATTTCTTAGGTGCACGCCGTTGCAAATGTATAAAAAACGCACAATGACAGATGACACGAAAATCGAAGTCGCCGAGTGGATTCGAACCACCTACCTCGGAATCACCAGTCCGATACTCTAACCACTTCGCCACGGCGACAACATGCTCTAGACAGCTTAAATGTCATTAAGTTAAAACCTAGCTTCAATAGACGCCACCAAGGGCGAGGACCGAAAGTATGACGCCACGCTGACGTCACTCAGGAGGCACGCTATTGGTCGGCCGATTCGTGTAATACAATTGGCGAATACGCTGCCCGGGTGCGAGCGCGAGTACCCAAGATTCTTCAAGATAAGGCTGGGGCCCGTAGTCACATGGTTGTCAGTACCACGACTTGCTATAGTACGGGATGGGTCGCAACGGACATCCACAATTTCCCTTGCCGATCGTCAGTGTTCGTCGACTCTCCATTCATTACCACGTCGAGGTCGCGAGTCATTTACCCTTTCTTTTTGTGTTGGTGTAGCGGTACGCAGCAGATGGATGCCGTAATGACGGTTTGCTTAGCCCGTGATCCCGCTCCCCGTATACCCATTACCCACGGGCCCACGGTAGTGTCACAGCATTTAGCTATACCGGGCACACCCTCAGTAAATCAGCCTTGGCTCTGTTTATCGTTCAGAAGTCATAACACACTATATAACTGATAACTGGAGTTGTCAAAACTGTGTCGCCTTATCACCGGGCGAATCATAACTACCGACTGAATGGTGTTTCCACCATGGTCGTCACATATCGTAATCCAGGCCGGCTTTCCGACCACTTCAGTCAAACTGACCAGCAGGCGAAGCCGGTGTTCGCCGCTCGTAAACTTCGCTCTGTGTGTCCACAGTTCTTATCCATTGTTTCGTCGTTGGGCCCGCATGTGATGAGACTGGCATTTCCTTGCCATGTCGACAGTTTCCGCCGCTCGCTTTAGGATGGGGTGACCTTTAGCAGCGTTCCTTCGATGCCGTCTTATGGGATCATGCAAATAACGCCTGAGGCTGACGAGACCTGACCCGACAATCCTCCTCGGTCATTCGATGTCTGGTATGTGACCCCTCGTCGCATCCGTCGTCTTTTATCATTAGGACAACCGATTCTCATCTTTGATCATGCTTCCTTTTTCCGGGCTGACTTTCATCAGTTCAAACCGCCCGACAGCCGATTGTGGGCCGGTTCCCATTGGAGCTCAGCGTACTCCTCTGGGGTGACCTTTTGCGCAGCCGGGTGACCTGTCTGTTCCACCGGGGCGTGCCTGTCCCACGGGGACGGCTCAGCCGCCGCGGCGCACAAGCTGGTTATCGAATCAGCCCAATGTCTCCCCTTGGCCTTATCCCTTCACCCTTCATCCCACTCTGTCCTGTGACCGGATGTAGCGTTTCCTGGTAAAGGCCTTGTGCTAGTCAACAAGGGACCTGAAGTCACTACATCTACCGCATTGTTAACTTATACCATCCCCGACACATGTCACCTGTTTGTCTACTCACCTCATGTCTGCTGATGTGACCTCAGGTCACGCCCTGACCTGCCGGTGACCCAAGGTCAGGCGGTGTGTCCGCCGGCGCGCGGCCGGCCGGCCGGTCGGCGCGGGGGCGCCGGCGGCGGCCCTGCAGGAGTATTGAACGCCGCCGGCAGGTCCCGCGGGAGGTCGACTGGGAATTCACTGGGACTGAGGGCCCCGCGGGACCCGCGCCGCCGCCGCCCGCCGGTCGATACGGCCTCACAGCGGCGCGCCGCCTCCCGCCGCCGCGTGACCTCAGGTCCCCGGGGGGTCACCGCCGGGGGACGGGGCGGGGGCGGGGGGCGCTGACAGCAGCGGTGAGTGGCGGCCCGGCCCGGCCAGATGGCCAGAGGTGCCTCTCGAGCACGCGCCGCAGCCGAGTCCAGCCGCTGTCCGCTCTGGGGTCGGACAGGACCGGTGGAGCCGGTACACGGGCCGACCCGTCTCCCCGGACCGCCAACAGCCGAACTCGGTCCGGCGGGGCCGACCAGCCGCTCGATGCAGCGGACCTGGCGCTCCCGGCGGAGCTGCAGACGGCGGCCGAGGGCCCCGGGGCCCAGGGGACCCGCGGCTGCGCGCCCGGGGACCGGGGCCCGGCGGCGGGGCCCCGGGGGACCGGGGTCCGCGGCGGGGGGCGGTGGCGGCGCGCAGGCCCGATCGCCAGGCATGTCGGGAGCTCGAAGGTCGCCCTTGAGCCGGACGTCACGGCGGCGTTGACGGAGAGCCGGCGGAAGGTAAACACGCGGCCACGGCGCCGGATTCGCGCGCGGCGCGCCCGTCAGAAGCTCCAATATGAGTGTCCGGTGTGACACGGGCAGTCATAACACCATAACATGCATTAATCATGTCATCACGTCAAACCATCATTGTGTTTGTGATCTATATGTACTTGCAGCTCGCACGCAATCAGCTGGCTAATTATGCTGCTAGTTATTGCATTTTTACTGGCATGAAAAACATGCCTCTGAATTTCACACATTTTCACCCGCTGGACACGAAATGTCATGTCAGATCTGACGTGAACATGGATGTTCGCTGCCAGCTGGGGCGTGCGCGGAATCACGAGACGGTGGCCACGGGGCGGAGGAATGCGGCAATGTTCCACTAACGAGCGGGTCGGCGGTCCTCGCTCACGGCACCGGCC